CTTTTCCTTGCCAGTTAACATGATAGAAATCTTCCAGCAAGGTTCTTTGAAGACTTGAAAGCCAGCCAAGGTAACACATCTAGTATTTACTTTTAATGATGATTTAAAAAGAGAAAAAATAGCTAGTTTTCAAAAGAAAATCTTGTACCTTTAATATTCCTACTGGTTCCATTGTTGAAATAAATCATTTTATCCTAAAAAATAATCTCGTTTCATTATTAGAAGTTCAGATTTGCATCGTAAAGAGATCATGAGGGGCATAACCTACTGGTATTTTCACGTAGAACATTCTGTACCACTCAGGTTTCCCAACAAGAAGAGCGTCAACTTGATACCTGAAATGTCATTTTAACCATGTACTAACTTCAAACACATACCCCAGTGTGGAATGACAGATCACACTGGAGTGATTTCAGTGTACAACTTTCAAGTCACTTTGAAATTGGCTACTTTCACCTTAGGGGGTGCCAACAAAATCATGGGACATACTTTACAGCCTGTCTTCCACTACTGAAGAATCTAATTATAGAACTGGAAAGATATGCCACCAGTCTTAGCCTGCGCACCCCACTCTCTGTGTCCCAGTTTATACACAGGGACATTACACCGCTGGCCCTCAGCATTGGAAGACTTAGGTCCATGGCAGTTGGCCCGTCTTCAGAGAACCTTGCTTGAAGATTTCTGTTACCATTAACTGGCCATGAAAGGGGTTGGACCCCTTAAAATGAGCACTTTACAGTGGTGAGGGAATGAGGCCCTGTGGGTGTCTGTGGGCACACTGCATTTATGCTTCGTCCACTGTGTGTCCTCCGTGTGCTTTTCTGAGTGTATTTTTTACATCAATAAAAAATTTACTGGACAAAGAGGCAATGTAATATAGTGCTACAGTGTATTTCTACCCCCCACTTAAAAGATGCGTAAAATACACATAACATAAAAGTTACTTTAACTATTTTTAAGTGTGTAGTCACCTTGTTGTACATCCATGTTGTTGTGCAGGCATCACCACAGTTCATCCACAAAGCTTGTTTTCATCTTGCAAAAACGGAAACTGTACCCATTAAACAGTGACTCCCATTCCCTCCTCCCCCAGCCCCTGGCAGCCACCATTCTTTCTGTGGGTATGACTTCCCTAAGCACCCATGGTAAGTGGAATCATGCAGTATTTGTGTTTTGTACTTGACTTATCTCACTTACCATACGGTCCTCAGGTTCATTCAGGTTGTAACTTGTGTCAGAATTTTCTTTCTTGGAGGCTGAATATTTTCTTGTGTGTATAGACAGCATGTTGTGCTTGTTTATCCACTGATGGACTCTCGGGCTGCTCTGTTTTACCTGTTGTGAATATGGACATGACTGTGTAAATGTCTCTTCAAGACCCTGCTTTCAGTTCTTTTGAGTACATACATACCCAGAAGTGGAGTTGGTGGGATTGTGTAGTAAATCTATTTCTAATTTATTTGAGGAACTGCCATACTGTTTTCCACAGCTTGCTTGCTCTTTTAAAATTGGGGGCAACATAAAAGTGAACAGTATGAAATAGGTGAAGTAATACATTGCACTGTAGTCTACCTTGGCAGGAATCCAGTGTAACTATGATTAAGTACTTCTCTTTTTCCCCTGGAGAATGAAACATTCATTCAAGAAACCTGTGTATCTGTTGCAGGTTGATTCTTAGCAGTGAGTACATCCTTGCCTCATGGAACATGCAGACAACTATTGGTTTTTAGAAAATACCTTTCCTGGAATAAAGTTAGATTTTTAGACCACAAGTATCAAACCATTAAGTTAGCAATTTCTTCGGGTAGAAAAAAATTGCTTTATAGGTAACCATTTAAGCAACCTTGTTGCTTTTAAGCAACATAAGTTTACCTTATACAGTATTATTTGAAGGGAAAATGAAGTCTTAAGAAGTAGAGTTTTAAATTTTTCATGGTTTTCCCATTGGGAAGGAAACCTGGTGTGAGTACAGTTGACTGACAGTCGAGAGATTAGTAGGTTCCAGTCCTGACTGTACAATTTACTATTTGGTATTCATTCTCCTGGATTTTTTACTTTGATTTTTACCCCATCAAACTCCTTTTGTTGTTGTTGAGTCACTAAGTCCTGTCTGATTCTTTGTGACCCCTTGGACTGCAGCACACGTCCCTGCCCTTCACTGTCTCCCAGAGTTTGCTCAAACCCATGTCCATTGAGTCGGTGATGCCAAACAACCATCTCATCCTCTGTCATCCCTTTCTCCTTGTGCCCTCAATCTTTCCCAGCATCAGGGTCTTTTCCAGTGAATCAGCTCTTTGCATCAAGTGGCCAGAGTATTGGAGCTTCAGCATCAGTCCTTCCAGTGAATATTCAGGGTTGATTTCCTTTAGGGTTGACTGCTTTGATCTCCTTGCAATCCAGGGAGCTCTCAAGAATCTTCTCTAGCACTACAATTCATAACTTTTTTAAAAAGGATTTTGTCCAGTATTGTTAACTAATATGCTAGTATCACTTTTAATCCTAGTAATACCTAGTTCTGTTTTCAAGCTCATTCTCTGTTCTGAATTCCAGACTTGTGTTTCCTGGTGCCAGCTGAACATTTCTTGAACTTCAGATCCCATTTCTGAAAACTAATTCGTTCTCCTACTATGAATTTACTTCTCCCCATATCATTTCTTCATCTCAGTGAGTAGTGTTCTGTGCAGTTGGCTGCCTGAGCAAGAAGCCTGAGTCATCTGAGTTCTTTCTGTCTAGTCTTCATGGACCCTCATTCAGTTATCCAAATGTCGATTTTTCTGTACTGAGCATATCTTGAGTTTGTCCCTGTTCTCTGAATTTTGGGCCGACCCTGGACTCCTTGCCTTGCATATGCTGTTTTCTCCTCACAGAGTACCTTTCCTCTACTCTGCTTGGCAAACCCCCATTGCTTTTGGGCAGAGTTAGTGACGCTTGAGTCTGCTCCTAGAACACATGAGGCAACTTTTCAAAGACCTTAGATCTGCTCTGCTTGCTGGGAGTTACCCAGTTTGACTTGTGTAGGATTTCTACATCTGTTCATAGACTCAGAGCACCTCTCAGTTAACTTGCTTTTTCTTGCCAGCTGTTATGTATTGGGTTCCTTTCTTTCTTTTCCCTCTCTTTCTCTCTCTCTCTCAACTTGTGTGTAATACGGCAAGCGGAGCATTCATAGAATCTTGATGAATGAAAAATTTCTCTTTGAATAACTTAGAATATGCTAACTATTCCCTTAGAATAACTCTTTGGATTAACAGATAATGGTGCTCTGAAGTCTTACTTCATCTCCATCTCACTCCCTTTTCCTGTTAAAAATCTTAAGAACAAATTAAAGCCTAATTCCAGATGCTTCCCCTGTTTTTATTATTCTTAGCAAGAAAATCATTTATGCAAGTACTGTTGGACCATAGTTCAGCTGCTAAGTAACCTGATCTCTGAGCCTCAGTTTCCACATCTATATAATGGGGGGTAAAATACCCTAGAGGGCCATCCGTAAGAATTACGTGAGGTCCTGTGATACAGAATTTAACTTTGCCGATCCACAGTAAATGTTAGATCCCTCTTCCCTGAAACAGAGTGAAATGGTGGGTGTGAAACAGCTTTGTAAATAAGTATGTATAAGCCACTAACATTGTTTCCTGTTTCAGAAGTGGACATTTATAGCATAGTTTATAATTTCACTACTAGAATATGCTTGCTCAGGCCTTTATGTGATAGGCACAGGTCCAGTTTTGGTGATGTTTAAAGATTGTGTTTGTTCTTCTTCTAAAAACTTGAGAGAACTCTTGCAACAAACTCAGATGGTTCATGAAACTAACAGCTGGCTAATTCTTAGTCTAATTTGAACTCTTGAGCTAATGCTTAGTCTTAGTGTCCACCACTAAATGTACCTTTCACCCTCTCTGCATGCTGGCTAGGCCCTCCCGCTTGGCCCCACTCCTCCTTTCCCCCGTAAAAATTTTGCATCTCCTGGGATTTATGAGCATAACATGTACCTTGGCTTCTTCCTGTTTTCATTTTTTTTAGTTGGATTGGCTATGATAATCTCCTTACTTGGATATGTAACTTAAATCTCTAAAATAAGCTTTTGTCCTACGAGTTTATGAGTTAGAGGGCCAAGGACTTGGAATTATTGAACTCCTAGGAAACTTATGTGATCCAGCTTAGAGAAATACTGATGACTTCTGAAAGTGTTTTTACCACTTAAGACCATTTAAATGTCATCCTATTCATTAAACATTTATGTGCACAGCGCTTTCTGGGAGCTCAGAGGGGTATGAAAGTGTGCTCTGGCCCTGAGGTTTTACCTTCCAGGGTAGTCCAATTAGAGTTCAAAATAGCTAAAAAATACTGAAATATCAGACATTAAGCAACTTAAATGCAAAACATTACCAGTAATATATGCCCTGTCAGACAGAGGCATTGTTTTATTTCATAAAAGTGTGGTGAATTTTTATTTCTTTACTTATGAAGTAGAAGTTAGAATACCCTGAAGAATCGCTGTGATGATGTAAATGAAATTGAATATGTAAAACCTAGTTGTAATACATAAAATCCACATATATTCTTCCTATATTAGGTATGTTTTTAACTGAAAGAGTAGTATATGGCATATGGGAAAAAAAAAATGCAGGCAGAATAAAGTGAAAAGTAAGCTGCCTTCCTCCTAACTCTAGGTTCTTCCTTGTGTATATACTTGTGTACCGAAAACAGTTTTAAATATTTAAATAGTTATCCTGTGTATAGAAGTATATGTGTTTATGATTATATTCTTTTATTAGAATATGTAAGTGGGAATATTATACATGTATTTTTTGTATTCTGATTTTTTCATTTAAAAGTAGATCTTGGCAGTCCTTTTTACAACAAAATAGGTTTTTTTAAAATACATTATTTATTGTTCTTAATGAGTACAGAAAATTTTAGTTTTAGTGTATAATAATACAACCTGTGTCTTCCCACATCACTCATGCAAATATGTTAATGCAGAGCTTTCTCTCCTGTAGAGTCAACTCAGTATCCTAAATATCCACCCTCCCAAGAAGAAGGGACAGAAAGAAAGACTTCTCTGTCAGAAAGCCTCGGGTGTCCCATGAACGAGGCAGAGGAAAACCGGCTGGAGAACAGCAAGACTCCAGAGCCAGCTCTCAGGCTCAGGAAGGGGCGCCAGCCCGATGGCGCGAGGAGTGGTGACAGTGACGTCCGCCACGGAGGGCGGGAGCCTCTTGTAGAGGCATCTGTCCTTTCTTCCTATCATAAAAAAGTAAGTTAAAGTGAAAGAATGGTGAGTAAAAACAGATTTATGAGAATGTGCCTGGAGGAAGAATGTTACAAATTATGGGGACTCTGCTGGAGAGAGGATGGCGTTTTGAAAAGGAATCTCGAGCACATTTGTAAGATTTTGAAGTCTTTTAAGTTATCTAGACAACCTTTTCTGTTGACATGTAAAACCACACTTAAGCTGCCCTATCTTGTTGAAATGGGTTTTGTAGTTACCATATATCCCTTATAGTTTGACCACGCTTTCGTGAGGGCATTATCGTTTCTATTTTTGGAGAAATCCTGAGTGTGTGCTGAAACTGCTTCTCTAGATGCTTTGTCTCCAGTGCATATTATGGGAGACAGTAGGCTTCTGGGAAAAGAACCTAGTCTTTTCTTTTACCTTCCAGAGGAAAGACCACCTTTTAGGTGTCTCAGGCAACTCTGCCTGGAGAGCAAAGGTGTAGATGTCTGTGAGCAGGGGCCACTGGTCTATATGGCTGTCTTTATGCCAGTACCATACCGTGTCCATGACTGTAGCTTTGTAATATGTCTGGAGTGTGATGCCTCCCGCTTTGTTGTTCTTTCTCAAGACTCGTTTGACTGTTCAGAGTCCTTTGTCATCCCATATGAATTTTAGGATTGCTTTTTCTATGACTGGGGTTATCTAAAAGGAAGTGGACATGTATTAGGCGAAACTAGATGAGGCTTGACTTGGTTCCTGAAGGACTGGAAAGCATTCCAGGCAAAGGGAGTAGCAGATGTGCAGACTCAGAAACGGCGCAGTGCTTTTAGGGAGTAGCAGTAATGACAGTAGCTAAGTGTCCAGTGCACACTGGTGGATGCTGGCGTGTGAACCTGCAGAATGTTCGGTATGGCTGGAATGAAGGACAGAGGGTACAGGGCGTCAGTTTGTTAACAAGTAAGCCTAGACAGTGGAGCCTAAAGTCCAGATCTTTAACCCTTGTCCCAGTATTTTACCAGCCAAAATTCTTTCTGAAATGTGTAGTGTTATGTATTGGTTGAAGGGCATAGACTATTTACTTCTAGGTCTCACTCTCAAGCCTTGGCTCTTTCAGCTGTATTTGCTGAAGTTTATAGTTTATGTTTCATAAGCATCTATAGATAACACAAAAGAGACATTTCAAACCAGGTTACCCTGATCTTTAGTTTTATGGCTTTATTTCATGTCTGTGAGTTTTTAAGGTATAAAGTTAAATAAAGAGAGCAGCCTTTATGGTTGTCCTACTTTTCCTCTGCTCCAGATTCTTCCTCATAAGTGGGGGCTGGAGCCAACTGTTCATTCATTCAGCCTAGAATTTATTGGACTGATTTGCTTTAACCAAACTCATAAGAATGCCACAGTTTGTTAGTTTATCATAAGAAAGCTGATTTGTACTTAGACTCCTGTCTGCCAGTCACTTCGTTTTCTTTTCTTGAGGTCTACTTAGGAAACTCAATAAAGATTAGAAAACAGTTGCTTTGTGAGAATTAAAAAAAAAAATTAGATGATTTTTTAAAAAATCAGATGATTTTAAAGATCTTTTCCGTCAAACTGATAGAGAGAACTAGTCTTTAAGGTTAAGAGTATGTATATTTCTAGGCAGACCAAAATGAATGTTCACGTAGACTAGCTATGTACTTACTGTGTTGGATGATACCAGAGACTCAGTCATCAGCACTTACTCTTTCAGCTCCTGTTTTTGTGGACACCTTAGTTTCCACTGACCCCTGTGTGTGTATGGGCTAGATACATCAGCTTGCTAGTGCCCTTACTACACACTGCAGATTTTTAAATTTAAGGCTGGATTCAAGCTGTCAACTTTCCAAAAAGACTATCAAGATAGCCCGCTGATGTATAACTGAATCACTTTGCGGTACACATGAAACTAACAGAGCATTGTAAGTTCACTGTACTTTAGTTAAAAAGATGGTTAATCAAAAAAGGCAAGCAGGCAAGCACACAATAACTTGTTGATGAGATGAAGCGAAGTTTCTTACTGCAGTAAGAGTGAGCAGCACCCTAAGGGTCTTGTTTAGAAAGGAGAGGTTGCGGATAGCTGTGTGTGTGGTTTGGGGCCTTACTGTTGTGATTTATGGCAGATCTTTCAGTACCGAGATCATATTGACATTGCACAGAGTTTATGATAGTTTTGGTAGTTGGAGCAAGTCTAGTGAGCAGATACTTGATAAGGGAGCAGATTTGCCCAGTTCAGAAACTGTACTAAGGAGCTAGTTGAGCAGTCTAATGTTAGTGAATTTTTGAGAAGTTCTGAAGCTCATAATAAAGTTACCTAGTGGTTTGTGTCCTTAATCTTCCTGGGCAGGTATTTTCTGAACACATGAAGTCATAGTGTATGGGGGCCTTAGCTTGTAGTCCTTGTAATTATGTGGATACAGCAGGCCTCAGTTCTCAGACTTCTGGAGGGGCACACACACTTTGACCCAGGTTTGGTGTTCTGGCCCTGGATACCCTTCCGTTTCCTTGACCTTTATATTCTCATCGTGGACAGCATTACGATTAAGAACAAGTGGCAAGAATATTGTGCAAAAAAGTCCTAATGACTTGGATAACCATGATGATGCGGTCACTGACCTAGGACCAGCCATACTGGAGTGTGAAGTCCAATGGGCCTTAGGAAGCATTACTACAAGCAAAGCTAGTGGAGGTGATAGAATTCTAGCTGAGCTATTCAAAATCTTAAAAGACTGTGCCTTTAAAGTGCTGCAGTTAAATGTCAGCAAATTTGAAAAACTTAGCAGTGGCCACAGGACCAGAAAAGGTCAGTTTTTATTCCACTCCCAAAGAAGAGTAATGCCAAAGAATGTTCAAATTACCATACACTTGCACTCATTTCACGTGCTTGCAAGGTTATGCTCAAATTCCTTCAAGCTAGCTTCAGCCGTACGTGAACCAAGAGCTTCCAGATGTACAAGTTTGGCTTTAGAAAAGGTTGAGGAACCAGAAATCAAATTGTCAACATCCGTTGGATCATAGAGAAAGCAAGGGAATTCCAGAAAAACATCTGCTTCATTGGCTATATGAAAGCCTTTGATTGTGTGAATCATAACACACTGTGGAAAATTCTTAAAGAGATGGAAATACCAGACCACCTTACCTGTCTCTTGAGAAACCTGTATGCAGGTCAAGAAGCAGCAGTTAGAACTGGACATGGAACAATGGAATGATTCAAAATTGGGAAAGAAGTACGTCAAGGCTGTATATTGTCACCCTGCTTATTTAACTTATATGCAAAGTGACGACATGTGAAATACCAGGCTAGATGAATCACAAGCTGGACTCAAGATTGCTGGGAGAAATATCAACAACCTCAGATATGTAGATGATACCACTCTAATGGCAGAAAGTAAAGAGAAACTAAAGAGACTCTTGATGAGGGTGAAAGAGGAGAGTGAAAAATTCAACATTCAAAAAAACTAAAATCCTGGCATCCAGTCCCATTGCTTCATGGCAAATAGAAGAGGAAAAAGTGGAAACAGTGACAAATTTTATTTTCTTGGGCTCCAAAGTCACTGCTGATGGTGACTGTAGCCATGAAATTAAAAGATGCTTGCTCCTTGGAAGAAAAGCTGTGATAAACCTAGGCAGTGTATTAAAAAGCAGAGACATCATTTTGTGGACAAAGGTGTATATAGTCAAAGCTATGGTTTTTCCAGTAGTCATGTACGGATGTGAGAGCTGGACCATAAAGAAGGCTGAGCACCACAGAATTGATGCTTTTGAACTGTGGTGCTGGAGAAGACTCTAGAGAATCCCTTGGACAACATGGAGATCAAACCAGTCAGTCCTAAATTAGGAAGTCAACCCTGAATATTCATTGCAAGGACTGATGCTGAAGCTGAAGCTCCAATACTTTGGCTCCTGATCGCAAGAGCCAATTCATTGAAAAAGACCCTGATGCTGGGAAAGGTTGAGGGCAGGAGGAGAAGGGAGCGATAGAGGATGAGATGGTTGGATGGCATCACTGATTCAATGGGCATGAGTTTGAGCAAACTTCTTGAGATGAAGGACAGGGAAGCCTAGCATGCTGCAGTCCATAGGGTTGCAAAGAGTTGGACATGACTGAGCAACTGAACAACAGTGACTGTAGCCGGTGGCACTTGTCTACTGACTTCTAGTATGTAAATATGTGATTTATGTCCAGCTCTTCCCCTAAGTTTCAGCTGAACTGAGCTAGTCTGTTTTCTTCAAAATAGTGCTTTTGCTTTCCCCTCTCGACAGTTCTTTTATCTTTCCAAAATTCTAATTGCTCATGCAGCCTTTCCTGAGCTCCACATTCTGTTTCTAAACTGACTGTACCTTATTTTTGTTACAGTTATCTTTGTGGCTAATTTGGTCTCTTATTAGATTGTACACCCATGGAAGGCAGAGACTGTATTTTACTCACTTTATAGAAAACATCCTTTTAATAAATATTTATTAAACTGAATTGAGCTGAGCTGGGTTGAAGCAGACCAACCCCCAGTAGACTGATGGGTTATTGTCATTTTGTTAGACTGATCTTTAAGGAATTTGGTCTTTATCACTCTGGTTCTCTTTCCAAAGGTAAAGTACACCCAGGAGAATTAACATTTTAGCTTGTACTTTGTATGGGTCATCAGTTGGATATTGTTGTGTTTTGAGAGATAACCCACTTTAACTTTTCTCACAGATGATGGGAGCAGGAAAGAAAGATTTGAAAGCGTCTTTGTACTCACTTCAGAGGACTGACGTCTCTTTTAGTGTAGATATAGTGATTTATTCACAGGAAGCCTTAGAGCATTGCGGTTTCTGCCTTTACTTTAGGCAGCTTGGGTTTTCATCATTCACCACTCACACTGCCCTGTTTCTCTTCATAATTCGTGTTGGTGACAGTTAGAGGTGTGACGATAGGAGCAGAACTTAGCATGCGTTTAGCCCCCGTGTGTGATCGTCTTAGATGAAGTTCATTGTTGAAACAGGTCTTCGGGTCTGTGGTTTAGTGGCTACTGGAAGGGGAATTGAAAGTAATTTCCACTCCTGACAGGATCATTCTTTAGAGTTCACATTGGAAGACAGAGGCTTGTATATAATGTATATCGTTCCCAGTGCAAACTTTCCAGACCTTCATCATGTGACAGAGCTATAAACTTGCCTGTGTGTCGTGGAGAAAGCATTTTTGTCCTTGTTCTGGCCACTTAATTCCTACTATGTTATCCTCTGTTTAGCCAGGGAAACTACATTTACCACCACCCACTCTGTGAAGATCTCTGATTAGCAACTCTGCAATGCTTGACCACAATAAATAGCTATTCACGATGTTGTGTTTTAGACATTTGTTTTTTGAGGCCGTGTTTGTGAGTACTCTGTTATAAGAGAGCTCAGAAGTTGTGGTGCACGGGATTAGTTTACTAATAGTTTTGGTTGTGCTGGGTCTTTGTTGCTGCTTGTGAGCTTTCTCTAGCTGTGGTGTTCAGGCTTCTCACTGTGGTGGCTTCTCCTGCTGTGGCGCACAGGTGCTAGGTGCACGGCTTCAGTAGTTGCAGCAGACAGGCTCAGTAGTTGTGCCTTGCTGGCTTCAGACGCACAGGCTCAGTACTTGTGGCATGTGGGCTCCAGCGTTGCAGTTCTGGGCTCTAGAGTGCAGGCTGTAGTTGAGGTGCGTGGGCTTAGCTGCCCCAGAGCGTGTGGTGGCCTTCCCTCTCAGACCAGGGATCGAACCCAGGTCCCCTGCACTGGCAGATGGATTCTCATCCATCAGGGAAGGATGCGAATCAGGACTACCACCAGGGAAGTCCCTGCCCAATGTGCATTATAGGTTTAGACAAGAATGCTATCACAGTAAGGTGGTTGTCAGGATTAAATTAACTGGCCTGCCTTTTGTGCTTGGTGTGTTTTAAAGATTAAGTAAATAGTTTTGCAGTGTTTTTTCCTCCTTTCTGTCTTTTCCCCTAGAGCACTTACTGCATTGTATTTATTTTACACGTTCCGGGTGGGATTCTTGGATATTTTCCCATCAGTAATCTCTCAGCTTTGTATATGTAATAGTATTTTGTGGTCTATGAGTATAATTCTTACAACAAAAAACAAAGCATCCAAGGCCACTTCTGAACCTTGCTACTTAAACAAACAGGAATGCTGCTGCCATAGTTCAATTGTCTGCAGAGAAGAATCGGGCACCTCTTATTTTTAGTACTCATAGTAACTCTATAATAAACAGACCTTACTTCCTATATTGTTAACTTGTCTGAGGCCTTGTTTTAACCTTAAGAGTTTTCACTGTATTTTTTTCAAGGCAAAAGTGTTTGTTTCCTCTGGCTCCTGATTTCTGTCCCCGACTGTCTCCATGATTGCCTTTCAGAGCGTGGAGGAGCGTGAATGCGATGATGATGATGGAGCATCTCAGGAAGACGAGGGGTTCATGGGCATGTCCCCCCTTCTGCAAGCCCACCATGCCATGGAGAGGATGGAAGAGTTTGTTTGTAAGGTAAGGTGGCTGTTCCTGGTAATTTCCATGCCGTATGTTTAGTCCTTCCCAAACAGAAGTCTGCGAGTTAGGAGAGCAGGGGTGCTGTCCCTCTGGGGCGAGTGTGTTTCCCAGTGGGTGGGAGCAGCGTCAGGACATGAGCCCGTTCAGTACATCAGTCCTTGTGTGCCTGCAGCAGCCCTGATAAAGGTTTGGGAAAACTAGATCATCTGGCCGGGAAACCGGCTCACAGAGTAGACGTCTTGTTGACCAGTTAGACAGACAGAAGGAGACAGAACTGGGGGTGCTCGATGCCTGAGACCCCGAGTCTGCTCTGCAGCATGCTGCTCCTCTCCGGGTCCAGCAGGTGATGGACTCCTCCTCAGGTGGGACTTCCCTAGTCTTCACACGCATCCAGTGTTGCCAGTGTGGCTGCTGTGTTTTCTGAGTCATTAGCATCCCTGTGGGCCTCCGTTCCCCTAAAATGGCATCTGGAATTGGGGTTGCTTGTTTCGAAAACATGATCAGGGACACTGGTATGTATGGGTTTAGCCACTTGATCCATCTGATCCTGGCAGGTGTGACATCAGGTCAACACAGTTCAACCTGTGTGTGTAAATTTATTATTAAATGTTTTTGAAGAACTCTTGATCATTTAGAGAAAAATTTTTCTGACACTGATTTTTCATGAGTTTTGTGAAACCAAGACTTTTTATGTATATAGTCTTAGATCCTAAAAACTAAATTTAGGTTTTTCTACATTTACAATGATGCTAGAAATAATTGGGGCCAGTTGATTTAGAGTCCGGTACTTTGGACCAGAGCTGAGAAGAAAACATTATAATCTGAATATAGACATCTCTTTCAAGACCAGAGGGATTTCGGGGAGAGGGTGGCAAAGTCTAAACACTTATGGATCTACTTTTAGAGCCCAGAAAATTTTAATCAGTGTTTGAAAACTGGTGAAGAAAAAGCCAGTTGAAACATTAAACCCATTCTAGTAATCACTCTCAGTAGAGTTAGAGCAAAGGGATACAAAAGATACATTTTGGTTTTCAAAAGCAAGTTTTTCCCTTAAATCTCAGAGTTAAGTATTCAGTGTCAGCCACTAGGGATTTTTATATTTATGAATCAGTGGGGTGCTGTAGGTAACTTGACTTTTTGTTCTCCCTTCTGAACCTAGAGAGTAAGGCAAATAAAACTTTGCAGTTTTAAGAGCTAACAGGTGGTGAATAAATAGGACACTTGTTTGCTATAGACTATGATTTACTGAAGGAAAAGGAGTGGGTCATAAAATTATTATGAGCCCCTGTTATCCCCTAGAAGTGTGTCTGTGCGGAAGGGGCAGGCTTCCTGAGTCACCCCACCCACCGCGGCCGAGCTCCTGACTGTCCTTGCCTGCCTGCCTGTATTTGGTGACACCGGGTTCTGTTTCTTGGAAGCATGTAAACAGACAGTTGAGAATGCGGTGTCCTGCCCTCTTGCCTGTGTGCTTTGCCTTGTGGAGAAGGCTTTCCCACAGGAATAGGGGGGGTAAATAAAGTCATCTAGGCTTTAGAGAGTGTTTGTATTTGGCATCTCTTTTATTCAAGCCTTCAGTCGTTGCTAGTCTACCAGCAACGTGGGGTAGTCTGGCCCATGTGGACATAGAGGTCTTCTGTGGGTCATTTTCTTTTTTTTTAATATGTTTTGTGTATCATATGGTCTAATACTGAGTTAGTGAGCCATTGCTAAGATGTTTGATTTAGGCATTGCCCTTTTCAAGCTTATAAACAAAGGTGTCTTTGACTAAGCTATGACCTTGTTCTTCCTGCCTGGAGTTGAGAGGGGAGAATACCTGTTTGGGTCAGCATTTGGCTGCCCTGCAAGTTGAGTGGTGGGTGCAGTGTAATGATGGAGGCACAGCACCTGGGCCCCAGTCTTCAGAAGCCAGAGTGTGTGTTTAGAAACTTCAGGAAAAGTCGCTCTGACACTGTGTACCGGTGTCACTGGTAAGAGCTAGTAACTGCTCGTGTGATAACATAGTAGCTCTTCTTATCACAGCAGAGCTGTTTGCAGGCTGTGAACTGCCTGGAGGGAGGCAAAGTTTGGTTTCCATCTTAGAAAATAAAGTTCTCCCCAAGTGAAGCTGAGTAGCAGCATCTGGTGACAGATGAGCTTCTTTTGTTGCACGTTAGGAACCGGCAGGGGGAAGGCGGGTGAGCACAGGCCCGGTGTCGGGAGGAGGGTGGAGACGGAGCTTCAGTGCCATTGCGAGGGGGTCCCTGCTGTTCTTTGGTTTCTCGTCCCACCCCAGTGGAGTGCAGGGAGGGGAGGGCTGGGGTGGGTACAGTGGCCAGCAGGTGGGGCCCGAGGGGGAGCCCTTGGTGGACGTTCTCCTACCTCCTTGGCATCTGTTTGGCTCAGCAGGGGCAGGATAGTTTAGGTGGAAGTGATCTTACAGTGTGAGCTCACTGGGCTGAGAGACATGAAAGGAGCGGAGTACTGAGGCTGACGTGTTTTTTAGGAGGGGCTCCCCCACCCCCCATCCCTTTCCTTTAGAGCCTGACTGGGGAATGACATCGAGGAAGAGGAAGGGCGGGAGGCTGTGCTCCTTTGCCGGCTCCCCAGGCACAAGCTCTCGGGTGGTCCGCCTGTGGGGACAGCAGGATTGCACACCACCTTTGGGGTGGGGGTGCCACGGGTCATTTCTGTGGATCCTTGTCAGTTCCCACACTCTTTTTGTCATTTTATAAACAAGGAAACTGAGGCTTGAGGATTTTTGTAGTTAATGAAAGCTCCTTCAACTGGGTAATGGCAGAGAGCCAAGGTTTTCTGACCCCTTTGCTCCTTCTTTCAGCTTCATTATATTTGTTGTGATTAGACGAGAAACCAGAGAGGGAGGCAATTTTAACAAAAGGCACCTAAGTGTGAGTCTATGTTTTTCCCCACTAACAGAAATATTAAGTATAAAAATGGTCTTACCTAATTCAACAGGGATTTTTCCTGGTATATATTAGGGGCTTCCCTGGTAGTTCAGTTGTTAAAGAATCCACCTGCAATGCAGGAGACCCCAGTTCGATTCCTGGGTTGCGAAGATTTGCTGAAGAAGGGATAGGCTACTCACTCCAGTATTCTTGGGCTCCCCTGGTGGCTCAGCTTGTAAAGAGTCTGTCTGCAATGCGGGAGACCTGGGTTGGATCCCTGGGTCAGGAAGATTCCCTGGAGAGGGGAAAGGCTACCCACTACAGTATTCTGGCCTGGAGAATTCCATGGACTGTATAGTCCATGGGGTCACAAAGAATCAGACATGACTGAGTGACTTCATGGAGAAGGGAATGGCAACCCACTCCAGTGTTTGTGCCTGGAGAATTCCATGGACAGAGCAGCCTGGTGGGGTACAGTCCATTGGGTTGCAAAGAATCAGACACTACTGAGCGATTAACACGAAGTCTGTAGTGAAGGATGAAGGAGGGGCACCTGTACGGGCGGGACTTCAGCCCCTCATCTTGCCTTGGCCAGACCGAAACAGAGCTGGAAAGCACTTTTTTTTCTTCTTGGCCATGTCTCGTGGCTTGCCCATGTCAGTTCCTCGACTCGGGACTGAACCCAGGCCCTCAGCAGTGAAAGCACAGAATCCTAACCATTAGGCCACCAGGGAAGTCGCCTGGGTGTTTTCTGTGACTTCATTTGCTCTTTCCTTTTCCTTAGAAAAGCTCCCCTACCCCAATAAAAGAAATGTGTTTTTTCCTCAGTTTTTTCAGAATATAGGACATTATGCCTTTGAATGCATTTGTCTTTCTAAAGATAGTTTACTTTATCTCATTGTAAGGCAGTGCAGTAAGAGATAGCTGTCAGTGTTGCTGAATCAACAGTTAAACCCGCAGAGGTATTTGCTGATACTCTTCCAGGTCTGGGAAGGTCGATGGCGAGTGATCCCTCACGACGTGCTGCCTGAGTGGCTCAAGGATAACGACTTCCTCCTGCATGGACACCGGCCCCCAATGCCTTCTTTCCGGGCCTGTTTTAAGAGCATTTTCAGAATACACACCGAGACAGGCAACATCTGGACACATCTGCTGGGTATGTTGAGTAGTAATGGTTAATGTGATCATTCTGTTCCTCCCCCCACCGCTGTATTTAAGGGTAAGGACAGAACTTAAAAAGTGTGTTTTGAATTTGCTGTTTTTGTTTGCTGGATTTCTAGTGATGCAGTTCCTCTGTGGTTGTCTCTGGTTGTCCCAGTTTACACTAGGTTCAGACATGTCCTTAAACCAGGCCAAGGAAAAGGCACCATGCAGAATTGGCTGTAATATTTTAACGAGCATGAAGAGGAAAGTAGTTATTTCACAGAAGTAAGTTGATTTTTAAAAGTCATTACGAATGGCCAGTGAACACATGAGAAAGGTGCTTAATGACATTGTGAGTCATTTGAGGAAGTGCAGTGAGATACCACTTCACACTCACAAGAGTGGCTGTTATCAAGAAAATAGAAAGTGACAAGTCTTTGCCTGGATGTGGAAAGATTAGAACTCTGGTCATTGCTGGTGAAACGGAAAATGGTGTAATCTGTTTGGAAAACGGTTTAACAGTTCCTCAGAAAATTAAATGGAGTTACCAGCAATTCTAGGTATATACCCAAGAGTATTGAAGACATATTCCCACAAAGGTGTGTACATGAATGTTTTTAGCAGCTTTATTCATCATAAGGGGAAAGTGGGAACACCCAAGTATCTATCACCTGACCTATAAATAAAGTGTAGTATATGGATACAGTGGAGTATTATACAGCCTTAAAAGGGCTGGACTGCTGAGAATGAGCTACAGCACGGGCTAGCCATGAAAACCTTGTGTGAAGTGAAAGGAGCCGGACACAAAGGCCGGGTGCTGTACGATCCATATACACGAAGTACCCCAAATGGGGAAATCCATAGAGCTAGAAAGTCCAGTAGGTCAGTGCTTGTTAGGGTTGTTGGAGGGGGGCTAGGGGGGTGGTGATGGGAGATGGCTGAGCAGGTGTGGGACTTCTTTTTGGGGCAGTGAAAATGTTCTGTGATGAAATAGTGATGATCGCACAACCTGGTGAATGTATTGAGTAGTCTGGCCTTTCCCTGTTTGATGTACATATCTTACCACACGTTTGATTTCCTCTGTGCCTCCAAGTTTTCCAGAATCAGAGAGTAGATCAGAGTAGAGAATCAGATCGAGTTTGTTGCTGACTTCTGACTTTCCTAAATGATCACGCAGAATCACTTAGCAAATGTTTTAACTTCTTAATTTCTGTGTTTGTCTTGTGTTAAGTAGCCTTTGCCCAAGCAATAAGAATGTGGTATCTTACTGTGAAGAACAGTTTAAAAACTGGTTTGAAATTGCCCAAATGGCATTTCACTGTCCCTAACTCCTGACTGTGGGCCAGCTGGTGAGGACCAGAGCCGCAGGTGTTTCCGTAGAGCAGTTGGTGGAGATGAGCTGTACTTCCTAGCAGAGTTTGGAGGGGTCAGCGTTCATTGCAAAAGAAACTGCCAAGTGGGCCTTTGAAAGCTGACTGTGGCACATGTGCCAAAAACATTATAAATGGGATTTCTTGGGGATCTAGTGGTAGCGATGGGCTTAGTTAGCAGGCCTTGTCTGTTTTCTTTTTGGATTAATCACAAGTTTCCCTGTTATACCGAGCTTGTGAAGCTGAGGGTTGTGTGATACCAACAGTGTCTGGAGCAGACCAGCGTTTTGGATAAGGTTTAGTTGTTTGGAAGAATTTTGATTCAGATGTCAGGACTGAAAAGTTAATCGATACATAACACTCTCTTCAGAAGGTAGTAACCCTGGCTTTCTTCCATCCTCTTCTCTAGGTTGTGTGTTCTTCTTGTGCCTGGGGATCTTTTATATGTTTCGCCCCAACATCTCCTTTGTGGCCCCCCTGCAGGAGAAGGTGGTCTTTGGATTATTCTTCCTGGGGGCCATTCTCTGCCTTTCTTTCTCGTGGCTGTTCCACACAGTCTACTGCCACTCAGAAGGGGTCTCCCGGATCTTCTCTAAGTAAGTATCTGCAGAGTCCCTGTTTGGATCAGTGATCCCAAGCCCGTGGGCTCAGGGAGAGCATCCAGCAGAGTTGGCAGAACCCTTGATACTGCCTGCCAGGCACTCTTGACTGGAACCTGTAGGGGGCAGTGATGTTCAGCAGTAAATGGATTTTTTTTCCTATCCTAGACTGGATTACTCTGGTATTGCTCTTCTGATTATGGGAAGTTTTGTTCCTTGGCTTTATTACTCCTTCTACTGTAACCCGCAACCTTGCTTCGTCTACTTGATTGTTATCTGTGTTCTGGGCATCGCAGCCATCATCGTCTCCCAGTGGGACATGTTCGCCACCCCCCAGTACCGGGGCGTGAGAGCAGGTAAGAAGCCCAGACCGGGTTCCGTGCTGCCAGTCTGCACGAGAGGGCCGCTGCTGGCCACGTGTCAGGCTAGGTACTTGTGATGCAGAGATGGAGAAGCCACAGTTCCTGTTCTTGAGGGGCTTGTAATGTTGGGGTGTCCCTGCTCGTCTCACAGCATCAGTGGGGGCGGGTGCTGAGCTGATGCATCTGGTAGTACAGTTTACGTGTGGTCCTTCCAGCTGTGGCACCATAACTTTTGTGAAATGATGGTTCCTTTCTATGTATTTTCATTTTAAAATGTGTAAAAAAAGAGTCTTTACTCCCAAACTGATGGTGTTATAGAGATAGCACACACTTTCTCTGGTACAGGATGAAGAGGGTTTTATGTTCAGGATCATGCCTGTTTGGTTGGAAACCAACCAAAAGCCCCTTCCTTCTGGTGTGTGGGCCTGCACTGGGACCTGACCCTGTGGGAGCCAGGGCTGTGTCCTCAGTGTTTGCCACTAGTACCACACCCAGTGCCTGCTGAGAGTGAGCAGGAAGTGCTAAAAGGAGTGCTCTTCCTTCCAGTCTTTTTGCTTAGACCAGTTTGTGTTGAAGCCCAAGCCACAGGTAATCTGCAGCTCCTGTCCGTGGTGCTTGGTCGAGGCGCACACCTCACGGCGGCTGTAGAGCCCTTCACCTTTAGGCTGTAGCTGGTTGTGACCTTTCCTTTTACAGCCCTAGACGCGTGTCAACAGTACATGAGTAACATAAAGTACAAAACTTGGACAGAATGGTGCTTAACCTTCAACTTGACACAGTCTGATGCGTTTTATCTCAGTTCATTTAAAAAAAAAAAAGTGGTGATCCAGACTCAGCTTAGTCTTAAAACCTAGGGCATGTCCAGAACTTTGCAGATCACTGCTGTCAAGGGTTCAAAGACAGTCTGGCTGTGAGGGGCCCATGCTGGTGGACTTGGGTGTCTGACTGGTGCCCTGAGACCCCTCCCTCTCTGATCGCCTGCCTCACGTCACTCTCACCTGGCGGTCTCCGTTGTCTCAAGGGAGGATAAACTATGCAGAACTGCTCTGTACTGTAATCTGCGTCTTATAAAGAAGCGCATATAGGGTGTTGTAAGCCAGCTACTCAAATTGTTGGTTCCTGAGGCATTCATCAACACATCACTCCAAGCCCCTTGAAGACTGCTGATTTGTGGAGCTAAGGCTTTTTCAGCAGGAGGCTCTTTGCCTTTGTAAATAGATCTCTTTTTAGAATGTAGCCGTGCTGAATTGCATGGCAGAATCCCAGAGTTTGAAGAACCTTCTTTTTCCTTTCAAACCAGAAGCTAATGTTGCATCTTGCTTTTGAGATACTCAGTTTACAGAGTCACTGGTATTGTGCCAAGTTGTTCCTCCTCTTTTCTCCTTGTCTCCATTGTGTCCTTCTGATTCCCAGGAGTGTTTCTGGGCCTCGGCCTGAGTGGGATCATCCCCGCCTTGCACTACGTCATCTCGGAGGGCTTCCTAAAGGCCGCCACCATCGGGCAGATTGGCTGGCTGTTGCTCATGGCCGGCCTGTACATCACGGGGGCGGCCCTGTACGCCGCCCGCATCCCTGAGCGCTTCTTCCCCGGCAAGTGTGACATCTGGGTAAGTGTGGTCGGTGGCTGGGGGTGGGCAGGGTTCACTGTCTTATCTGTCCATCTGTGAGTTAGTTACTGGCACCCAGGGAAGTGAAATGATTGAGGAAGTACCCTCGCCCCAGCTTCCCTCTGAGCTGTGTCAGCGTGGTGAGTGTGGGGCTGAGGGCGCGCCCTGCACGGACGGCCCCGCCATGAGACCCGCCACCCCATGATGAGCCGTAGCCGCTGTCAGGGCCTTCTCGGGACCGGCCCGGGAGCTTGGGTGCTCCTTACTCAGCGCCCTGCCCTTCAGGTGTGGAGTCATTGTCCCCCTGGCCCCGTGCTGGGCGGCAGGTTTTCAGGCTGCCTCCATCTGGTCTCCTCGTGTGTGGGAGGAGGGGGACAGACTAGGGTTTTACCCGGCTCCTTTTCAGTACCAGCATTCAGCGATTAGCAACAAGAGACTGATCTGTGTGTGTGGTTGGAAGGGAGGTGGGATAACCAGATGGTGGTTAAAGGTAAACCAAGGGGAGGAAAGGGTGGGGGGCGGGGGGAGAAAATGCAGGGCACCAGTGGACAGCCTGGTACTGGTCCACACACTGGTACCGGTCCGTGGCCTGTTAGGAATCAAGACTGCACTGCAGGAGGTGAGTGGTGGGAGCATGCGAAGCTTCACCTGTATTCACAGCTGCCCCCCGTCACCCTCATTATTGCCTGAGCTCTGCCTTCTGTCAGGTCAGCGGCCCCCTTCAGAGTCTCACAGCAGCGAGCACCCTGGCCCTCAAATTAAGGTGATATCCTGAGATGGCCACAGAAGAGGAATACGTGCACAATAAAGGCAGTCCCCCGGCGTCAGGGGTGCACTGCGTCCCGAGCTTGGGGCCGCAGCTCTATTTCTGTGGGGACAGCTGGCCTTCACCTCAGCAGAATGTGATACGCCTGCTGGGTTCTCTGAGATCAGGGATGCCTCGAATTTGAGCCACTGCACCCACCCCGCCCCGGCTCTGCACAGATAGTCTTAAGGGTCTTCTGCCGACTTAGTGATGTCTCGCCCTCCCCGCTTCTGCCTCCAGTTTCACTCTCATCAGCTGTTTCACATCTTCGTGGTGGCTGGCGCGTTCGTCCATTTCCATGGGGTCTCGAACCTCCAGGAGTTCCGTTTCATGGTCGGCGGAGGCTGCAGCGAAGAGGACGCACTGTGACAGCGGCCAGAGGCCGGGGACGGTGACCCCCACTGGCCGTGACGCCAGCGCCAGAGCAGCCCCACAGCGCGGGGCTTCGTGATGCCCCAGGGCTCCACGTGGTCCGCAACTGGGAAGAGAAAACAAAAATAAATCACACCTCACAGGTGGAGAAGAGGCGAGATGGCCCAGCCCTGCCTCGTTCTTGGGTCTGGCCGACGGAGGGCACTCGAGCCCCGGGCACGCTGGCCTCCGTGCTTGTAGCCGGTGGGGCCGTCAGCTGGAGGCGCCTCCTCCTCCCTCCTCTCTTAGAAATGGTGACACCGACCAGTGTTGGCGAACATTTATTATGTCCTCAGAGGGGTGGCAGTGTGATTTTAGATGCCCTTTTGGGAGAACAAAGAAATTAATGTAAATAAGATTTCTAACTTACTGTTTAAATAAAAATTTATATAAATGTTTAAACCACAGGGCTAGGGGAGGGAGGGAGGCTTTTGTATAGAACGAAACACACGAGAGCCACACGCTGTTCCAATTTTGCACATGTGACCGCCGGAGGATCAGGCAACAGCCCCAGAATGTATGATGCCCGGCGCCCCGGGTGCCTTCTGCCTTCGGGGACACCTCAGGCCCCGGGGCGGCAGCGTCCTGCCCAACGACCCTGGAGAGCCCGAGGCGGGGGCGGCGTGTTTGTTGGGGGAAGTGGGGTGTGTGAGATCGAGGCAGTAGTGACTGTGTCAGAGTTTGAGTGACTTGTTTCTGCCACCTACCCAGAAACGTCACCGAGGCTGGCGGGGATTGGGGGAGCACCCACAGGGCTTCCTGCATCCTTTTCAATGCGGTGGAGACTCAGCTGGTTGCAGGGGTGGGGATGGGTTGTTTGCAGTGGAGCTCTGGACCACTCTCTATGAGTCCCTCCGGGAGAATCACTGCCTTACCTCCCCCTCACCTTCCCCGCCCCCAGGAGTAGAGACCACCTTCCCTGGCACCACAGCTCCTGGCCTGAGGCTAGCCGCACAGGGGCCCAGGGCCCGCCAGCTGTGGTGGGAGTCTCCCTGTGGTGCTGTCCTGGCGCCTGGGGGCTGGGCACATGAACACCAACCCGACCCCCCTTCACTCCCGCCACCCCGGTCAGGTCTCCAGGAACAGGGAAGCCAGCAGCACGCCTCTGAGGCCAGAGCCCGTTACCCACCAGTGCTGGGGTGACCGGCACCCCCAGAACCCAGTTTTCTAGGGGTGGTGTGGTAGGAAGGTTTAGAAGGAAGTGATACATTACTGCCAGGAAGTCTGGTTGGCTCCTTGAAGCTGTATCTTTGAGGAGCTGCTCAAATAAGGCTGCTTGAGCCCCAGAGGTGTCCTGTGGGGGTGTCAGAGTCCAGTGTAGAGGGTCTGGCTCCTAGGAGGCCTGCACCTGCCCGTGTAGCCCTGAGTCCATTTTTTACTCTCAGCAAAGGCTTCAGGTGGTTGAATCGCACCCAGGATGGCAGGTGTCAAACGTGAACAAGGTCCCAAGCCGGGCTGGCCACCTCCCACCAGTGTTGGGAACATGGGAAGGTCTCCCATTTATTCAGTGTGGGTTTTTTTCTTGGTTAGGTGTCTCCTTTTCCCCGTGTCTCCAGCAAAACCTGGGAACCGGGAAGCAAGCATCCTTTGTAGAGCTCGGGAATGTTCTGGTCCTGAGTGAGGGCACTGCCTCCGGTGCCAGGTGCACTGGTGCCATGTGGACGGTGGCAGAACAGTATTACCCCTCCGGGAACACGGCCCACAGTCCGTCATCCCCCCGCCCCCCCCCCAGGAGAGTCTCCCTGGGCTTCAGGATGTACCCCAGAAGCCAGCCTTGCGTCCGGTCACCTGCCTGGGGAAGCGGTGTGTTGTGTGTGGCCCCTGCGACACCGCCAGCAGTCCGGGGCCCAGCCGCCCCCCTCCACACTCCCCAAAGAGGAGCTGCACCTGGCTCAACATAGCACAACCCCTTAGAAAGTGACGTGATCACCAACCAGACATCCCCCACCCCGTGACGGCCCCTCCCTGGGAAGCGGGCGGGCACCCACCTCCGTGTGTCCTCGAAGCCCCGGCCGCCTCACGCACGCCTCCGCCTGCTGGGAACCCCACAGGTCGGCGCCTGGATGCCTTACTCTCAGCAGTCAGAGGCTCGCTTGCTCCGTGCAGCAGATGTTCATTTTCTCTTCGGGCCCGTGGCCATTTCGGACCTCTGCAGCTTCATCCTCTCACCCATTGAAGAGTGGCCTTCTCAGTATTTCCCCCTTCCCGTTTATAAATTGTCAAAGCCACAAAGCACATTTTTGGGGATCGTAGAGGGCTGGGATTCCAGAAGGGCATTTGTGCGATGGCCCCATTCACCATGGGATGTCCCTCCTTGCTGTATTCTCAAACTTCTAATAAAAAAAACCAAGTGGAATATGAATGTGGGTTTTTTTGTGCCTTTTTTTTTTTTAAAGAAAAAACTGCCTCAGCTTCCCTCTCCATAGCTTTTGGTACTTCTTAGCTTGAAGCCTTCATTTAGATACTGAAGCTTAAATTTCTGGAAACATCCCACTCTGAGTGCTGGAGACCATTCTGAAAAAGCTCTCTATGGACTGACTGGTCAACAAGTTAAACTCTTGTGAAATTATTAACATTCAGGATTCTTTGGCCACAAAGGTATTTTCTATACTGAACAAAATATCTCAGGACACTTAGGGGTTCATTAGTCATTGGGCTACCAATTTTTTGAAAATCATGTTGTATACTGTCATTTTCAGTGTAGTGTTGAGAGTCTGTGAAAATTGAAAATGTTCTCTGGCAGTTTTAATTAGATAATCTTGTAATTTGTATATTTCACGTTTCCATTTAATGTTCCTAACGTGTTAATGATGGCAGGCAGGATGATGATGAGTTAATAAAGAGGGTGCAGTATAAAAACCAGTGCTCATGCCCAACCCAAGCCTTCCCAGCCTTCCTTACACTTTCATCATAACTGGAGTCCCAGGCACAGAACAGAGGGGAGAGCCAGCTCCAAGGGGCAGTTACTAATTTATCATTAGAGGTACAAAAATAATACCTGAAGAACGCATCATGCAAGGGGGTGTGTTAAAGCACTTGACGTGTCACGTAATTGTAACCAGCACCCAATGAACAGATCTGTTGTTTCACTCTTGTTTTGTGGGTGAGATCAGAAGAGGTAAAACTGACTTGTGACACAGTCTACACTAAGACGAAAATTCAGATTGAATGGTCTCTATGTAGGGACTTCCCTGGTGGTCGTGGTTAGGACTTTGGGCTTCCACTGCAGAGTTTGCAGGTTTCATCCCTGGTTGGGGAACTGAGATCCCCTTGCTGCATGGCACGGCCAAAAATAAAAGCCTCATGCCTTTTGACTGAAAGGTTTTGGGGGTTAACCTTTCTATGTAATTTAAGAGAAGAGAGGAGGTCCCAGCCCTTTTTGCCTTGGGTATATTTAGTTTTTTTCAGGGGAATTACCAGCATTTGGATGAATTCTCATTTTAAGTGTAGGAATAGGTTTTTTGCATAGGGAACCTGGAGGGTGGGACACTGGGTTGTGTCCTGTTTTTTTTTTTTTTCATGTGGGCCATTTAAAAAGTCTATTGAGTTTGTTACAGCATTGCTTCTCTTTTATGTTTTGATTTTTTTGGATGCAAGGCATGTGGCATCTTAGTCCCCAGCCAGGGATTGAATCTGCATTGGAAGGCCAGGTCTTAACTGCCAAGGAAACCCCTCCCGTCCTGCTCCGGATGACCGTCCTTGAGGCCTACAGATAGCCCTTGGCTTTCCCAAGTCCTTTGCTGAGCTGTCTGTAGGCACCGCTTTCATGGTGATACCTGTGGTGCGGGAAAGGAAGTGGATAAGGACTCATGTGAATCCTGGCCTGACAGTTGCTAGGGCTCTGGGGCCTGGAGACGCCTGCAGGCACCGTTGTTCCCAGGAATAACCCCTGATCTCCGAGTGTTCTGCGAGTGTTCTGCTCGGTCGGGGCTCAAGCGTTGACCCCATGCCCTGTGTCCTGCTGGACGGGTTTTCCTGCCTCCAGCCCCATGACTTGTGGCAAACTGGTCTAGTGTGACTCTGCCTTCGGTGGTGATGGTGGTAGTCTAGCCGGGCTAGAAGAATGGCCTGTCACTGCCACCCCTGCCACCCTGGCCTGGGGACAGCACCCGGGCCTGCCAAGACAGCTGTTTCCTCCTCTGTGAACTCGTCCCCGCCCTACCTCGCCCCAAGTCAGCATCCCTCACTTGAGCCGCAGGGATGGGCTGCCGTCTGGGCCAAGCTCTTGCCCTCATTCTTCCCCAAGTTCGTGTCTTTGACTTGGAGATGTCCGCTCCCTTGCCCTCTGGAACGAACTCCCCCTTGACGTTGTGGAGCGGTGCTCAGGCCTTTTCGCCTCAGCAGCGCTTGCATTAAAACACGCTCAGAGGTGGCTTAGGAGCTGGCACCCCTGAGGACAGAGCTGGCAGCCCTGGCACCCTCGGGCATCCACAGGTTCTTTAGGAAAAGGGACTTCAGGACTCTCTCCCCCAGAATCTTCTCATCTATTCAGTGACTTTGGTTTTAACTTTGTTGGTCTGAGCTTCCCTGGTGGCTCAGATGGTAAAACGTCCGCCTGCAATGTGGGAGACCTGGGTTCAATCCCAGGGTCGGAAAGATCCCCTGGAGAAGGAAATGGCAGCCCACTCCGGTATTCCTGCCTGGCAAATGCCGCGGGCTGAGGAGCCTGGTAGGCTACAGTCCATGGGGTCGCAAAGAGTCGGACATGAGTGAGCAACTTCACGTGTTGGTCTGAAACCAAGGTGATGGCTCTTTAGCGTGAGCTAGGCTGCCACCTGCTGTCCTCTGGGCCGTGGTGGTGGTGGTGGGGGTGGCGGAGGGTTAGAACCACCAAAATAGAAAAGGGCAAGAACAGCTCTGACCTCCGAAGGCAGGGCTTATGTTCTCTTCTTCCATCCTGGAGAGAGGTTAGAGGTCAGGGTCTGGACACACACCGATGCCCCCGAAGGGCCTGGTGAGGGAGGGGCTGTCACCTTGAGGGCTCTGTGACATGAAGGTGGGGAGTCGAGCTGAGGGGGTGGTAGACAGGCCCCCTGCTGCCTCCTCACCCACCTGTACCTGGCAGGCACCTGTGACCTTGCCTGTTATTCCAATGTCCTTTCTCCCCTCCACCAGGAAAGCAGGTGCTTCAGAGGACAGCAGGTGACATGCTGTGGGTGCCGACTGTAGGCCATGTGGATTCAGGTTCAGGATACAGACACCATGTGCATGCCTCACACATCACGTTGACCTCTTCCAGGGAGGCCGGCTGAACGTAGAGATCGGAGGCCACCCCAGGGTTTCTGCGCGGTTCTGCCTTCAGCGTCACTCCCACAGTGGGGACTGCGGTCCTGGGGAACCAGGTCTGCATGGGAGGAAGCCGCGGCCCCGAGATCCCTGGGTGGAGGGACGTGCCCAGACGCATCCGTCTCCCCCACTGGACTCCGGTTTGCAAATGGGAATGCTCCCCAAAGCTCCAGCTCCAAGGTCAGAGTCAGGTGGTCTCTCTTGTAGATCAGCAGCCAAAAAAAGACCACCCTGGGTCCTTGGGCCTCCAGGGGGTCTGGAACCTTCAGGACCCCCCTGACTATGCCTCTCTGAAGACCAGTCTTCTGCTAGGACCCCTCTGGCTGCAACTGGTCCTGCCCCTTGCCCTGCACTTACATCCTTCAGTGCAGCAGCTGTATCGCTAACCTACTAGCCTTTTCTTAGAAAGAGGCACATGGTAAGTCAGGGCTTTGCAAAGACATTTATAGAAATTTTTTTAATAGCAATAGTTTGTGGGCATCACACGCAGCCATGTTCATGTAAAGGACCTGCCTTCTCTCTCTCTCTCTCTCACACACACACACACACACACGCACACACACACACACACATGCACACACACACAAACCTTTTTTTGAGCTTCAACTGTGAGACTGAGCTGCCTCGCTGTACACCTCACCCTGGGGCAGCTACATCTCCAGTGGGGAGCGTTCCTGCCCTCTTCCCCTCTCTGCCCTCAGCCTCATTCCTCTCCTCCTTCTCAGGACATTTAAGTCCTTGGATTCTACTGAAGACCAGCCAGGCTCATTAGAAAGAGCTGCCCCTGTCTCTGGCTGGGTCTGGATTTCTGGGGGAATAGATGGAACTAAAGCTCTCTGGTCTTGGTCCAGATTGAGCTCATGCTGGACTCCCCAAGAGGAGGTAGGGGGAAACTGCCCACTGAGATGCGGGCTGGAGGGTACCCAGCACCCTAGAAGGTCTTTAGGACGGGTTTCTGACTCCTCCAGCAATCTCAGGAGGCCCACGACTGTGATGAGCATGGTCTTGGGCAAGAGAACCCAGCTGTAGAGTGCCAGACGGCACGGTGGACTGCTGACTCTTCCCAGCGTCAAAGCAGGCCCAACGGGGTGTGGTCACCGCAGCAGCTGGGACGGCAGCACCCAGGCCCACAGAGGCAGCAGGAGCAGGGGTAATGAGGCCGAAGTGTCTGAGGCACCTCCGCAGTCCTGGGCGTTCTCCTGCGGACCCAGAGCGCTCCCGGTGAGGCACCCGTCCAGGCAGAGGCGACCGGGAGACTGGGAATCGGGTGGGAGGTTCTGGGACTAAGAGGGACCGAGGGCTGAGGGAGAGGGGAGTACCAGCAAGTGGAGGGAGTCCCCTTTCTTAGACAACCCCCCGAATTCTAGGGGAAGGCAGATGGAAGGACTGTGGAGTCATCCTCTTAGAGTGACTGCAGAGAAGCCTGGCACTCTGGGAGCATCCTGGCTGTGGAGGCAGCGTGTCCAGCAAGGACGACTCAAAGAGCCCAACTATGGTGTTCAGGGCTGGTCACCACGGTGTTATGTGTCTAACCATTTCCTCCTGCCCGCCTGGACCCTGTGGATCCAAGTGCAGTGGGGGTGATGTGGAGAAGCTGTGTTTACCAAGGGCCTGGCCCCTGGGAGACCAGCTCTCATCATAAAAACACTGCCGGGTCCCTCCCTGCGTGAATGCACCCGGTGGCGGTTCCAGGAGGTGCCCTCACAGCTGCACACTGTGTCCAGCGCTCTCATGTCTGAAGGGCACAGGCCAAAGGTTTGGGGATGAAAACCGCCCCCCCCTACAAGCCCCCACCTCTGGATGGAAGGCGTGGCAGGTGTCCGGGCGCCGGCGGAGCTTCTGGGAACGCATCCTGTTGCACTTGACGGAGGCGTTATGTGCAGAGGTCACTGTTAAGGTGAACACAGCTGAGGCGGAGCTGCCGCTGGAGCCTGTGCGTGACAGTCGCTCAGTCGTGTCCGACTCTGCAACCCCATGGACTGTAGCCCGCCAGGCTCCTCCGTCCGTAGGATTCTCCAGGCAAGAGTACTGGAGTGGGTTGCCTTTCCCTTCTCCAGGGGATCTTCCCGACCCAGGGATCGCACTCAGGTCTGCCGCATTGCAGGTGGATTCTTTACTGTCAGAGCCACCCAGGAATCTCTGGGGACTCAGTTCTGGAACCTCTGGTGGGACTGGCTGCCTCACTGCCTTCCGGGGTCAGAGCCGTGGGAAGGGCAGGGTGTTGGTGGTGAGGGTGGCTGGCCCTGCCTCTCTAGATCTGAGCCCCTCAGTGATGACCTGCCTCCCCACTCCCCCGTCCGCCCCTCCACCCTGCCCCCCACCCCCAGACTGGAGCCCCAGAGGATATATTTGACTTCCTCTGCCTCCCGCAGCACTGGCGGGAAGATGCTGCAGTCACAGGTGCGGTCGGTCACCAGGAGCAGGAGGTTGCTGCTGGGGACCTGCTGCATCACAAACGACCTGCGGACACGAGAGCGGTTGGCCCGTGGAGGCTCTGAGCAGCTGGACACTGGGCTTCAGGGAGGCTCTTCTGGAGACAGCACGAAGGCTTGGGGGCCCAGGTCAGCCCCCTGGGCTGGGAGGTGGGAGGCAACCTGGTTTACATCTCCCACAAGCCTTTGCAGCTGCCACGCTCCTTTCCTAGCAGATTGGAGGGAAGGAAGCCTAGACATCTAGGGGGATAGGAGTCGCTCTTGACATCTTCGGGGAACACAGGCCTAAGTCAAGACTGTGTCAAGTAAACAGGCCCGTGTGGAGGGGCTGGCCCCCATCGGTGATACAGTGCTCAGGCTTGGCCACAAGGTGGCGCCCCAGGCCCGCACGCTGCCCGATTGGGAGCCGGGTGGGTGCAAGCAGGTTGCTGTCACTGGCTCAGCCGGTGTGTTGGCCACAGACACTGCCCGTAGGCATTTCCTACGGGGTAGAGGATTTCATACGTGCACATGCACACACACGCAGCACACCCACGTGCCCATACACACGTGCACAACAGACTCACATGTACATATTCAACTTTCTTCACACCATATGAAGTTGGTATTATCCCTGTTTTGCAGATGGGAAAGCTGACGCCTTCTGGGTAGAGTGACGCACCCACGGTGCCAGGTGCCCCAGCCACTCCTGGAACATCCTCCAGCCTCCCGGTCCTCTGCGTGGACAGACGTCTAAGCGAGAGCTGGCCCTCCTTCCCCGAGTCTGCCATGGCCTCAGGGCCATCTCTCCTGTCTGCCAACACGGACACTATGCCAGCCCCATCCCCACCTGGCTGCCATGCTCTGGGCCGAGGCCTGTGGTCCCTCCACCCAGGAAATGGGCACAGAGGCCTTGCCGTGGGGACCCCACCCGGCTTCCTCCCCTCCCTGCTCACTTCTGGCAGGCGCGGCACTCCACGGTGCCGTTGGCTTCCCGCACAGTCGTCTGGTGGACGAACACGGGGTAGGCGGTGTCGCAGGGCTGCAGTAGGTCCTGCTTCTTGTGCTTGTGGGCTGCAGGGACACAGAAGGGCATGGACGCGGGGCCTCGGTCACCCCCGTGGGCGTGGGCCTCGACAGCCTGGGCAGTGCGGTCACTGCGCCGGGAGGAAGACGTTCCGTCCGCTGGCACCTGGCAAGCCATCAGGACTTGGGGGTCCAGAGGGGAGGGAACAGCTGTGCGTGAGTGACGCCCTGGGTGACCCTGGGGTCGCCTGGCTCTCTCCTCACCGTTAGCAGTGATGTCCAGGGGCTGGGAGGAGGTCAGGGGCAGCAAGCAGGGCATGGGGGGCCTGGGAGACGACAGCCCTGCTCCCTGTGGATGGTCCAGTGGGCGCTCTGCAAACACAGCTCCCAGACAAGCCCTGGGCCTCCCCCTCCACTGACCCCATGGTCACTTAGAGGTGGGCGGGGGGGGGCAAAGCCCTGACTTCCTGGACTCCTCAGTGGGGCCTGTGTGGTCACTTGAGTGGGCTCAGAAAGGACCTGGCAAACTCAGAGGCCTGGCAGCCGCCCTGGAGGACCCACGTCCACTCCTGGGTGAGCAGATAGCAGTTCCCTGTGTGGCGCCTTGGCCTCTGGACCACAGGACACTGCCTTCTGGTGTCTCTGCTTGCCCGCCTCACTGGTCCCCAGACTGTCTGCCCCTTCTCCCAGGGAACCCTTGTCTGGAGGCTCCTGGGGGGCAGAGGCCCTCCCCTGGCAGCTGCGTGCAGGAGAGGGCACAATATGTGCTTGGCTGGTTCCACCCCGGACCTCAGCCTCCTCCTCTGGGGTCATGGGGACCTCAAGCAGCTCCCTTCAAGGGGCCCCCTCATAACCCACCCCTGCCTGAAGCCCCCAGTTCCTCACTCACAGCAGGAGCTCATTCACCAGCCACCTGGTAGCCGTCAGGAGGGCAGAGATGGGCTGGGGGGTGGGGAGAGGGAACACACTGTGAGCCCTGGGGCGCCCTCACTCCATCGGAGACCATGCCCCTGATCCCCCCACCCCCTCCCAGCAGTGGGATCAGCGGAAAGCTGTTCTGGGAAATTCCTGCTGTAGAGCGGGTGATGCCCGTCATCACTCTGGGTGTCGTCTATGGGATCCTTGACGGGTTGTGGGTGGTGCGGGGGTGAGGATGGGAACCAGGCAAGGAGGGGGCTGCAGCTGTCCCTCTGCTGGAGGAGTTGCCCTGACACCCCCCACCCCACCCCCACCCCCTGCCAGATAAGACCTGGGAGGGAGCGGACTGTGGGCGGCAGGGGCCTGGGAGAGGTGGGCCCTGATTCCTGGGGAGAAAGGGCCGCCATCTGGTGGAGGGAAGCCCTGGGGGGACACTCACGCTGACCAGGGGCTGGGAGGCACTGTGGTGGTGGGTCGGGGGTCTGCACATGGCCTGGTAGTCGTACATGGTCACTCTGAAGCCAGAAACGGGACAGGGTGAGTCCAGACCCCACCCGGACTCCACCCCGACCCTGTCCTGGGAGACTTTGCAGCAGGATTTTCGTCAGCAGGTCAGAAAATGACATTTCTGGGCTCGGGCTGCTCAGAGAAGGGACAGCAAACCTAGTTTTCCCTCTCAGGTGGACCTCAGCCCTTCCCACCCCCGCAGGTCTCGGGCTTGAGGAGGTTGCTTCTGCAGCCCTGGGGGTCCCTGTGGGGTTCTGAGGTTGGGATCTAAGACGCGTCTGGTCTGTTTAGCATCTGACCCCGCCTCCTCTGTATGTGTTTTGGGTCGGGGGGGGGGCGCCTGCCCCACTTACTGGCTGAACACCCCCATGCTGAGCAGCTGGGTCACGAGCGCACCATCCACCTCCCCCAGGAATCGGCCCACCTGCGAGGGCAAGAAGAGGGAGAGGGAGGGACAGGGGGCTGCTCCAAGCTCCAGACCTCACCTGCGTCTGGGCTTCCCCTCCTGGGGCTCATTAGGTGTGTGTGTGGGGGGGGTTGTACTGTATCTTCGGCTGCTCTGGGTCCAAGGGGGTCCTGGGCGTGTGGCCAGGCAATGTGATGGGGTTCCTCCAGGCCAGGCTGACTGGTGAGGATGGACTTTCCCACCCGGGAGGTCCAGACGAGGGGAGAGAGCGTGAGGAGGGGAGTCCAGAGCCCGGCCTCATGGAGGTGGGAGGGTGGGCGCTGAGGTCTGAGCTTGTGCCTCGGATTCACATGCAGAAAGGTGCCCCCAAGGCGACGGGCCCACCTGATGGTGTTGGTGCTCTCAGAAGAGACGCCAGGGGGCTTCCTGCCCCTTGTGCCTCTGGGGACATACTGAGAACCCTGCCACCCGGGGGGCCCCCTCAGGGGGGCCCCCTCGGGCTCCAGCCCCTACAACTGTGAGCATCTTTGTGGGCCGCCCTGTCTGTGGGCTCTGCTCCGGATGTCTGAATGGACTAAGGTGGGGGCCGGGGAGGCAGATGGGAGTAGGTGGTGGGCGGCAGGAGGGGGCTCAGGACTCTGGGGTGGGCCCCCAGGGCAAGGCTGCAGACAAAACCCGGGGGCCTCGGGGAACCCCCCACCAATAGAGGGGGGAGACAAAACAGACAGAAGATCACCTATGGGCACCTGAGGTGAAAAGGCTGTGATGTGTGTGTGATGTGATGTGTGATGTGTATGATGTGATGTGTGTGTGATGTGATGTGTGTGTGATGTGATGTGTGATGTGTGTGTGATGTGATGTGTGATGTGTGTGTGATGTATGTGATATGTGTGGTGTGACGTGTGTGCACCTATGGCGTGTCCCTGTCCTCTGTACCCTGTGTGTGTGCACGCGGGGTCCGCGGCTGAGATGCGGGCAGGACCTTGCTGGTGGCAGCAGCTCGGTGCACAGGTCAGGGTCCTCACGCTGAGTGTCCGCCTGCACCCCCACACCCACCTGCTGGGTGGCGGCCCAGAAGCTGCGCTGCAGGAACTCCATCCTCATCTGGATGCCCACGGCTGCCGAGGAGCGGGGCAGGGGGCGGCAAAGAGATGGTGAGAGAGGTGTTAGATCCTAGTCCAAGGGAGGAGGTGCATCCACAGAGGGGTGGGGGCACCCGGCAGCCTGGTGAGAGGGCGCGTGCCTCTGTCTCTCCAGAGCCGACAACACCAGAAAACACCCCAAGATGTGATGCTGAGGTCCAGGAGCCAGGAGCTCGAGGTGGATGCCTGGGGAGGCAGTCCCACTTTCCCGCTGAGACCCAGGCTGGAGTCCAGGGTGCTGTGGGAGGCGACACCCCTCCAACACCCGCTCAGGCCCCCACTTAAGAGGCTCCTCCTTACAAAGCAGGACCTGGTGAGCAGGCCTGCAGGAGGCTCCCAGCCCCAGAAAACCCGGCTCGATGCTGCTGCTTCCAAGAGCCACCATGTCTCTCTGGTCCCCAGACAGGCTGGGAGAATGCGAGGTGGTGCCCAGAGGCTAGGAGAAACCTGGGCCTGGAGAATAGGAAGACAGGCAAGTCGTAGAGAAAGAGAAAGCATAAGGAAATGAGGCCGCTTCCTACCATCAGGAACGAGGATAAGAGAAAATGCCCTGGGTGTCAGCTCAAATCCTGAGCGTGAGTCCACACAGCAGAAGGTTTGCGGGGTTCCGTGCCCAAGTTACCAGCCCCTAAACATGAAGAAGACCTACCGCCTGGGGTCTCTAAGGCCCCTGACCGCGCGCTCCTCTGGGCCTGACGTGAGCCCCTGCCGGGAGGGTGCTGATAAACCTGGGCAAGCCCCCCTTGAGGTCTGCAGCTCCCTCTTCTGTGAAACAGGGATGGGTCGGGGTCCCCAGCATTCTGCCATGTTCATGAGACCACGTCATCCCAATGGGGAGGTTTCCCACCACAATCGGGGGCTTTGTTGCTGCTGTTGGGTCTGGGGGTGGGGGTGTGTGAGAGGAGTGGGTGGGAAGGAGACTGGATGCTCCCGTCCCCCATTTCTCCCTACAGCTGCAGGAGGCCTCTCAGCCCTACCCCTCATTTTTCCTATTACAACCTCCCCTGATGCTCATTTCATTTATTCATTTTTAATCTTGGCTGTGCCGCAGGGCATGCAGGATCTCAGTTCCCTGGCTGGGGATGGAGCCTTGTACTGGCAGCATGCTCTGAACCACTGGGCCACCAGGGAGGTCCCCTTGCCCTTCATTTTAGACAGACTTCTCTCACCTGTAGGAAGAAGCTGAGCGAAAGAGGAGGCACCTTCTAACAACGGCCAGAGGGGAGCAGCGTGAATGGTTCAGGATTCAAGAAACCCTGACCTCGGTCTCTGGGTCCAAGCTCTCAGACTCTTTCTAGAGCTAGACTCAACCTTGCAACTCCATGGCTCAGGGCCGGGTCTCCTGGAGGTATGGCATTTCCAAACTGGGAGAAATTCTGGGATTCTAATTCTGGCGTCTCAAGAGTGCGGGGCCAAGGTTTCCCTAATGAGACAGGGTTTTGAGGCTTGTGGCTGGAGACGGAGGAGCAAGGCCCCAAGCCTGTTCTCCGGAACCAGGGTCCATCTCAGGGGTCCACGAGCCACCCCCCAGGCCCTAGGCCCTGGTCCTAGGACTTGGGACATCTCTCTGCTTGCTGTCAGTCCACCCTGGTCACCAGTAGGCATTTCAGACTTCACATGGTCAAAACCCGACTGTGGCTCTTTCTCCCCAAACCTGAGCCTCCTTGAGACCCCTCCCCACAGGAGGCCACGTCACCCACCTAATGGTCACCATCTTGCCGTATCCTGCCAGAGTGCTGCTGCCCTTGTTCCCAAACTTCATGAACCTCCCTGCTCTCTCCACCCCCACCACTACCCCAATCCACCTGAATTAATGCCCCAGACCCCCGAATGGATCCTTCGCCACGGAGCCTTGAGAGTGACCTTCCTGAAGGTTAAATTGCGTCTCTCCCTTGCTCAAAACCTCCCAAGGCCTTCCTGTTGCCCTCAGAATAAAATAGAAACTTCTCTGTGGTTTGGCATCCAAGGCCCTGCCGATCTCTCTGATTTCAGCCCAAATCTCCAACTCCCTTGAACAAGTCTGTTCCCAACTCAGGGCCTTTGCACCAGCTGCCTGTTCCCCTCCACCACCCCCACCTTCCCAGAATGCACTTCCCTAGAATTAATGAAGCACTCCTTCTCACGACTGGATCTCAATGCAAGCAGCATCTCCTGGGGCAGTGTCCTGACCTCCCGGATAATGCGGTCCTCCCCTCGACTGGCCATTCACACTCTATCTCATCACTCTTTATTTTCTAGGAAGCATGACATTTACTTTCCTCATCCATAATCTGTCTTCCCCTACCTAGAATGGGGGCTAACAGCGGGCAGGGGGCTGGAATTCCCTAGCCCGGAGAATAACACTTAGCACGTAGCGAGGCTCTTGATAAATACTTTTTGAGCTAAATAAAACAAATGCTTCTGATTTCTGCAGTTGGCCCCCTGACTGGTGAGCCAGTTCTGCAAGGCCTCCCCTTACCTTGGGGTGGGGGCTCACAGAACTCCTCCCTCCACTTGGAGTCCCGCCTTCCTAGAGATGGGGGTGCTGGGTGCTGGAGATCTAGCTGGGCCTGGTGCTCGAGGACCCAGGGGAACCCACTAAGAGACGGGGAGTTCAGGTGAGACACAAAGAAGAATTTCCTAGGGAGGAACGGTTAGATGCTAAGAGCAGGGGTTGGTTCGGAGTGAGGAAGGCAGGGTGCAGGGCAGGGGGACAAGGGGGCAGGAAGGGGGCATCTTCAAGGATTTAAGGACAACTCACTGTGCTCTGCCATGCCTTACCTGGGGCTCCAATCATTTCGAGCCCTTTTGTTCAATGCCTGCCTCACAACCCGAGGCAGGGCTTCCAAGGTGACTCAGATGGTAAAGAGTCTGCCTGCAGTGCGGGAGACCCGGGTTCGTTCCCTGGGTTGGGAAGATCCCCTGGAGAAGGGAATGGCAACCCACTCTAGGATTCTTGCCTGGAAAATCCCATGGACAGAGGAGCCTGGCAGGCTACCATCCGTGGGGTTGCAAAGAGTCAGACACGACTGAGCGATTTCACTTTCTCAGACAGCTTATCAAGATGCTCCTCTTTGCTCTGCGTCCTGGCTGTCACCTCCGTGTTGCTTTGTCATCACAGACGGCAAAACAAAACAGCCGTGCGGCACACGCACAAATCCACCCCGCCAGAGCCGCTGTGCCCCGGGAGTCGGAAACTCCATCATCCCTCCCTCGCTCTCCTGTCGACTGTGCCCTTGAAACCCAGCAGCAGGCTGTGCTGACCTGGGGTAGGGGGGCGCGGCTGCAGGTCGGCAGGGCCCATCCTTTACATAGCAGCTGGGGAGCCGGTGCTCAAGGACCCGAGACCTCGTCATCCACCTGCCCACTCCGGGGCAGTGAGTAACCCTGCAGTCCTGTTAACAAACAGCTAATGGCTGGTTTTCAGTGAGCAGTGGAGTCCAGCCTCTGGACCCCGATACCTGGCTGGGCTCTTCCGTCCCTGCCCATTCCTCACTCAGCCAGGGGAGGCAGCCCCTCTTCTGGAAGGGCCCTCTGTTGTAGGCCTGGGGTGACCCACCCACCCACAGACAGCTGTCCTTCGTGATACAGGTCAGAGGAGAAGGTCCAGCTGGGCACATGCACCAGGACAGGAGTTCTGGTTGAGTTTTCAAGGAGGGGGAGGTGTCCTGTAGGTGAGGAGAGGGTTCCAGAGGCGGGGAAGGACATGCTGTCCTGGGAGCAGCCAGGGGACCAGGGGGTGTGGGGGGCAGGTGGGGGCCAGTCTCACGATGCAGGGTGGGAGGCTGGGATCCTGGGAGGGAAGGCTGCTTTCCCTCCAACGCTCCTGCTGTTGCCCAGCATAGCAGACAGAGACAGAGGGTGCAGGAGCGTCAAGGGGTCTCTCAGCTTGCACCCAGTGCTGACCACAGACCCCCCGCAAGCAGGCGAAATGGAAGAGGGATGCTGGGTACCCCTGACAAACACGCCATGGATCCAGCCATCAGGCAGGTTTTGAGAGATGCCAGGAAGTTCAACAGGGTCCAGCTCTGGCCGGAGGCTCCTCCCCGACTGGTCCCTGACATCCTTTCCTTCAGGTCAACCCCTGCCTTCCCTTGGAATATTGATTTCTCTAACGCCTCCATCCTGACTGGCTGGTAGAGAGGCCTCTGAGCTCTTGATGTCACTGTCCCCATCCAGCCAGAGGTCCAGGCTGGGGAGGGGGCTGGGTTTGCCCGCCACTCCCCCCCTGCCCCCCGCCCCTGCGCTCCTCCGGGCTCACCCCAGGGCTCTCCAGACAACCTGCCCCCAGGCCTCGGCCCAACCTGCCTGCGTCTCCCTCACCAGATAGCCCTGGTCTGGGGTCATGAGGCTCAGTGACCTCTGTATGTCCTCATGCCCCTGGCTCTGTGTCCTCCCTGGAGGACTTCAAGCAGATGGGCCCTTGTGCGCCCATCCAGAAGATCTCCCTTTGACCAAGACCGGGTTCAGCTTTCCCCTCCTGCAGGCATGGTGGGAGATACGCGGCCCCCACCCCCTAACAGATTCAGAGCGCTTCCCGCTTCCCCGGGGCCTCTGTGCTCTGGGTCCTGCCGCTGGTTCCCAAAGGGAAGGGGAGAGGGGACAGAGCCCGAGGATGCTGTGTGGGGGGCGGCCAGGGCGGGAAAGCCTGCGGAGGAGGGGAGGGAAGGTGGTGGTGGGGAGCGCTGGTAAACAGCAATCCTGCCCCTGGAGTTCAGGGTCGGCCGCATCTCCCCCTGAAACGGGAGCGTTTCAAGGGTGAGCGCCTCCGGTGTGTGTGCGCCCGCCCGCCCGTGCGCCCGCCTCCCGTGTGCGCGCCTGTCGCTGTCATCGCGGATGTTCCCCCGCTGTCACTCCGCTGCTCTCGGCTCGCGCGCGCGCCCCTCCCCGCCTGCCCCTCTCCGCGGCTCCCTCTGTCCCTCCCTCTCCTCCTCCGGGTGTCATTGACCCGGCAGCCCTGGCCCCAGGAGGAGGCGGCTGGCCGCAGGCGTCCCTCCCGCCGGTGCGCTGCTGCCGGGTCCTGCTGGGGACCCAGGTCCTGCTGGGGATCGGGCTGTGCTGCTGTCTGATTCCTCCAGGAATTCCAGGAGGGGCTGGCTGGACGGCTCAGACCTCTGATTCAAGGGGCTTGTTCGCGCCAAAGGTGAGTGCTGAGCGCTCGGCGGGGGTGCGGTGGTGGGGGGGGCGTTGCAGGAGCTGGGCTTGGGGCCCGCGCCCATCCTTGCTGGGTTCTGTGCCTGCAGGGACAGCTGCTCTGCCTCCTACCTGGGGGCAATGGCTGGGGCTGGGGCTGGACTCAGGACCACACGTCTGGGCAGCTGAAGGGCACAGGGAACTCTGACCTCCCGGTGATGGGGACAGGAGCCAGGATTCTGCCAGAGGAGGAGGGAGGAGGCAGCCACGGGGCCAGACGACAGGCCCGGTGGCATAGAAACCGTCCCTGCAGCATGCGGGGTGCCAGCCGGGGGCCCTGGGCCACCTGCATGCCCAGCTCGGCACAGACAGCCCCGGAATCTGGGTGCCATGGGAAGGGGGCACAGCGGACATCTGTGGGGTAGGGGGCAGCCTGGGGCACTGGACCTCGGGGACCTGACTGACGTCTCTACAGGACGCCCTCAGTGTGGGGCTCTGCCTCCCAGGAGGCTGCCCTTGGACGGGGTGCAGGGGAGCCTGAGTCCCCAGGCTCCAGCGGATCCTCCCTGGGGGGCGTGGCTGGGAGTGGACGAGGGAGGGGTGCCTCCCAGCCCTTCCTCCTGCCCTTCCTCGAGGCGCTGGATCAGCTCTCAGCCCACCCAGGCCAGGTAGCGGCCCTGGGAGCCAAGCTGAGGCTGGAGTCCCCCAGATGCACACCCCTTCTACCTACAAAGGGGTCAGGAAGCCTTGGGAGGGATGGTGGACTTAGCTTAGGGGTAGCCAGGACAGGACAGTGCAGGACAGAGGCCCCCTAACCAGGCATCTGGGCCTCCTTGTCCTCTCCCTGAGCTGCTGTCTCCTGCCTGGGGTGGGCGGGGGGCGGGCTGGCACCTGGCTGTCAGGCCCTGGCTGGGCATCACCTGGCCTGACTCAGATTGACACCTGGCAGCTTAGATAACTACACAGGCTGGGGTGCTGGGGGGCAGGCTGAGCACATGGAGACGGGCGGAGGAGTCTAGCCGGGAGGGAAACCCGCAGTGATCCCCCCTCCCCACTGCACAGGCTCGGCTCTGCCAAGAGAGGGAGACCAGGGAAGCCAGCCGGGGGTGGCGGAAGGAGGAGGGGGAGGCTTCTTAAGATCCGATCTGGCTCTTTTGCGTTTGCCTGGAAGCTGTGTCTGGGGCCAAGCGAGCAAACCCTGCCCGCATTTCAGTCCCCAAGCTGAGGAGCTGGGAGGGGGTTTGTAAATGTTGGGGTGCCAGGGGAGGTCTCTCCCCTCCACTACACAGATCAGACCCCTGCTTGCCTGAGGCCACCACTGAGCCTGGTCCAGAGCCTGTCCAAGAGCAACTCCTGTGAGAAGTGACGGGGGTGGGGGTACTTTATGTCCATCTTCCCAGAGGGTCTGCTTGAGATCGGGAGTGTCTGACAAGGAAGCCAGACTGCAGGAAGTTGGGGATGAAAACGGGACTTGCATTTAAAAATGAACCAGGAGGCTGTCTCCTCCAAGAACAAATTTAGAGATTTAAAAAAACCTGCTTCCGCACTGCTTGAGCCGCGTGTGTTCCGGGTGCTGGGCAGGGAAGAGGCAGGAAGGGCCCGGAAGGCTAGGCCGGTGGTCGCAGGTGGAGGGCACAGCCCTGTGCCACCCCCAGGGCTCAGCGTGGGCACCCTGGTCCTGCCTACGGGGGGCCTTTGGGCTTGGGTGGGCGTGAAGGAGGCGCTGCCCTCGGGGCCCTGGGCATTGGCCTCAGCCCGGCCTCTCGCCTCTGTGACCTTCACCTCTCCGCAGAACGCAGGGTGCAGAAGTCTCATTCTGGGGCGGATATCCAGGGGAGAGGGTGTGCAGCTGGTTGGCATGATGTCCCAGGGGCAGGCGTGCCGGTCAAGGCACAGTGGACGTTTCTGGCTATGGGGCTTGGACCCAGGATGGACAGGTCTCAGGGGGATGGACTCGGGGATGGACGTGACCTGGCAGCAGGGAGGAGGGGTGTGGACGCCAGGCCTGTGGGGTTTGCTGGAGGTTTCTAACTGGAGCCTGAGCCAGCCCTGCCTGGAGGAGGAGGCGGGTGGGTGCAGAATCACAGAGAGATCTGCGGCCCCCCTAGCTGGGTGTCTGCAGGAGACAGGAACACAGCAGGCCACTCCTTCCTGGGGCCAGGCGAGTCGGCCGCCCCTGAGTCTCCAGGGGACTCTGGTCCCCGAGTCTCCAGGGGACACGGCCCCCCACGCAGCTGGGAGGGAGCACGTGGGCCCTTCTGCTCCAGCTGCCGCCTCCTGCCCGTCAGCACCTCCCGCCCCAGCTTCCCTGGAGCTCCCAGCCCACTTGCTCACCTCAGTACACAGCCCCTGCTGCAGGGGTTGTAGAAAGCATCCTCCCCACCCCCACCCAGGAAGACTCCTGCCCCCCAGGACTCTCCCCATGGCATCTGTGGGCATCCCTGGGAAGGAGGGTGTCGAGGAGGGGGCAAACAGTTTGATAAGAACAACTGCGTCAGGTACTCTGAGACTGTGGACGAGGGGACACGGGGTCAGCTGTGAAGCTGGGCAGCTGAGAGGGTGCAGCCCGTCCCTGCCCCCTGCCTCCCGCTCCGGCAGCCTCCATGTGCAGGCAGGGCAGAGCAGGACTGGCCCAGAGGCCTACAAAGACAGCCGGGTTAGCAGCCTCGTCACTGGACTGCTCGGATGCAAGCCTGCCACCTTCCACTGCCTGACCTGAGACAAGATACTGAGTCTCCAGAGTCTCCGTTCCCACATTTGCAAGTGGGGCTGACAGCACATCTCAGCCCGGGGAATAGCTGGGGGACCAGGGACCACGCACAGCTGCTTGTGGCTATGGTAACGCGTCTCCCCGGTCCAGAGCCTTCCTGTAGGAGGTGATGCTTCCAGCACCCCTACCACTCCTCCACCGCCCCCTGCTGCCTGGGCCCCTGACACGGCCCCCCAGGAGAGGAGTGACCTAGCCCAGGGCCTTTCAAACTTGACCAGATACATGAATTGCTTGGGATCTTGTAAGAGACAGGTTCCAACCCTGTCGGCCTGGCCTGGGTCTAGAAAGTCCCTGGGGAGGCTGGTGCTGTTGACCCCTGGACTGCCCTTGAGTAACAGGGGGCTGGGTGGGGCAGAAAGGCCCGTTTCTGCTCTGGGGTGGGGTGCACTCAGGGCGCTTGGCCCTCAGCTCCTGACCTATCTCCACCCAGATTCTCTCAGCAGGGCCTGGTCTGCCCTCCGCTCTGTGCCCCTGTCCCTGGACTGGACAAAAATGCCCACAGGGCTGAGGGGCTTGGAGCCTGGAGACCCCCCCACCCTCACTTGTTTCCGTTCTCCACCTGGGTGGGGTCTCCCCTCCCAGATGGTGTGAATTTATTCCTTAGCGGCCAGCGCCTTCCTTAGCAGCTGTGCCCCTGGCTTCCTGATGTAGGTCACACTTTCCTAACGAGGCTGAAGGCTTCCGAATTTGGGGGAGGGGGGAAGGGGGTCCTCAGGGCAGAGTGCTGGAGGGCAGAGTGCTGGGCCCCGGGGTCCCTGAGGGGAGCTTCTGGGGTCTCCAGGCAGGCAGGACCACTCCCCAAGGAGCACAGTCTGCAGCCCGTGGACCTGGGGAGGGGTTTGTTCTTGTCAGGCTTCTCTGGAGATCCCAGGGCCACCAGCGAACCCTCTCCCAGACAGTGGCTTTAATGGACCTGGCTGGCTTTAATGCACCTCACGCTGGGGGGCGGGATGTCAGGACCTGCACTCAAGTCACCTTCACCGACAGGTGCTCACTCTGGGGATGGGGTGGGGAGGTGGGGATGAGCCCAGGTGGGCATGGGGCCTGGGCTTGGGGGAGAGGGTTCTCTGCCACCTGCCTCTCTACGGCAGCTGGAAAGGCCCGTGGGTGTGTGGGTCCGAGGTGGGCCCCCGGCGGTCTCTCTTGACCTTGCTTCCAGGCTGGCTGTCCCTCCCCCACTGCCCCATGCACCTGTCTGCTGGGGGCACTCGGGAACTGCTGGAGGGGCGGCATCTGAAGGTGCGTGAGTGCATGCGTGTGCGTGTGTCTGCACGTGCCTGGCTGCACACTCTCTGGGGTTGTCTCACCACGTGCTGTGTTGGGAGCGTGTGTGCACCCTTCTCAGCCCACACCTACATGTCTCTCTGCTGGGGCCACTGCTGGGGACCGTCACCAGGGACTGGGCCTCTGTCTCTGGCCAGCCGTGTGACCAGGCTGGTTGCTCTTCGTCTCTGAGCCTGGGTGGCCCCTGACCTACCCGGTACCGGGTGGGTGCTGCAAGCTGCTGACATGAAGGTCCTTGCTGGCGGGAGCAGTGAGGGACTGTTCCGAGGGTCGGGGCTGAGAGAGTGGACAGTGACCTCGGTGATGGCGGTCTGGAGGCTGTGTGTGAGCCCGGCCCACGGCGACCACCATGTGACGGCTGCTGGCCTGGCACAGGCTCAGGAGCAGAGGTGTGAGGTTGGGGGCAGGAAAGAGCAGTCAGCAGCCAGGCTTGTAAGCTGCTGACCCCTCCTTGGGGAGGATGGGGGCCCCGCTGTCTCCTTGCGTCTACCTGAGGTCACCTAGACTGTCTTCCAAGACAACATGTCCTGAGTTCAGCAGACATGAACTCGCCTCTCACGATTAGACTGATCTCATGGGGGACAGTGTGTTTTGCTCATCACCTTCGAGATAAGGAGACTGAGACCCAGAGAGTTGATGGGGTTTAACTTACAGAGCGGCTGACAGGCACTTGAACACAGAGCCCACCCTGACCTGGGCGCTTCAGCCCGGAGCCCATGGGGTCTGGCCCTGGGAGGTAGGGGGGCATCCAGAGACGACCCCTGAGCTGCCCCTCCACCGCCAAGTCCAGGACCCTGGTCCATCCTCACGGCTGCTCCCTCACCCCACATCTGCCCAGCGTGCCTCCTCTGCAGCCCCTGAGAGGCCGTGAGCCCTCCAGAGCAGGGGATAGGGGCTGAAGTCCAGAACCAGGTGCCCCGCCCAACAACAGTGGTCCCCTCCCTGCCGCCCCACATCCTGAGCGGCCCCCACGCTGAGCAGATGCCCCTGCCTGGCCACTGCTGAGGACCCGCAGGCGCTGCGCTCCAACTGGGCAGCTTGGCAGCTGTATGGAGGGGGGGAGGAGGCGGGAGAGGCCCCTGGTGCCCGAGGGAAGCCCTGCTCGGCGATGAGATTCCAGGGCTCAGCAGGCCCCCCGCAGCTCCTCCCACCTCCTCAGTCTGCTCGGCTCTGCCATTGGCTCCTGGGCTCCCAGAATTAAACCGGCTGTGGGAGGGGGAGCGGGAGGCTGCAACCTGGAGCCACCGGGGGGACCCATGTGGCCGCCCTCTGCTAGCAGCATCATGGCCCCCCTCCCGGCTGGCCTTCCCCACCTGGTGCCAGGCCCAGCTGTGATGGGGCCCTTGGCCACATCGGGAGGGAAGCAGGGAGTGCCTGTGCCGTGGGGTTGGGGCGGGAGCGGGTCCCCTGGGAGGCGGAGCCCCCGCTCCTTGTCCTTGGCCCTGCAAGCTCACCCTCTGCCCGGCCTGTCTCCCCACTGCAGCACGAGCCCCTGAGCTGATGAGTTTTTCCCCAGATCTGCTGGAGGCAGAGGACAGAGCACAGCCGCTCCCCCACTAGGAGACCGTGGAGGGAAAGCAGGGGGCTGCCCCGCAGCGAAAGCGGACCTGGGCCTCTCCCGCGACCCACCCACCGGCTGACCCACCGACTGCCCCTGTGCTGGGCCTGGCGTCTGCCTCCCCGGGGGCCATGGTAAGAGTGCAGTGGGGTGGGGAGCCAGGTAGCCCTGGCTTTCAGCACCTGGGACGCGGGGGAGGCCTGTACACAGAGGAGGCCACATGACTCCAGACATGTTCAGGAGATCATGCAGGGAGATAAGGAGAAGGGGCCGGCAGAGGATGGGGGCTGGGGCGGCGGAGGGATGGACGGTTCCTGAACCTCCTAGCCCGGAGCTTGGTGCCGTCTGGGCTCCATCTGAGGGCTCCCGGGATGCCCGCCTGCACCTGCATGCACCCTGACTCATCCAGGGAGGCTGAGGTTCCTGGGTTCCCAGCCCCCTCCCTCCCCTTCTCCCCCAGCCAGGGAATCAGAGCTGAGAAGAACAGGAGAGGAGTGTAAAGAGACACCGGCCACCTCCACAAGCCCTGGGCTGTGTCACCCGATGCCCGCTTTGCTCAGCTCTCTCTCCCACTCTCTCAGGACTGACCGAGCAGACGGACGGGGGCTCCTCTCCCCGGAAGTGCAGGGCCTGGCAGCTGTGCAGCCACCATGCTGGCCCCGGGCGGCCGCCCTGAGCCAAGGACCTGGCTCGCTCTGTGGAGGCAGATCTCCTGTGAGTTGGGGGCGGGGGGGCTGTGGCAGGGTCGGGCATCAGGGCCAGCGGGGGTGCAGGGGCCATCTGCCCAGGTGTCCGTCACCAGCCCTGCCTGTGGTTCCAGGGGAAGAGCCACCTCTGAGCTCTGCGGTGGGCAGATCGGGAGCGGGGTCCCACCCGCAGTTCTGTCCCCTTAGACGGGACTGCTCCTGAGCCCAGGGGCCCCAGCTCCATCTTTTAATGGCAAATCTCTTGTCCTGCTTGGCTGCAGGCTGAGTGGGCCTGGAGCCCACTCTTAGGGCCCCAAGATGGAGGGAACCAGTGCGCTCTGGGAACACGGCGCTGGAAGGGCTTTCGGGGTGTGGTCCAGGCCCTCCCCTGCGTATGGGGAACCGGGGCCGCCCACTTCCCACAAGGGAGACTAGTGAGCGGTCGGGTGAAAGAAGCCCTGGGAATTCTCGCACAGCTGATGGGTCAAGGCTACGGGGTTAGAGGTAAGAACCATCCCGGGGGGACGTTCCTTCACCTGACCTGCCAGTCCGCCCTGAGACGCCACCGCCCCACAACATAGGTGAGCTGAATTATTCACCGTGCAGAGCGGCTGAGCTCCGAGATGCCCAGCTCCCCTTTCAGCTTCCTTCTAGAGTCACTCAACACCTCTCAACACACGGCTCTGTTTTCTCATCACCAGAGCTTTCACGCCGGCCTGAATTTCTCGGGGCGGGGGGACGGTGACCTCTAGCCCCGTTGGTCCTTCTGAGTGGGGGGGCCGGATGGGCTGAGTGTTTCTCTGGGCAAAGTGGGGTCTGAAGGAAGGGAGGCTGACTCCCGAGTGGCAGGGCGGGGGGAGGTGGGCAGCCTGCCTTGGCCGCAGTCAGCTCAGAGGGCGATAGGTCAGCGGTCCAGCAGGTGACCTCGGGTGGACGGAAGGGCCTCCAGTTGGCATCCCCGGCCCTACCTGTGCTCATTTCCCCGTTGAGAACAGAGAGGCTCAGGTGTCAGCCTGGTCAGGCCTCTCAGGTGTCACTGACCCTCCAGGAAAGGGGGTGCAGTCCTGTCCTGTTCCCTCAGGCCCTGCCCCTCGGGACATCAGACACCAGACCCCTGCTGGACATTGATTCAGAGCCACCCCCTCCTGGACCTGGTCAGGGAGGTGTTGCCTCTCCCAGTGGAGCCAAGTGGCCAGAGTGGGTCTGAACTTGTCCATCACTCCTTGGCTGGGGCCTTCCTCTGGGCTTGGCCAGCATCCCTTCCTCTCCATGGGGACACCCAGGAGGACAGTAAAGGGGGCTTTGCGCTCACTCTTAGGAGGGTGGACCCCTGAGCGAGCTGCCCTGAGGCGGTTTTCTCTGAATGCCCCTTCCCCTGCAGCCCCGCCACAAGGGCTCTGGGCAAACCATGAGACCACGAGAGGAACGCTGCCACCGGATTCCTCCTGCAGAAATTGGGGACGGAGCCCCCAGCTGAGGGCAAGGCCGGTTGTGGAGCGAGAACAGATGTGGGGCGTGTCCGGGCCCAAGATTTCTGTGGCTCGCACCGCAGTGTGCTCTGCTTGGAGGGGGAACTGGCGTCTCACCCCGTCATTTCCGCAGCGGCCTCGGGATGGGAACTGGGTGCCAGGGCTCCCTCCTCACCCTGAGGTGCTGGCCCGTCTTGGATGTGGGATTCCTGCAGGCCGGGGTGGGGGGGCTTGGTGTGCCCCTTGGTGCATATAGCACGGCCCCCACCCACTCTCTGTGCAGCTCTAGATGCATGTTGGTGGTGGGCACCGAGAGAAGGGAAGAGAATCCTTCCCATGGCAGTGCCCCTGGAGAGGGACGTGGAGGGTCCCCTCACAGCCCCACATCCTCTGTCGTGTCAACGTCTATCATGTCGGGGGCCCAGGCACCCAAGGGGACCCACCACAGGGGATCTGTTCACGTGAGGGTGCTGCAGGTACTGAGTTCTGTCTCACGTGCTCAGGACACGCTAGTGCACGCTTGTGGGTGGGCCATGGGGATCCTGGCAAGGCCCCGTTGTGGGATCTGCACGAAGGGGACAGCAGGAAGAGGTGGTGAGCATCTGTCCCTCTGTCCCCCGTCCACCCCCCAGGGCTCGCCTGCTGGATCGCCCTGTGTGCAGCGGAGGCCGTCCCCGCCTGCCCCTTCCCCTGCACCTGCGATGGCCGTGGCCTGCAGGTGGACTGCAGCGGCCTGGGCCTGACTGCGCTGCCCCCGGGCCTGCCGGCCGCCACGCGCAGCCTCCTGCTCCTCAACAACAGGCTGAGCTCCCTGCCCGGCGGGGCCTTCGCCAACCTGTCGGGCCTGCAGCGGCTGGACCTCTCCAACAACTTCCTGGACCGGCTGCCGCGTGCGGCCTTCGGGGACCTGGGCAACCTGACGGAGCTGCAGCTCCGTAACAACAGCCTCCGGGCCCTGGACACCGCGCTGCTGCGGCCCCTGCCGCGCCTGCGCCACCTGGACCTGTCCCTCAACGGGCTGGCCCGGCTCCCGCCCGGCCTCTTCGACGGGCTGCCTGCCCTCCGCTCCCTGTCGCTGCGCGCCAACCGCCTGCAGAGCCTGGACCGCCGGACCTTCGAGCCCCTGGTCGGCCTGCAGCTGCTGCAGGTGTCAGACAACCCCTGGGAGTGCGACTGCCACCTGCGGGACTTCAAGCGCTGGCTCGAGTGGTTCTCCTACCGAGGTGAGTGCAGGGGAGGCTGGACGGGCCAGCAGCAGGCAGAGGGGCTGGTGCTGCCCCTTCCTCCCGTGTCCCCTCCGCTCCGGCCACCCTTCTCTGCCCTCTCTCTCTCCACACTGACTCCCTGCCACGTGCCACGTGCCACGTGGATTTTCAGAACGGACTTGAACACACAGTATAATTGACCCCTGGGCATCCCTGGGCCCGGGGAAGAGGGGATGGATTAAAACCACCTTTGCTCCTCTGAATAATGCTGCCACCTCTTACACACCCACAGTTTTGGGAGGTAGAGTAGAATTCAGATCCACAGATGCAATCCCATTTTCATTTTGACACTGATCTCAACTCCTCCTCCCAAGAAGTTCTGTTATCAAAGCTTTGGCTAAGAAGCCCAAAGCCTCTGGTTTCCAGTTCCTTCCCTTCCTCCTTTCGTTAACCCCAGGCAAGTCCTAGAAAAAGCTTCAAAATGATTAAATGAAATGGACAGGAGGGCAAAGATGTAATCCTCCTGGTTAAAAGCGCCAGATCTGGGTTGGCTTCATGACTCTGCCACTTACTAGCTGTGTGATCTTGAGAAAGTAGGCTAGCCTCTGTGGCTGTGCCCCCATCAGTGAAATGGGGCAAATAACAATATCTGCTTCAGAGAATCTCTGTGCAGATTAAATCAGAAACACATGAAAAGTAGCTGGAAAAGTGCTCAGTGTAACGTGGGTCTGCTGTAAAGCTTACTCATTTATATGTCCACATGCTTGCTGGTGGAAGTCATAATATTTAACCAGGCTTAACTAGACACATGACCAGCACGAAGTAGGGCTCCAAGAATATTTGCTAAATGAATGAATTGATGTGAAAAGGACTCTAATGCTTTCATCAGGCTGACTCCTTTTGTTTCAAAGTGTTTCCACAATCTCAATTATTTGCTTAATATTCTCATACATTAGTTAATTAAAAACATTTTACAAATGATGAAGTGCCATAAAATATTAGTCACTGTGGTAATTTCTCCCATTTTTTGTGAGAGGAGAAATAATAATGAACACTTGTATAGTTTCCAGTTCCCGAGTATCTTTCCATACCCATGACCTGCTTGACCCCTTAGAGCAGCTGAGATGGTCATTCTTATGACAGCCACGAAAATTGAGCCTCGTGAGTGATTACGTGACTTAGGTACTTTGCACAAGATGATGTGGCTGGGAAGGAGTTGGCCTCAGGTTTTTGGAGCAGGAAGGTGAGGTCGCCCCATCTCCACGGCCAGTTCCTGCTGGCACAAAGGCCCTGGGCACAGTTCACCGGGTGTAAGCCTTGCACAGGCGGTTGGTGGCATGGGGGATTGGACAACCAGACTGATGTGTGACCCGCAGGGGACGTCCTTGCCCCTCCAGACGGTCATTGGTCACAGGGAAGTAAAAAGCACGGAGGGGAATGTACATTTTAGGAACTTTTCACTGTTGGAGCTATTTTCCACCCTGCAAGCCTCCAAAAGACACCAACCAAACCAAAACAAAGAACGTAGGCTTTTCCTGCACGCGGGAAAGACTGATGTCTATTGTGTGGGGAGTCTGCGGCAGCTGGGCTGGGTTGGGTTGGGCGCCAGCAGGGATGAGGGGACAGGAGCCCAGGCCCTTCCAGGAGGGCAGGCAGTGCCTGCATCTCGGTCTCTGGACCCTGAAAGAGGCCAAAAGGGGGTGTCTGGGCAGTTCCCCTCCTCTTGCCCCACCTGTGTTCTGCACCCGCCTCCCCCAGGTCAAGTCTGTCCCGGCCATCATTCGGATGAGCCTAGGCAGCCTTTGTGGCCTTCATGCCCTCGTTGACTCTGGCCCCTCCTCTGCCCTGGGGGTCTTTGGAGTCCCCTGACAAGATGCCTCTGGGCTCAGGGTGCTGCGGCCAGGGCGCTGATGGGGCCACAGTTGCTCTAAGAAGGACACCACCCTTGTGGTTTCTCCTCTCCCTTCTCCAAGGAGATACCTTAGGGACCAAGGTCCCTCTTCCGACTTCTGCCCTTGATGTTAGCGGGAGGAGCCCGGGAGCATAAAACGCTGGGGAGAACGGTGCCGGGGGTTACAGACGGGTCAGCAGGGATCAGGACGGTGCCTGGGTTACAGACGGGTCAGCAGGGATCAGGCAAGGAGGAGTATGGACTGCATTTGGCTCTTGGCCCCTCCTTCCTGAGCACCGGGCAGGGAGTGGGCGGTTTGACTCTGGGGAGCAGGCAAGGTGGGGATGTCTGTGTGCTTCTCTGTCAAATAGGAACAGGGACATTGTCCACGTTACAAGGCTTCTGCATGGATTAAATGCCATCATGTGTACCCACCTCGCTGGCTCTGGGCTTCATACACGCTAGTCCCCCACTTTCCTCTCCTATCGCCATGGCTGTAGGACTCACTGCCTTGATGGTGGAAACTGGTCCTCCTGGGCCCTCCACGTGGAACCTGGGGCTGGGGGAGGGACTGCTGGTTCTCATCCCACCTTTTCTCTCTCCCGATGCAGGGGGGCGCCTGGACCAGTTGGCCTGCACCCTGCCCAAGGAGCTGAGGGGGAAAGACATGCGCATGGTCCCCATGGAGATGTTCAACTACTGCTCCCAGCTGGAGGATCAGAATAGCTCAGCCGGGCAGGAGGTCCTTGGGCCGCCCTGCACCAAGGCCAGCCCGGAGCCTGCCAAGCCCAAGCCGGGCCCCGAGCCCGAGCCCGAGCCCAGCACCGCCTGCCCCCAGAAGCAGAGGCCGCGGCCTGTGAGCGTGCGGCGGGCCATCGGCACAGTGATCATTGCGGGCGTGGTCTGTGGCGTGGTCTGCATCATGATGGTGGTGGCCGCCGCCTACGGCTGCATATACGCCTCCCTCATGGCCAAGTACCACCGCGAGCTCAAGAAGCGCCAGCCTCTCATGGGTGACCCGGAGGGTGAGCACGAGGACCAGAAGCAGATCTCCTCCGTGGCCTGAGAGCCCGCCAAAGAGGGTGCGGGAGCATGCTGGCTCTCTCTCTGCCATCCCCTTTCCACCTTCCTCCCAGTCTCCGCAGACTCTGAGCCTCTGGAAGTCACCAGCGTGACCAGCTCCTCCAGGGCCCCCCAGAGCTCTGGACCATGGGCAGAAAGGACAGGTGTGCCACAGAGGCTCCTGGGCCCGGCGCCCCCATGCCCCTTCAGCCTTCCCTGCAGTCACAGCTCACAGCCTGTGATGCTCCCCACCTCTGGCTCGACTCATCTCGCCTGCATCCGGGGTGCGGGGCCGGTTTCTGGGACTCTCTTCTGAGCTGGGCCGATGTTGGGCCCAGCTTCCAGCGGCTGGGTACCAATGTGTTGTCAGACCAGCCCTGCCATTGGGACCAGTGCTTGGAAACCCAGCACCAGGCCCTTGCTGACACCGCCAGGCCCTGCATTACCGACCTCCCTGCCCCGCTCACTGGTCACTTTCCCAGTTGCTTGGCGTTGCACTCACAGTCGTGTGGGGACAGAGGTCGTAAGACCTCGGAGAGCAGAACCAGGCCTTCCCCTTGGTCTCGGCACCCAGACCACGCAACCTCCTGCTTGCTGACGCAACCTCCCGCAGCTGACAGGGAGAAGCCCAAACCCATGGCACGGGGATTCCTTTCAGATCCTCTCCGGGGGCCAAGGTGGAGCTGCTGGATGAGGCTGCTTGTTACCATGGTAACCCGCTAACACCTCTCCTGCTGGGCTTTCTGGGGACACCACTGGTCCAGAAGCCTCGAGGCTGCAGTGTGTGTGGACGGCGGGCCCTTGGGGGGTCCAGCTACAGACCACCAACTGGGCTTGTCCTCAGGGCTGCTGAGGTACATCCCTGCCAGGCCCTGTGGGGATCCCCACCCCAACTCCCGCAGCCTGCAGCCCTAGAACTGTTGCTCTGAACCTTCATCCCCCCGCCCCCACCTTCAGCATCCCTGGGCCTGTGACCTCGGGGCAGGGGACTGGCTCATACTCTGTGACTGCCCTGCCAGCACATCCCAAGCAGATGCCGGGAGCAGGGAAAGCCACTTGCGTTCTGCTCAGAGGTGTCATTGGAAGGGGGGGGTCCCTTTCCCAGCGTTCTGTCCGCTCCATCTGGCTTTCCACAATCCTCACAGCCCCTGGACTGGGGCCCAAACCAGAGCACAGCCCTGGGAGCCCGTCTCTACCCATAACCCCCAAGCCACCACAGGGACCGAGGCTGGGGGCGGGGGTGAGAGGGGGCAGTGCGGGCTCTCCTTGCCCAGGTCTACCCCCTTGGTCAGTGTGATCTGAGGTGAGTCTGGGGCTCTCTCTGCAAGACACCAGCCTCCCCAGGCTTATGGAGGGTCAGGTGCCGTCAGGCTGGTTTTTGGCTCTGAGATGGGAGGTTTTGGGGGGTGGGTACCCAGAACACGGGTCTGAGGCAAAACAAGGACGGGGGTGCCGTGCGCAGGCTGCCCACCCGGCTGACCACAGTCTTCCTTCTTTTGAGGTGCTGGCTGACACCGGATCTGGGGATTCGGGGAGTGGGGGAAGGCTGGGCATTGTCAGTGGTGGAGTCTTAGCCTGAGACAGAAGATTTTTAAAGGCAAAATTATATTTCTGGTTTGTTGTTTCAGATGACCAATAAAGACTGTATTTTCCTACATGCCTCCTGGTTTCCTTGGGTGGGAGGTGAGCCTGGAACTGGGAGCTGGGACAGTGTCCCCAGGCAGGGGCATGGGGTGTCCCCAGTCCCCTAAGGTGGATGAAAACTCCCACCCAAGGCCTGGCTTTGGGGAACCCCTGGAAGGGCAGTGGGGGAGCACAGAGACCCAGGTCTGCATCAGCCCTGCCGTGAGCCTGGCCACCTTGCAGTTGAGGGCTGATACTCTGGTGTAGGAGGTGCACCTATGCCCCAGGGACCCTGCTGTGTGATGGAAGAGGGGCTCCCCAAGGGCACTTTAGGGGACCAGGTTTCACCAGCCCTAGGGGAGGTCTCTGGGGTTGCAGGAGGTGCCCCGTTTAATGTCCTGTGCTTTTAAGACTGACTCCAGGGACAGGCCGACAGGACGTGGGGCTCACACAGACGACCTCTCCTAAGGGTTCAGCAGGTACAGGATCAGAATTATGGACTGGAGACCTGGGGATAGTGGCCAGGAGAGGAGGTGGACAGGAGGACAAGAAGGCCTCTGGGTGGGTCGTCCACCTGATGCCCGAGTGACCCACCTTACCTGACTGGCCTCTGGCTGACTGGGCCTGGGCTACACAGGTCACAGTCTTCAGACCAAGATGGACTTCTCTCCTAACTGGGAGCCCTCCATTGGGTCACCGCGCCCCTGCAATTCCCCAGCCCAGTGAGACAGGAGCAAACCCTAGGGAGAAGAGAACTAGTAGGCCCCTGTTCCAGGAATTTAGCTGGACCCCTTCTGGGGAGGGGGTAACTGGGGGAGGACCCAGCTGGACCCCTTCCTGGGTGGGGGGTAACTGGGGGAGGACCCAGCTGGACCTCTGCCTGGGTTGGGATAACCAGAGGGCGGTGTCCCCCTGTAACCCTGACGGGTACAGCAGAGCTGGGAGACCAATGCTTGTGGGGGCAGAGGACAGGCCCCCGCAGCCTGCACAGGTGTGAGTAACACACAGGTGCGCTGTTCTGGGCACATGAGGTCTGAAGGCCTGCCAGGCTCATGCAGACGCAGATCTAGACAGAGATCCTCCGACCACAGCCGTTGTGCTGGGGACACAGCTGCAGATGATGGCAGCCGCACATGGTGCTCTCGATATTCCCCAAGCAGCCCTGGCACTCACAGAGACTTGATAGTGGGTCCTGATCAGAATGATACATTCCTAGAAATTTTGCATAAACTCTTGAGAAGCAGCTGCTTAGCGGTCAAAGGAGCCCTCCTCGTCCACCTGCCTGGCCCTTGGCTGGCCTTGAGGCTGTCCTTCCTCCTCCTCCCCTGCACAGACGTGGGGCGTGCGGCCTGCCTGTGAGCGTGTGTACACTCACATGTACACAAGAGAAGGAACCACCAGGACAGGACTCAAGGGGTCAGGGAGGCTGAACCACAGGCCAGGAAGAGGAAATTACAAAAGGAGACTGAAAGAAACATAATCGAAGGAGAAAGGTCTCCAGCGCCCCAGCCCCGTCCTATGGCATCCGTGCCCTCCCTCCTCGGGAGCGTCAGAGCGATTGTCTGCAGCGAGTTAAACCACAGGCACCCGGACACGGTTTCCATGGCAACCCCTCCCGGCTCTAATTCAGCACTGAGTTAAAAATGATATCAAATAATTGGAGAGAGCAGGAGAGCACAGCCAGCAGCCTGACCCCCCGTGCCTTCCCTTCACTGGGTGTTCAGGTGTGCGGGAGCTGAGGTGACCACGTCATAACTGGTCAGGGGGGCAGGTGGGCCACAGACTCAGCCGGGGCCCAGGGATGGTCTGTAGGGCTTGGGATCAGCAGCCCAGGTGAAGGACAGAAAGGGACAGAGCAAGTTCTTCCTGAATGCCCTGCTGCACAGCCTCAGGACACCTGTGACCCACGTATTTGTGAACGAGGGTGCCAAGCAACCAGACCCAGCCACTCGCTCCCGCTTCATCCAGACGTGGGTGGCACTGTGCCCTCGCTGGGGTGGGCAGTCTGCCTGCCTGGTGGCTCCTGCCTGCGCTTCACCCTGCACTCAGCCTGGGGAGAAGATGCGAGGGTCCCGAGCTCCAGTGCTGGCCCCCAACAGCTGTGGAGTCCCCCATAAGGCAGGTGCCCAACCCCAGCACTCAGTGGTGAGACCCCGAGGACCTGGCAAGTCTGAGCCTTGGAGGTTGGATGCAGGACCCTCATCACACAGGCTTCAAGGCTCTTGGACAACGGTCAAAGGAGCCAAGGACCTTCCTAGGCTCCAAGAAGCTGGGGCGGCCCAGGAATCTCCCTGGGTCCTCTCGCGGATTTTGTCGCCAATTGCAACACAGGGTTGTGATCCCACACCTTCAAGAGGTGATCTGAGTTCAAATTCTAGTTCATTAACTATTAGCATTGAGGCTTTGGGCAAATGATGTTTCTGAGTCTCAGTTTCCTCATCTGTAAAATGGAGCCAAACCAGATCACCCCAGGGCTGGATGAGAAGGGGCTTGGAAACACTGGACTTGCCTAGGGGCTTGGGCTTCAGGGTCCGAGTCATAAGCCCCCTCTTCCCTTTGGTGGACAGTGGGGGCGGGAACAGCACGCAGAGGGTGGGAAGGAGGTCTGGGTGGTCTCTGTCCTGGGTGACCTTGAGCAGATCTCTTCACCTCTCTGGGCTTCACTTTATGCATGAATAGTGTTAGATCTGAGGCGTCACGGTTTTATAAACAAAATGACTGAGGAAGACTCTCCTCACTCCCTGGCCCCACATTTTATTTGTACAGACTGTGGCCTTGCAGACCACACGCAGGGCCTCCTGCAACACCTGAGCCTTGCTCTCAGCCCTGTCTCCCCGCCGCCCGGCCTTGCGGCCCTGGGGCAGCCCCTACCTGCAGCGATGGCCGTCCTGTTGTCCACACTCACGGCTACAGCTGTGCTCACTGTCACCACCGCAGGCTCGCCGGGACTTTCTGGGGGGAGAAATTGCCAAGTCACATTTTCAGCACCTGAGGAGGAGCTGAGGGTGGGGCGGGCAGGGGAGCCCAGTAAACACCATGTTCCCCAAGAGAATGGGCGATTTCCAGGGGCTGCCTGGTACTACGCAACTCTGTTTTTGTCAAGCGTCTCCTATATGTGCCCTAAAGGCGGGGTGCCGCCCACCTCTCTGTGCAGCTCTGAAGCTGCCAGGTGGTCCCTGCCCCTCTGAACAGTGTAGCATCGCCAAGTTCCCAACTGCAGACTGGCCTGCTTGCAGCTGCCCGCTGGAGCTCAGGGACCCCGCTGGAGCCCACCCAGGGACTCTTGTGGCATCTCAGTGCCCTATCGAGTGGGAGATGGAGTGTGTTCCCCGACAAGGTGCTGGCTGACCCTGGGTTGTCCTTCATCAGTCACGTGAGTCAAGGTGACAATGACAACCCCTTTGGGAAGCCAGATGCCAGGGCTGCATGGGGCCTAGAAGGCCGGCTGGTGTCTGACACATCCACAGAGCCCCCATAAACCCTGGGGGCCTCCACGTCACTGCCCGCCTGGCAGCTGTGCTCTGGGGACTTGGCCAGGCTCCGGGGCCCGCCTGGAGGTGCCGCCCCAGCTCCGAAGAGAGCCAGGTTGCTAGGCGCGGCACCAGCTCGAGCTCTGCATCTGCACAGAGCTTCCGCACTGAGGGATGTGGACAAGCGCACCCGTGGCTCCTGGACTTCATGTCCCTGGACCTACTCTTCAGGGCGCTCTAGTCCACGGGGTCAAGTTCCTCACTAAAATTCTCAAGAATGAGATACGGTTTTATCACGTGCTCTCCTGTTAGAATGTCTTTCATCAGACACTGCTTGAAACAAATAGGTCATGAGACTCCTAGTGTCAGCCATGAGGAAATTTAAATCAACCACTGGTTTCTCCTATTTGCTGTTTCCATGCCAGCACCACCCATCACATCTTGCTGGGACCAAATATCTCAACCGAAACGGAAAATAACTCTGATTCTAGGAACTGACTCTATGGAATGTTGTCATGGGGTCTAGGAATTTGCTATGATGAAGACACAAGGGAACACATGTTTCTGCATGGGTGGCCCTTTCTCTCCCTCCCTTTCTCTAAAACGGAAGCCAGCTTCCCTTGCTTGCTTCTAGAAATGTCTGGAGGATACTGATAGGGTGACCTCCGTTGTGTCCCCCGGCCGCAGTCTGCTTCCAGGATAGACTCACTGTATGTTCTCCATGGGCTTGGAAGGGGACACCTGTGTGAGGGGTGGGGCCCTGATGACATGGTCTCTGGGGATGTTGAGGGTCTTAGCACCTGGGTCATCGGGCAGCTACCCGGCCCCACACCTGGCTGCATGAGCCAGCTACCAGGGGGTGGAGACAGGGCCTGGGGCTGGCCCCAGGAGGTGGGCTGTGGGTATGGAGGCCACAGGCCTGAGCCGCCAGGGCTCTGGCGAGCCCCTGCTCTGTGCTGGCAGTCTTAGCACCAACTGCAAGAGACAGCTCAGCTCGGGCCGGGCTTGCTCCAGGGCCAGGCGGAGGGCTGAGAGTCAGCCTGGGGAGGCGGTGACCTGTGACCTGTAGTCACCCTACAGCTGAACCCCTCCCACCTCCTCGGGGTCACCCATTAAACCAGTTGTTTCCTCTCTCTGCGGTGGGGGGTGGGGAATGTATGCAGGTCCCCTTGCTGGTCCCCACCTCTCCCTCCTTGCCTCGCACTCAGCTCTGCCCACTGCCCTCCTGCCCACTACCCCCTCTCTTCAAAGCCACCAGCAAGCTCATTCTGGTGACAGTGTGGGCAAGTGTGGGCAGGAGGGAGCCTGTCATCCTGGGGGGGCCAGGGTGTCACCCCAGAACCTCTGAGGACCTCATGGACCTCCTAGACGTATGGGGAGGAGGAGGTGCCTCTGAGGCTTGGGCTCCATGGGGGAAGGGTTTCTCGTGGGCACATGCTGGGGTCACAGCCTCCCTCCTCCCCACCACTGCCTTATGCACAGTGAAGTGTGGTGAGAGCCTGGCCCTGTGCCCCCTCCCCCCAACGGTGTGGTGCTGGTGAGCCTCAGACTCTCCCTGAGCAAGAAGAGGGCATGCACACCAGATGAGCTACGTGCGGATAAGCGTTCAGTAACACGATCGGAGGTTGGACCGGAAGGCATCTGCAGGGCGGCCGTGGGAGGGGCCTGGGCCTCCCCAGCCTTCAGCTCAGTGGGGGGCGGCTTTCGCTGGGCTGCCTGAGGGTGGTTGTGGTGGCGGTGGTGGACAGGCACCTTGGAGGGAGGACAAGCCTCCACCCCAAGTTGACCCCCAGCTGCCCTCCTCTCCTTTCCTCCACTCCTGTCCCCTCAGCTCACTCGGCCTGATGGATGTGGATGCTTCCAGGCCCTCTCGCTCACTGTACAGGGTCAGAGCCCCAGAGGGTACTCATGGACCCTCTCTGGACCACAGGCTCTTCAAGTGTGAATCGAGAGAGTGATGTTTTGTGTTTCTGGGGTCCAGGCTGTCCTGAACATTTTGCGGCTTGCTTGGGGCTCTGTTAAAGCTGCTTGGCTTCTTTTCTGGGCCATCTCTTGTTTTCTCGTGGGCACATGCTGGGGTCACAGCCTCCCTCCTCCCCACCACTGCCTTATGCACAGTGAAGTGTGGTGAGAGCCTGGCCCTGTGCCCCCCTCCTCCCAACGGTGTGGTGCTGGTGAGCCTCAGACTCTCCCTGAGCAAGAAGAGGGCATGCACACCAGATGAGCTACGTGTGGATAAGCGTTCAGTAACACGATCGGAGGTTGGACCGGAAGGCATCTGCAGGGTGGCCGTGGGAGGGGCCTGGGCCTCCCCAGCCTTCAGCTCAGTGGGGGGCGGCTTTCGCTGGGCTGCCTGAGGGTGGTTGTGGTGGCGGTGGTGGACAGGCACCTTGGAGGGAGGACAAGCCTCCACCCCAAGTTGACCCCCAGCTGCCCTCCTCTCCTTTCCTCCACTCCTGTCCCCTCAGCTCACTCGGCCTGATGGATGTGGATGCTTCCAGGCCCTCTCGCTCACTGTACAGGGTCAGAGCCCCAGAGGGGACTCGTGGACCCTCTCTGGACCACAGGCTCTTCAAGTGTGAATCGAGAGAGTGATGTTTTGTGTTTCTGGGGTCCAGGCTGTCCTGAACATTTTGCGGCTTGCTTGAGGCTCTGTTGAAGCTGCTTGGCTTCTTTTCTGGGCCATCTCTTGCAGTGGGGGATGGGTTAGGGGTTGGGGGCTGCAGCTCTGAATGCACCGCTGCAGCCCTTGGACTAGCAGGCCTGTGTTGGCTAGGGCCTGAGGCCCATTCACCACCCTCCTCAGGCCCTTCAGCCCTCAATGACCTGGCAGCCGGGAGGCACCGTGTTATTACCAGGAGTGGCCATGGGGCTGGCCAGGTCTCAGGGTTGCCCTCCTGGGAGATGCCAACAGCCCAGACCTCTCATCCCCACTGTGGAATAAAGTCTATTCCTGCTCATTCATGGTATGAGCATCTGTCAGAGACACTCAGAGGTTTAGAAATAGGAAATTCTTAGAGGCCAACTGTCCCAATAGCCTCTTATGCAGAATCTGGGCTGGAATCCAGCACTCTGACTTTTGGGTCAAACCTCTCTCCTTTGTTCTAGCTGAACTTTTAAATGGCATTTTTGACTGATGACCAGGGAATGAAATGACCTTCCCTGGGTGCAGGTGAAGGCCAGTAGGGAGTGGACCCCGAGGTCTGGATGGTTGTCTTGTATTCCTGGGGGGAGGGGGGATGCCCTGGCCGTGGAGCTCTGGGAGTGGCTTACCTGGTCCTTCTGCTGAGCGGAGGTTGAAGACCATGCTGCCGGGAGGATGCTCGGCAGCCTGGCGGTACCACAGAGGGAAGTGGTCCAGGGTGAACATGCTGTCCTCATCTGCCGGAGTCAGGAACTTCCTGCAAGGACAAAGACCTGGCACATCCCCTAGATCTGGGAGCACGGTCTTCCCTGTCTTTTTGTTCTTACAAGGTCACCGTGGCAGGGCCAGGGGAATGACTCCCCTCTGCCTTGGCGGAGGTGTAGGCAGGAAAGATTAACCCCTGAGTTGGCATTGTCCCAGAAGACGCTCCCTGGCAATTCCCGCCTTTTCCAGAATCAGATGCTGGTGCATCAGCAGGCACACTGTAGGAAGAGCGGGGGTTCTGCCTCATGAAAGACCTTCATCTTCCTGTAAACTCTTTGTGTTTCTTCTGGATGGATACCCTAATTCTTCTGTTGGGCTAATTAGCGTGTCTGCGGGAGGAAACCATATAGTCACAGAGGGGCATATGCGTGTGTGCTCAGTCATGTCTGACTCTGCTCTTTACGACACGCTGGCGGGCTGGTCCTAGGTGGGCTGGGATTCTCCCGGAATTCAGGCTTTGCCAGGAGTGGGGCTCCTCAGACTCAGCACCGTGGACGTTTGGGGCAGACACTGTCGCGGGCCGCCCCCTGCACTGTGGGTGCACAGCCGCAGCCCTGGTCTCTAACCCACTGGATGCTGGTAGCAAGCCCCTCTCCCCCAGCTGTGACAATCCCCAATGTCTCTGGACATTGCCCGGTGAAGCTGGGGTAGGAGTGGGAGGCAGAATCGTGGGCTCAGGGCAGGGGGAATGTTGTCAACAAGGATGGCATGGCCAGATTCAGCCAGATTCAGTCTCACGGCCAGAGACCCATCCCAGTGGGGGCCCATGTCTGCTCCCCTCTTGGGGTGACTGTCTCCCTCCTCTGCTGGGGACCTGTCCAGGATGGTCTGAGCCTGGGTGGCAGGCGGGCTTCTCTGGCTCCCCAGTCTGTAGGTCCCAACCCTTTTCCCCCTGCACTCGTGGAGTCCAGCGTCAGTCTGCTCACTAACTACAGCGACACCCCAGGGACTCTTCTCCCGGTGCCCAGCGGCACTCACTTGTCGGAGACCTTCTCGGAGCCCACAAACAGGCTGCTTCTGAGGAGGCCGGCCCGGGTGCCCAGGAAGGCCATGTCCACCACTTGCTCGGACTCACTGTGGGCAGACAAAGCAGGTGTCATCACGCTGGGCCAGGGCGGGTGCCAGGGAGGACCCACAGGCCCCTCCTAGAGCCAGGCCCTGCGGCTGGTCTCTCAGGGGCTGCCGGGCACCGGCTTTTGCTGTTGTGAGATCCCTGAGCAGCACTGGCCCTTGCTTGGGGTCCCCTGGGCCTCTGCCCACTGCGTGCACTCAGCTTTGGGGTGGCGGTTGGCTCTGGCAGACAGAAAGAACCCAGGAAGAGAGGTTTTAGCCCCAGGACATAAGGAAAGTAACTCCTCATACCCAGCACACGCTTGGCACCATGTCCCGTGAAGCCGGTTTCATATATCTGCCTTATTCCTGAGATTGGGAAGGAGCAGACTTCCACGTCTACCCAGAGAAATCCGGGCAGAGCAACAAGATCCAGCCCGCAGACTGGAGGGCCCTGAGCCTTCTCACAGGCCCAGAGGGGCCCTAGGGGGACCATGCCACACAGGAGGTCGTCATCTTTTAAAAAATTTCAGCTGTTTTTTAAAAATTTACCTTTTATTTTTTGGCCACACTGTGCAGCACATGGGATCCTAGATTGACAAGCGTTCGAACCCATGTCCCCTGCATTGGAAGTCTTAGCGACTGGACCGCCAGGGAAGTGCCAGGGTTCAGCTTTACTGATGCATAACTGATATAAAATCGTAAGGTAGTTTAAGCATGTATCATGGTGATTTGATATATGTATCTATTGTGAAAGGATTCCCTCCATTGTGTGTGCATATGTGTGTGTATATGTGTGTGTGTGCGTGTGTGAACATTTACATTCCACTTTCTTAGCTCATGTTAGTTACAAAACCCAGTGTTCTGAATAGAAATCACCACCCTTAGTCCTTACTCATCTTACAGCTGAAGGTCTGTGCCCTTCCCCCGTCTCCTCCCCCACCGTCCCTCCAGCCCGCAGCAATTGCCTTTTCACTGTTTCTGAGTTAGTTACCTTTTTAAAAAAGATTCCATGTGTAAGTGATACTACACAGTATTCGTGTGTCTCTGTCTGGCTTATTTCATTTAACATAATGCCCTCTGGGTTCATCCATGCCATTGCAAATGGCAAAATTTCCTTCTTCTTAAAGGCCGAGTAACAGTCCATTGAGTACATACACCACATCTCCTCTTGATCCGTTCAACCTGATCCTCAGGTTGTTTCCATGTCTTGGCTGCTGTGAACAGGAGCATGTAGACATCTCTTCAGTAGTCTGTCTTTGTTTCCTTTGGATAAACACCCATAAGTGGGATTTCTGGATCATGTGATAGTGCTGTTTAAATTTTTGGAGGAAGCTTCACATTATTTTCCACAGTGGCAAAATCAGTTTACATTCCTACTAACTGTGCACAATGGTTTCCTTTTCTCCACATCCTCACAAACACTTGTTATTACTTGTCTGTTTTATAATAGCCATCTTCCAAAGATGTTTGAGTTTTTTTTTTTCCAGTATTACAGTGAACCCAGGACTTTAACGTGTTTACTGTGCTCGGATCCACAGCTGTTGTTATCACATCTCCTGCCTCTCATCTGGTGAGTCCACCATGCTGTCCGACTGCCCCTCGTCTGGCCGGTGAGAGCCTCTTCAGTTTGTCCCCACTGTCCTGTTAGCACAACCTCCTTAGTCTTTACTGACTTTCACCTGGGATGACGAGATGCTCCCGGCTCATTCTGCCCACCCCCTGCCCCGGTCCTGGAAGCAGACACTTCTCCAGGGGTCACTGGCTCATTTCAGTGAGGGCTTCTTAGAGTGGACATTGAAACTCCACATGGTTGGGTCTGGGGTGCTCATTGAGGTTGGTCCTTTCAGTGGACAAGGATCTCCTCTTTGTTTCTTTCAGGGAAAATACATTGTGAGTTCATTGATATTTCAAATCCATATTTAGTGTTCCATCTAAACTTCTTTGATTTAAAAAATATGCACCGTGGGGCTTCCCTGATGGTCCAGTGGTTAAGACTTCATCTTCCAGTGCAGGGGCTGCAGGTTTGATCTCTAGTCAGAGAGCTAAGATCCCACATGCCTCGGGCCAAAAAAACAAAACACAAAAAACAGAAGCAATATTGTAACAAATTCAATAAAGACTTTAAAAAGGGTCCACATGGAAAAAAGCTTAAAAAATGCTTGTGCCTCTTTTCTCATCTGCTAAAAATCTTGTTCCTAACGACATTAGCGACACTATTTGCTCTGTCTATCCACGTAGTTTGAAATAACGGTGCCAATAAATATAGTTTCTAGAAATGTGCTTAATGGAACACAGTTTTTAAGATTTTCATCTTATTGAGTGTTTACAGTAAGTTTAGTGTTTTCAAGTCCCTCGACAGAAGTCCCTGCTGTGTAGTTATTGATTCATAAGCAGGTTTGTTTCACTTGCTTTCAAATTTTCAGAGTTTATATTTTAAATTTAATTTCATTTTATAGTGACATGATTTACACAGTCCCAGAGTCAAATATGCAAAGTAAGACACGTTCAGAAGAATCTGTTTCTGTCTCCATTCCACTGTTCCTTCATTCTTATTAGTAAGCTTTTTGCTTGCTTGTTAATTGTTCCATTAAAAGTATGTAAGCATATATATGTAAGCACACGCACGTGCATGTTTCTATATGGAGTTCAATGTAATCCCACTTGTCGGTTTTTGCTTTTGTTGTGCTTGCCTGTGAAGACAGATCTAGAAAGATCGTGTCAGGACTGATGTCTGGGCTTCCCTGGTGATTCAGTGGTAAAGAATCTGCCTTCCAGTCCAGGAGACATGGGTTCGATTCCCGATCCAGGAAGTTTCCACACACTGTGGGGCAACTAAGCCTGTGCTCGACGGCTGTTGAGCCTGTGCTCTAGAGCTTGGGAGCCGCAACTGCTAAGCCTGAGCACCCTAGAGCTCTACAACAAGAGAGGCCAGCACCATGAGAAGCCCCTAGTACCACAAACAGAGAGCAGCCCCCGCTCTCTGCAACCAGAGAAAAAGCCCGCGCAGCAGCGAAGACCCGGTTTATCCAAAAATAAATAAATAAATACCATTATTATTATTTTTTTAAAGGCTGATGTCAAGAAGCACACTGCCTATGTTTTCTTCCAGGAGTTTTATGGTTCCAGGTCTTATATTTAAGTCTTTAATGCATTCTAAGTTAATTTTTGTTTATGGTGTGAGACAGTGGTCTATCATTTCTTTTCTTTTCTTTCTTTCTTTTTTTTTTGTGTGGCTGTCTGGTTTTCCCGACACCATTTGTTAAAGAGACTATCCTTTCTCCAGGGTATATTATTTGCTCCTTTGTCAAGTTGGAGTTATCCACATGTTTCTGGGCTCTCAATTTCATTCCATTGATCCATGTCTGTTTTTCTGCTAATACCATGCTCTTTTGATTACCCCAGGTCATCTTTCCTGACGCACTCCCTCGTCAAGAATGTTTGCTCCTCAATGTCCCCCCGACATTAAAAACATCAGCTAATTTCTGAACTTGGAAACATAAAGACTGCCTCTTCTCATCAAACCCAATGACCACCTCCCCCCCACCCCCACCCCATGGTAGAAGGCAGGACATACAGGGTGCCAATAGTCCAGACTCTGATAACAGGCTGCCTAGTTTTGACTCTGGCTCTGCCACTAATGAGGCAAATGACCTTGTGCAAGTTGCTTATCTCACTCAGCCTTGGCTTCCTCATCTGTAAAATGGGGATAATGATGGGATCTATTTTGTCAGGTTGTTGTGAGGATCAAATGGTTTCATGTACAGTAAGTACTTGGAACAGTGCTGGCCCACCGTATTCTTCATTCTTTGGTTTCATTTAATTTTGAATCGGCAACACAGGGCTTCCCAGGTGGCTCAGATGGTAAAGAATCTGCCTGCCAGTGCAGGAGGTGGGGGCTCAATCCCCGGCTCAGGAAGATCTCCTGGAGGAGGGTGTGCCAACTCACTCCAGTATTCTTGTCTAAAGAACCCCAAGGACAGAGGAGCCTGGTGGGCTACAGTCCATGGGGTTGCAGAGGAGGGCACAGTGAGGGACTGAGCACGCACACACATTCATACGGGCTCAGCATGGTACCAAAAATTATATAGAGAAAACCTCTCTGTCCTGGGGTCAGTTGTCTGTGCTTTTACCTGGAGCAGCCAGTCCTACACAGTCTTCCATAGATTTGTATATGTACACATACCCCCTCCCTATTATGTTTCTGCCCCTTTAACAGAAACGGGAGCATATCACCATGCACTGTTCCACATCTTGCTTTTTTAATTAAGTGCTTGTTCCTGCAAGATTCTGTTGGTGTTTTCAAGAGGAAGCACTGATTATTAAATGTCTAGGAGAGGTCTGACATCGCTGGGATGTGGATGTTGACTCTTACTGTTCAAGAACGGGTGTGGTCCCTGCGTCCTTCAGCTCAGCAGTGCCTAACCCCCTCCTGGTACTTATGTATGCACTCACACACTCACATCTGTCTCTTCTTTCCACCTTCCCGTGAGACACCAGCACCCCAGGTGAAGAGCAGAGGGAGAGAGGACTCACCGAGGTCATGTTTGTACCACACGCAGCCTTGACCTCACCTGCTGGAAACGGGGCCCCAAGGGCTTGAGCTGCGCTGTCTGGGGGCACTTTGGCTGATGCCCACCCCCCAACCCTACCCACACCAGTTGGAGCCTGGCACCAAGGGAGGGGTTCTGGGAACTGGGCTACGGGGTATGATGTGGGTGTTTTCTTGGTGGAAGCTTTGCCAAGTCCCTGGTGTCCTGGGGGGCTGTGAGGGTTGCGGTCTTCCCACATCTATGAGTGTGACCCTCCACTTCTTTCTACCCTCCCCTCTTCTTAGGCCAAAGGACCTGGGTGGTCTCCTGAGCTGCCCACCAGGTTGTGGGAGGCCCTGCCTTGACCCAGGGACCCTGGGGGTGGGACCCCAGCCGCACCAGGACCTACTCAGAGCTGTTGAGGGCCAGCGCCGTCCAGTACGCCTCCATGGGGGCTGTGACCACCGCGTCAAACAGCGCCTCCTGCAGCAGCTCCTCGTCACCTGGGGCAAAGTCCAGAGACCACCCGCTTACTCCCCCATGATCATGTGGGCTCAGCTCCCACCCTCTGCCCAGGAGGCCTGACCCACAGGGCCTAGAGGTGCCTCAGAGAAGGTCTGGAACACTCAGAGCCCCTGCTCTCTGCTGGAGGAGGTCGTCTCCAGAGGCCAGGAGGCTGTGTCCTCTGCTCCAGTGTGTGGGCACAACTCAGCGATTCCCAGACCTCTCCCGCTTTCAGGCTCCGTGAAGTCAGGAGGCCTGCCTGCCAGCCACCCCTGCCTCCCTCTCCCCAGGAACTGGCCTCCGGGCCTCTGCATACCCTGGTCTGATTGTTTCCGCCCTGTCTCTGCCTGGGTGGCCCTTTCTTTCCCTCCCTTTCTCTAAAATGTTTATTGATGTTTATTGAGGTGAAATCCAAACGACGGACACCCTACAGATGGTATGCAACCTGGCATTTATACTTGCACAGAGACCGGCAGCCCCTCTCCACAACACCCAGTTCTCATGGCCCCGAAGGAGAGCCACGAGGCGGGTCCTTTTACCCTCAGCTTGAGTGACGCCCCTGATGAGGGCCCCCCTTCCCCACACAATACCTACTTACGGCCTCATCACCCCTGCAATGACTAGCCTACCTCAACTCAAGTGCTGGTCCCGTCACCTGGCTTCTCCCCCAGCCACAGACTCCGTAATTGCACGGCCTTGTCTGTGGTCATCAGAAGCTTCACTGATGAACAGCACCACCCCCACCCCGCCTGGCTGGCTGGAGAATGTGTCTGGCACAGACTTGTGGGTGGAATGAATGAATGTATGAGGCCTTGTTGGGATGGCCCGGGAAGTGGTGACTTCTCCCGGCTGGACACTGATGTGGCAGGATGATCCGTACCTCTTTCCGAAGACGAAGAGGTGGGACCCCGTGGAGGTTGGCCCCGCATTCGTGCAGGGACTTGGGGTTACCTGGACTCAGCTAAGGGAACACTCACAGATCACAGGCTGCAAGAGATGAGGCCTTGAGGGAGCCTCACCTTGCCTGCTGTCTGGGGAGCGGGGGCGGGGGGCCCTACTTGGTGACAGGGACAGATCTGATGGGCAGGCCAGTGCCCGTTACTGTGGGCCCTTGACAGTGCCCGGGGGACAGAGGCTTAAAGGGATCCTAGTCCCTGCCGTGGGGACACAACCGTGCCCTTGCAGGTCTCAGAGCCCTTGTCACTGGTGTGGCCCTGGGGGGCTGGCTGTGTCCTCTCCTTCGAGGGGGTCTCTCTGGTCTCCCTGAGCCGTCAGTGAGCTCTGCAAGCATGGTACTCCCGCCCCCACCCAGCCCTCTGTCCCCACGGAGTCCCGAGCTCGGGCCAGGGGACACTCACACTCTAGGGCGGGGTCCTCCTGGGTCAGGAAGCGCACCACAGCCTCCAGCTGGCTCAGCTTGCGGTGCTCTGGGTCGATATCCGTGATGCAATAGATCCTGGAAACCCAGCAGAGCCCGTTACCCCGAGTCCCCGTTGCCCCCCATCCCCGCTCTGCACCGCGCCAGCCCCCAGGTCCTCACCAGTCGCCAGCCAGGCTCAGGTCTGGGTGAAGCAGGTCGTGCAGGCCTGAAAGCAGAGTCTGCATTTGGTCCGGGGCTCATGGACCCGGCACTCTAGAAGCAGCGTCAGGGGCAGGGGGGGTCAGCTGCATTCAGCCGGGTTCTCAGGCAGAGGTGGGCTCCACATGGAGCCCAATGGTGTCATGGTCATGTTGCTCCCTAAATGCCTTCCATCCCAACACCTCCTGTCCGCACCCTGCCCCTTCGGATTGCCCTCGAGGAAGCCTCGGCTTGCCTGGCTTCATCATTCCCAGCTGAGCCCGGGGCCGTGCGTGTCCAGGGCCACACCCTCAGCCCACGGGCGGCACCGGGACACACAGGCCCCTCTGGCTGCACGGCCCGGCCCACAGAGCCCCGCCTGGGCTGGCCCTGCTCTGTGTCTCTGGAGAACCTAGTTTTCCTCGGAACTGAGCAGGGGTCCTGGGCACCGGCCGACCCACCTTCTTCCACTGACGTGTTCCCCAGGAGGATGTATTCTCCGTGACCTCGGGACAGCACCACCCCCAAACTGCAGGCAGAGCAGAGGACACAGGCTAGAGGTCAGCTGGGGCCCGGTCTGGGCCCCCCAACCTCGGACCCTCTGAGCACACAGCCTAGGACAGTGAGTACTCCCCGCCCGCCCCAGGCTGTCAGTGCCTCCCTCCCTGAACCCTGGCAAAGACTTCTGCTTTGTCATCAGCCTCTTTCCTGAGAAGGACCTGGACAAGAGAGGGGAAGGCCCCCTCCGCTCCCGTTCTGTTGGATTCACCCTGGACCTCCATGCTCTGAGGATGGAGAAGGGTCTCAGGGTCCCACATGTCCCGTGATCAGGGAGGCCCCTCCCACCTGGAGAATCCCACCTCACCTACCTCTCCCTCCTGGAAGATCATCTTTTGAGGCTTGGCTGATACCTGAACCACCTAGGGGGTTTATAGGGTCCTAGCGCCTGGGCCCCACCCCAGGAATCCCGAGTAACGAAGGAAGGACCTGGACACAATGTCACAAGTTCCTGTAGGCACCCCAGGGATCAGTCAGGACTGGGGACCACCCTTCGTGGAGCGATGGGGAATTCAGAGAGAAGGGGCCTTTACTCCTTGCACTGTATAATGCTAGAGCTGAACATTNCACCCGAAGGCCTTCTCCCACCGGCATACTGCAGCCCCGGGGAAGGTGTGCCTGATTGAGGGCCATAGTCCAGACTGCACTGTCCCTATGGGCCCATGAGTTACCACGTGTACCACAACTCAGGAATGGAAATTTGAAATCTCAGTTACTATCAGTTAACAGAAATGGAAACCTAGAAAGCCTGGCTGGCTGGTGGCCCCTGCACTGGCCAGTGGCCATGGTTCAGGTGGGACCAGCACAGGCTGCTGGCTGGAGCTCACACTTGAACGTCCCACCAGGAACCGCCTGCCTCTGGAGTCCAGACCCCTCCAGGCCTTGCTGCCCTTCACAGCTTCTTTTTCCTTTCAAAGCTGCTATGTTGAGGTTGAGTTGAATTTGCACAAGTCAGGGCATCGGGGGGTATGCACAGTGACTAAGACGGGCACAGGCGTCAGACAGCCCTGGTCTAAGCCCCACTGGCCACTCGTGGGCTGGTGAGCTTGGGTGAGTGATCTCATGCTTTTGGGCATCGCAGTTCCATTTGTGAAGCAGAATCGACAAGAGCATCCCCTGTGGATTGCTGGGAGGTGGTGAGGGTGTTTGTAGTGGGTGGGAAGGGCAGGGCTGACTTGGGCTCTGGAGCCCCGTAGGCTGTACCATCTGCACACACTTGGATGCCTCTGGGAAAGCTGCACACTGCATTTGGCCATGGGGCTGTTCTTATCCCCTTTGCCTTTTTTTCAGGCTTTTCTTCTGGGTTGGAAACTGGAGTAAGATGGGACGCAGAGTGAGAAGGTAGCAAAAAAGTTTTGTTTCAATAGGAAACCAGCCGTGGACCAAACCAGAAAGGACAGTTCCCAGCTTGGGCTTCGTCCTGCCTGATGCCCTCTGGTCCCCTCTGCTTCAGGCAGACCCTCTCCCAGTTGGGTGGGGGGGTCTGGGAGCCATGTGGGCAGCTGGGGGCCAGCCAGGGCATTGATGGGCTCCAAGTGGGGCTGGTCTGAGTCTGAAACTGGGGAGCATTAACAATTTTTTTCTTTCTGTCTCTTTTTTTTAATTGAAGAAAAAGTTGAAATGTGCACATCTAAACATATCATTTCAGCAGTTTTGGTAAGTGTACGTTGTTGTGGGATTACCTCCCGGGGTGAGATATGGATTGTGTGCAGCCCCTGCAATCGCTCTGCCTTCTTCTGGTCAGCCCCCCACCTTCCTGGGCGAGCTCTGTTCTGACCTCCATCCCCACAGGTTAGGTTTGCTGTTTTCACAGTGCAAGCCCTTTTGTGTCCACTTTTGCTCCATGTAGTGTCCCTGAGACCCACCCGTGTTGCTGGGTGTGTCAGCGCTGAGTTCCTTCCCCTGCCGAGTACTAAGTGCTTCAGGGAGGGCACACCACGGTTTACTTCCAGGTTTGCCCTCCACGGGTGGTCATCTGGGGTGTTTCCAGTTTAAGGCTGTTTTGAATAAAGCTGCTGTGAACCTTCTTCTTGTGGACGTGTGTCTTCATTTCTCTTGATAAGTACCAGGGAAGGAATTCCTTTGCAAAATATGCAAATTATGTTTGCCTTTATAAAACACTGCCAACCTCCCCAAATTATTTTATTATACTTCCACTAGCAATGTATGAACTGCAGTTTCTCCACATCTTTGCCAGAATTTGGTATTATCAGTCTTTCAAATTGTAGTTATGTTAGAGGGTATGGAAGTAGTTTTAATTTGCATTTCCCTGACAACTAAAGTTGCTGGTTGGGCTCGTTTGTCATGTCTGTTTCTTCATTTCTAAAAGTTCTGCTAAAGTGTCTTGCCCACATTTTTTTTATTACATTGTTAGACTTCTTGTTAGTAATCTGGAGAAGTTCTTTATGGTCTGGACACAGTCTATGTCTGGATTTTCATTTTCTTAATTGTGTCTCTGGATGAACAGAACTGTTTTTTGATTAAATTCAATTTTTCAAATATTTTATGTTTAATGCCTTTGGTATTTAGTCAAAGAAAACTAAATAACCTTAGGCTGTAAAGATTTTCACCTGCTTTTTCTTCTAGAAGCCTTATAGTTTTAGCTTTTCCGTTGACAGTTTTGTAATTGAGCGACATTCAAATTAATTTTTGTGTATGGTATGAGTATATCTCAGTGACTTTTCATACATTTATTCAGTTGTTCTGGCAATATTTGTTGAAAACACTTTCCTTTCTCCATTGATTTGCCAAGCTGTCTTTATCGAAAATATGCTGGCAACTTGTGTGTTTTTCTGTGTGTTTCATTTCTGTAGTCTCTACTCCATGGATCCATTTGTCTATTCATATGTCAATACCACTCTGCTTGGTTACTGCAGCTTTGAAGTAAGTTTTGAAATCAGGTAGTGTGAATCATCCATCTCATTCAACAAAAGGAATCTGTTCTTTTTCAAGAAAGTTTTGGCCATGTTAGGTCTTTTGCATATTCATATAAATTTTGGAATCACCTTCTTCCTCTATGTCTAGGAGAAGTCTGTTAGATTTTTTATTGGGATTGTGTTGAATCTATAGATTAATTTAGGGGAGAATAGACATCTTAGAAGTATTAATCTTACAACCCATAAACATGGTTATACTTTCCTATTTATTTAGTTTTTTTATTTGACGTTCTTTCTGCAGTGTTATGTAGCTTCCAGTGTAGAGGTCATATATGTGAAATTTATTCCTATTTTATATTATTTGTGATATGGAAATTGGAACTTAAAAGTATTTTCATTTTGCAAATGTTTCTGGCTATATATAAAAGTATAATTGATTTTTATAACAGTGACTCTGTGTTCTGTGAACTGGCTAAATTTATCTATTAGTTCCAGCAGCTGTTTTGCAAATTTGGGGGATTTTCTATGTGAACAATTATCTTGCTGTGAACAAAGATAGCTTTACCCTCTCCTTTCTAATTTTCATGCCTTTTATTTCATTTCCTGGCCTTATTGCAAAGATAGGTCTTTGCCAGGTCCATGGCAATGTTGAACGTAAGTGGTGAAACAGATACCCTCACCAAGTTCACACTCTTAGAAAGTGTTCAGTCATTCACCACTGAAAGTGAGCTTTTCCACACATGCCTTTTTTAAAAAATCAGATTAGGACGTTTCCTTCTGCTCCCAGTGAAGTTTTGTCATGTGTGTTCAGCATGCTTTGGGGTGGCCAAGTGGTGGCTTCCTCGCCTGTGTTAATGCAGTGGAATAACTTCACTCTGTGCAGCTGTATCTTACACTTGCTCACATGACAAACCCCACAACACAATGTCAACATTTTCCCTTTAAACAGCTGTCTTTTTGAGAAGTTAAAAGAACAGATGAAATCTTATCCTAACCCACGCACTTATCGTTTCCAATGCTGCCCATTTTTCTTTGTGTCGATCTAAGTTTCCATCTGTGTCATTTTTGTTCTGCCTGAAGAATTTCCTTAAGTATTTCTCTTAGGGATGAACTCTGATCTTCTCTATCTGAAACTGTCTTTATTTCACCTCTTTTTGAGATGGGAGCACCCTGACACCTGTGAGTGGGAGTCTGGTTGAGATAAGGGTGGAGGTGTCTGGAAGCCACCTCTGCCTTTTCTGGTTCACGAGAAGGACCTTCTGGGCCTGGTGGGTCATCAGAGATGCTGAGCAGCCTGCCCGAAGGAGGCCCTCTCAGCCCAGAGCTTGAAAACAACAAGCAGAGGCCACAGAACTGACGCAGGTCCCAGTGAGAAACAGCCTGTACATCTAAAAGGAATGCAGAGAGTTACTTTCCTTCCCAGGGCTTCCATGCTTGGCTTCCAGGAAAGTCCGTGTCTGTGAAAGAACGTGGGTCTAATTGTTGCTGACGGATGCCCACATTCTTCCCTCGGAGGCGAAAGGGCAGCAGTAGTGGGAGGGAGGAGGTGACATTTGTAAATATGTCAAGGGACAATGCAGAGTCAGTGCCAGCCAGCGGGGCCTTTTACACAGAAAGAGGAAGCCGTCCCTTGTAAGTGACAAGCGAGTCTGTGGGGACAGGAAGGCATCGCTGGGTGGACCCATTCCTGAAAATCAGCTCTGAGGAGCAGTAGTGATTTTCAACTTCTTCACAGATGACATGCTTTACAAGAGCTGCTAACAGTTTGCAAAATTACCTGTCACTTTCCCTGTTTCCAGGGGCTTCCCTGGTGTCTCAGACAGTAAAGAATCTGCGTGCAAAGCAGGAGACCTGGGTTTGATCCCTGCATTGGGAAGATCCCCTGAAGAAGGTAACGGCAACCCACTCCAATATTCTTGCCTGGAGAATTCCATGGACAGTGGAGCCCAGTAGGCTACAGTCCGTAGTCCATAGCCGGACATGACTGAGCAACTAACACCTTCCTCCTTTCCACCATAAACAACAAAAGGGCCACATAGCAGGCAGGTAAGGCAGAAAGAGGGCTTCCCAGGTGATGCTAGTGGTAAAGAACCCACCTGCCAATGTAGGAGACATAAGAGATGCAGGTTTGACTCCTGGGTTGGGAAGATTCCCTGGAGGAGGTTGTGGCAACCCACTCCAGTATTCTTGTCTGGGAAGGTTGCAAAGAGTCAGATACAACTGAGCAACTTAGCTCCACGCAAGGCAAAAAGAAGATCTGTGAAGGGCTGGGCTTGCTGCTGCTTCACCCCAGGTCCCTGAGAGGCAAGCCCTGGAGAGGGGTCACTCGCTGGCCAAAGCTCTGTGGGTCTGATGCCGGGTGGGCTGGGCCCCTCACTTGGGCCCTCCAGACTCCAGCAAGTTCTCCAGATTTACACTCTGATTCAGCCAGGTCCCTTGTCACCACCGCCAACCTTAATTAACCAGGATGCCACATCCTGGGACCAGACCTCAGTCTTTTCCTGGAGCGCTTACCCCTTTGTCCAGCGGGACTTTGACGTCCATGGAGAGAGACCCGGTCTCCCCGTTGATCATGGCTGTTCTCAGCTGCGAGGAGAAAGAAAACGAAATCAGTTGCTTGGTACACACTGGAGTGTGCTCTGAGCCTCGGCTCAGAGGTCAACCCTGGGAACACACTAGGTTTTCCCCTTTCCCCTGCAAGCAGAGCCCGGGTGGGAAAAGAGATCTGCTTCTAGGGCTCTATTCCCCTTAGCTGGAATTCTAGAATTCACCAAGATAAGGTTCCCAGTGGGCTGACGAGTGAGGGACACTGCGGCCAACCCTCCAGACACAGGTTCCTCCAGAAGGAGCTCCTGACGCCAAGGCTGGCCTACAGCCACCCGAACCCAACCTCTGTGGCTACAGACGCGAGCTCCTTCAACCTCGGAGGGAGCAGCTGTTATCTCTCTGGGGCCGTAGGGAGAACCGTCTGTTAGCAGCACCACTTCTGCTTTGAGCCTGGAAAGTCTCCGCTGAGGGAGCGGGGTGAGCTCAGCGCCTACGCGCCCCTCACCCCCGGGCCCTGCGGTCCAGCCACCCACCCTCTCCCCCTGCGGCACTCACCGTTCCGGCCTGGTCCTCCCACTCCACTTCCGAGAGGTCCACGCTGTTGTAGTTGGGCTTGGGCTTCAGTTTCTTCCCCTCTTGGTACTGAGTGGGCCGGGCGGAGGAGAGACACGAGGTTAACACGAGGCCCCGCTCAAGCCCAGCCCTTCCAGAAGGCCCGTGGGTCAGAGCCATAAACCAGAGCACCTCGGCCATTTCTTCCACCCGAGGCAGAGGGGCCCTGGCCAGCATTCGTGACAGATGGTTCCCGGCCTTGGAGGGAGATCTCCTTTTACGAGGAGCTTGTCCTGGATTTGGACTCTAATTGTTAGACAGTTCTTCTTCATCCAGAGTGGAAATCTGTCTCCCTGTGACTTTTACTACTGGACCACCAGGGATGTCCCTATTTTGGGTTCTTAAATGGAACCCATTCACTGTTTCAACTGTTTCTATAAACTACCCCCAAATCTGGGTATGGTGGCTCAGATGGTAAAGGAGCTGCCCAGAATGTGGAAGACCCGGGTTCAACCCTGAGTCAGGAAGATCCCCTGGAGGAGGGCATGGCTACCCACTCCAGTATTCTTGCCTGGAGAATCCCAAGGACAGAGGAGCCTGGCGGGCTACAGTGCATGTAGTTGCAGAGAGTAGGACATGACTGAACACACAGACATGAACTACCCCCACATCCCATACGGTTAAGACCCCAAGGCAAAAAAAAAAAAAAAAGATGGGGGTGGGATGTCAGGGGTGGAGTGTCTGGGGAGGGGGCATTAGGAGGAGGAATGCAGACCCCGTCCCAGCTCTGGTCTTGGCCACACTGTCTGCAGGGAGGCTCCTGCGGGAGGCTGTGACCCCACTCAGGGGCTGATCCAGGCTCACCTTGTACCGGGGCGCCAGCTTCATCAGCTCCCTCAGGGCCACGTCAGAGCCCACTACGCCCAGGAGGATGCCGTGGGACCGCTGGAAGGAAATGCCGGTGTCAGGGGACCCGGCTTCCCATGTGTGAGGCCAGGCTGGACCCCCGGCCCTCCCAGACCCGCAAGAGGAAGCCACTTGCACCTCAGGTGGTCCTTCCTCTGCAGTTAGAGTTTAGGCTGAGATCCTGGAATAAAAACCTAGAACTTAGCAGAAGAGGCCCTAGGAGTAACCTCACGCTGAGAAGATTACTGTCCTATATTGACATTGAAGTTGTAATATTTAAATGGAATACAGAGTTGAATGAAATATCAGCCTTCACAGCAGAGGCTGAAGTACTGGCATCCGGGGAGACCCTAATCTGGGGGTTTGGGGGCTCTGAAGCACACGGGGCCTGTAAGGAAAGTTTTTCCGGCCAGACGGAGGAGGGGAGGCTCTCGAACTCCCCCACCAGAGCCTTCACAGATAAGTCAAACCCTGCCCACACCCGCAGAGTCAGAGTGGCTGTGCTGGATGCCAGGTAGGTGACCCCTCTGGCCCAGGATCCCCAGGCAGGGTCCCACATCCAGAGCAGCTGGCCAGCACCCGGCTGGGTGAGCAGAATCACAGGGCAGCTTCTGGAAGTGAGGATCCCGCCCCGCCTCTCCCGACCCGGAGATGTGAGTTCCTGGACACACACCCGCCCATGATGACCCTGTCAAGAACCCGTGTCAAGAACCCCAGGTCTAAAGATGCCGCGGCCCCAGTTCTAACCTGGGCAGCTGCTCACGAGCGGCCACTCACCGTCTCATTCTTCTTGCTGAAGACAGGCATGGCCACGGTGGTCAGCAGTGCCAGGCTCCGTGCCTGTGGGTGGAGAACTGTCAGGAAGGGTGGGCGACGGGACAGAGTCTGCAGATGGGGACCTGAGTCACCACGACTGCCCCCAAGGAGGCTTGCCTTCTCTGCATGAGGAGGAGAGTTGGCAGAAAGGGCGGAGGGGAAGGGGCTGGAGGGGGGCTGGGGCAGACACCACAGCAAGCAAAGCCCTAAGCCAGGGCAGGTCTCAGAGCCCTGAGCCCACGGCCCTGCCTGGAGCCCGCTCACCCAGGCCTCCTGTCTTGGCCACGCCAAAAGGCAGGCACACCCACAGGACAGGTCCATCTGTGCAAGAGCCCAGGAACACAGGCTCAGACAGCAAGAGGACATGTCAAGGGGCCACTGGGGCACAAGTTCTGGCCACTGAGATGCCAGGTTAAGTGTCCGGTAAGACTCTGCGGACGTTTCCCTTAGAGGTGGGGCGTATGCCCCTCCCCTCCTCCACCGGAAGCCTGGAATGTGGCTGCCAACATTCTGAGCCCCTATAGCCACTTGCAGCAGGAGGACCCCAGGGATGGCAGGGGCGGGGGCAGCGGGAGGGGCCAGGGAGCTTGTCGTCCATGTCCATGCTTCTTGTACGGGAGAGGGAAACACCCGTCCCTCCTGTGGAAGCCACCGTTCCCAGGTCTCTCTTAATCCCAACCAGACACGGGGTCTGTGTTCATGATGGGGTTTGAGGAGCATCAGGATGGTCCCCTTTCCCAGACATCTCATCTGACTGTCTACCTTCCAAGTCTGGTACTACATGGGAGGGACCTACAGGTGTCTCATTGGACACCAGGGTCCAAGGGAGGATGCCGGGTTAAGCTGCAGTATCTAAACCTTTGGTCAGTCCCCTTTCCTCCTGGAGTGGGTTGGGGAGGACGGGGAGGCAGGCAAGGACCACGGAGGAGGGAAAGTCTGGGGCTGAAGGCTCTGTCCATGGGGGACGGCCCCGGGTGTGGAGGTCACTCCACAATGCCTCCCCAGGAGGTGCTCTGCCCACCCCTCCCCAACCCAGGAGCCCCCGCTTGCTCCCTGGGGCCCCACCTTGCTGTCCATGTAGGCTTCGGTCCAGGTGATGTCATGGTCGTGGTTGATGACCATGGGCCGGCTAAGCACATGCAAGTATTCCATCACGTTTTCCTGCGCATCCGCCAGTGTGGAGATCTGTGTATAGTAGCCTGGTGGGGGAAAGGGTGGCTGTGGATGCAAGGTGCACATTCCCAGCCACTGACGGCTCTTGGCTGGGAGCTGCTCTGGGTCAGGCACTGGGCGCTGCTTCTCCCGAGGCCGGTGGTGCTGCAAGGACATGAAGGCCTGGCCCTGCCTGGGCTTGGGAGAACCTCCATCCCCCCAAGATCTAGAGTTGCCCTGGGAGCAGCAGGGCCTCAACTCAGGGCACAAGGCTGCCCCTCACCCCCTGCAGGGCTGTCCTGCAGGGATGCACCCCATGGCAAACAGCTCTGTCCCGGGTCTTTTAATTTTTTATTTTGTATTGGAGTCTAGTTGATTTATGTCTTCCCTGATAGCTCAGTTGGTAAAGAATCTGCCTGCAATGTGGGAGACCCCGGTTTGATTCCTGGGTCAGGGAGATCCGCTGGAAAACGGATAGCCTGTTTTAGTTTCAAATGTATAGCATTTCTCAAAATTTAATTTTTGATTTTATATTGGAACTCTTCACCGCCTGCACCCCACCCCCACCCCTCAGGTCTATTTGTAGAGAGCCTCCCTTTCTCTAACTACAGTCCTCCATCAGTCATGGGGAGGGGGCTGCAGCTGAGGCAAATGCCGTACAGGCTGTGACTGGTTTAGCACGTGTCTGTTCACCATCACCCACAGGACGCTCTCCCCAGCTCTGGGAACCTGGCCGTTTTTACTCCCAGGATGCCTTCTGTCTCAGACACTTTGATGCCCTTCCTCGCTCTCTGCATCTGACTCACTCCTACCACTTTTTTATGTCTCGCCTTAGACACACATCCTTCAGGAGGCCTGCCCTGACCCCCCAGATGCAGGAGGGCTGCCCCCTCACCCACACTTTGGGCAGCCTGTGCCCCTCTGCCCACAGTTCAGTTCAGATTGTCCCCTCACTGATGGCTCACATGTGTGTCTCCCTGCCCCACCTCCCCGTCCTCCGGACAGAATCAGGGCCATCCCAGCCATCCTGACCACATCCATCCGCCAGACCACAGCAGGTGCTCGGACATCCTGCTGGAGTCAAGGGGCCTGAGTCAGCACTATGAAGCCTGGGTATTGGGTTCCGGCCCAGAGATGCGGGCTGCTACACACAAAGCCTTATTCTAAAGAAAGCGATGGCCTGTGCTCTGAGTCTAGAGCAGAACCAAGCCCACGGGCTTCATCTGCAGCAGCAGGAATGGAGGTCAGACACCAGACAGCACTGACAATGAAATGTTGGCCCCCTTGTCTGCCTGGTTTTCCGTGTGGCAGTTTGGGTAAAACCTCATTTGAAGAGATGGGTCTCCCTTCTGCAGACCCGAGGTCACCACCTCTGGGTGTGTCTCGGGGGTGTGTGTGTCATGGGGTGAGAGCCCCACAGGGAGCAATCGATACCCGCCTTGATTGTCCGAGGAGGAAGGGGGTGTATGCAGTCACCTCCACTTTGAGTTTTGAGTTTGAGTTTTGCACCGGAGCCTTGGCTCAGCATCTGTGCTCAGGTGAGGCCCCGGACACTCTGGCTCATGTGGCATCACCCACCTTTGTTGTTGCAGGCGATCCACTTCAAGCGGTCAGCAAAACTCACTTCCCTCCCAATCAGGTAGGTGAAGACCCGGACCTGGTGGATGAGACCCGGTAGGCTTGAGTCCTGGCCGCTAGGGGCCTGGCTGCATCTGGGTCTAGGTTTGGGCTTTGGACTGTGCACTTTCAGCGCTTCTAATTGGGAAGGGTCCAGGGCCTGGGCTTGTGGCAGGGGGGATGCCTGCCTGGGGTGGGGGTCTGCCTGGTGAGGCTCACAGCCTGCAATTTTCCATCCCCACCATATTCTGTGCCCTTGAGTGCGGCTCTGCAGTCACCCTGATGTTGGACTGTCACCCTGGGTTGCATGGGCTGAGCCTGCAGACACAGCAGGAGGAGGCACTCCCCCGGTCCCCCCCTTCCGCGACACCACTCTCCAAGAGGAACCTTGCGGTCCGGCCAGTTGTACTTCTCCAGCACCGGCTCATAGTCTTCCACGGCCCCGTCGGTGATCAGCATGATGGCCTGGTTGCACAGGCTTCCTTGCCCAGCCTCTTGGAACTGTGGGGAGATGTGGTTGTGACTCCCCTGCTCCCCTGCCCCATCCCTTCCCAGTGCTCCCCAACCCACAACAGACCTGCTGCAGGATCTGGAAGGCTTCACGGAGGGCTCGGTCCACGACCCCCACACCTTTGACCATCAACTCGTCCACCAGCTGTTTGAAGTGCTGTTGGAGATAAGAAGTTAGAGGAGGATCAGTGGTCACTGACACTGGGAACCTTCACTGTTGGCGGTACTTTCAGAGGCTGTGCAGAGCTACTTGCCAGGAAGAGCACGACTGCAGGACCCATCCCCTAATTTCACAGCTGGACACCCGCAGCAGAGGTTTCTCAGATGCCCCCGGGAGAAGCTGAGAGGCCGTGAGTGGCCGGGGGCAAGACCACCCCCTGTCCCTGGAAGGAGAAGCCGGACGGGTTCCAGGTATACCCACCTCTCGGTTGTCCCGATCTGCCTGGACCAAGATCCCCTTAAAACAAGGCTCGATGTAGTGGATGTAGTCGTTATACTGCAGAGGGTGGAGGGCGGAGGCCAAAGGTCAGAGGGCAGAACACACAAGGTCAGTCTGGCAAGTCAGGGCCCAGTGACTTGCTCACAACTCACGGAGAGTCAGGGGTGGGCTCGGGGACCCTAAGCTTTTGGCAGTTTCTCTGAGCAGAGGGAAGGAAGTACAGGGAACAGCATGACCTTGACTCTGAACATTCTCCCCTGAGTCCTAGCCTGGGCATCTTCTGGGGAGGCCGGCTGGGTGCCATCCAGCCCTGGAGCTCACAGAGTCCAGGAGTCACCCAACTCTTCTCTCCATTTCTGTCTGTCTGTCCCTCCACTTCATCGCTTTCTGGGGCAGGTGGAGCGGCCCTCAGGAGAATCAGGACGGGGGACTGCTGGTCCTTCCCTCCTGACGTGTCTGGATTCAGGGACGAAGGAAGTGGGAGCTGGGGGTCTCCCACCCTGCAGAAAGGAGGGTCTTCCCAGGGTGACACCACCAAGGGCACAGGGGTAGGGCCAAGTTAGAGATCTACTTAGAACTCCTTCATCTAGATTGGACCCCAGACTTGTCTGAGAGCCCAAGGAGAGCTACTGCCTCAGAGAAATGGACATACACACTTCCCACATGATCTCAGAAACTGTGGACCCCTGGGAGTCCCTCCTAGGTGGGGGCCCCCAGCTACGGGGAATGAAGCGTCGAGTGCCCATAAGTACAGGTCACTCTAGTGCAGGTGGAGGTACTTCCCGAATGGGAGGCTTTTTTACCGCAATGATATTCACGAAGTCGTTCTCCCCCAGCGTGTCCAGGATGGTGGAGACCGTGTGCTTGGCGATGGTCATCCGCAGCCCCTTCATGCTGCCGCTTGTGTCCACCACGATCACGATGTCCTTCGGGGAGGTGGCAGCTTGTATGTACCTTTAGTAGAGAGGGAGGGACAGGTCAGAGGTGGGATAGCCAGAGTCAGAACCACCATCAGCCAGGTCTCCCTTGTTTCCATTCAGACTCTGGCTCAGAGTTCAAGTCAACGCCCAGGCTTGCTCGTGTCGGGAACCACCCAGCTGTTTGGCAGCCATTGTGGAGGGAACGGTTGGGATCGTGCCCACTGAGCAAGCTTGTCAGGTGGGGGTGGTCAAGTCTTGGTAGTGACCCTTGTCCTCTTTGGTTCAGGCCAGCCTGGGTCCCAGGGGGATCTGACAGTGGGAAGGGAGGGAGCCGGACCCCCCAGACCTGGTTATAGATCTGCCAGAGGAAGGGTGCGGGGGGAGAGGGGATCTGGCCTAGGGTGAGTGTGCTGTCAGCTCAGGGCCCTGGAAGAAGGTGTCGGGCGGCAGGACAGGTGTGGTCAGTCCTGGGGCAGAGCAGCTGTAGGGTGATGCAGACAGACACTCTTCTTCTCTTATTCTGGGTTAGTTCTGCACACAAGGGGCCCCAGGGTGGGTGCAGGACAGGCAGTGGGGGGAGAGCTAGGCAAAACCCGGAGGCTGCACAGAAATGTCAGCCCCAGAGGCCAGGCCCCCGGGGTCGCTTACCAGCCACGGTTCCGGCAGTCGAAGGTGATGACACCGTTCTCATCTGGCGTCCACTTGATGCCTGGGGAAAAGAAGGCCTCACTCAGCGAGGCTGCCCCAGAGTCCCGGACTGGGTGCTGACCCCGGGATGGCCAGGATCCCTGGGGCAGGGCCAGCTGGGGATGTGGGCAGTGTGTGTGGGACCAGTCATCACACCCTGTAAACTGAGGGGGCAGCAAGGCGGCAGGCAGCTGATGGATGGACACTCACCCCCAACTGCACAGATTCAGAGCTGGGTTCACTTCACAGGTAGGACCCCCCAAACTCCTGAACTCCCAGCACCCCGAGAGACACGGGTGAGGCCTGACACATGTTCCTAAGTGGTGTCCCCATAGATGAAAACCTCTGACTGCAAGCACGTGGACCTCGGACTAGTTGAAACCAGATTTTCTTTTTCATTTCCCTCCCTTTTTTCCCTTTTTCTTTCCCCCTTTTTCCTTTCTTTTATATATATATATAATATATATTTTTTTTTTTTCACACTGTACAACCCCCTTCAGGGCTCACAGCCCACAGGTACAGAGGCTGGGCCAAGGTTGCAGGCTGCAGTTGACTCCATGAGCGCACCAGAAGGAAACTAGACTGGTGATGCTCAAAACCTCCCTTGGATGCCAACCAATCTGAGAACTGAGCAGGAGATGAGTGGGCTCCCGAGGCCCCTCCCCCATGTGGCCTTTCACCCCCTTCCCTGAACATCCTTGGGGAGCTGGAACCCCTTCCTGCCTTCGCCCTGGTGCACACAGTCCCTCTTCAATAAAGAGCTCTGCTCGCCTACACGTCTTGAGGGGGAGATGTTCATTTCTATGGCCTTGCTTTCTTAGAATCTGGAAAGGCTTGGGAGCACACACCAGATATTTGTATCAGATAACAGTAAAGGCATCTAATTTGGGGAAATTAAGAAGTCAGGGTGGGGGCAGAGATGTAAGCAGGAGAGTTCTCAGGTGCCTTTTTGACTGTGAGGAGGGTAAAATATGATTTAATTGTAAAATCTTGTGTTACACGTGCCTGATAAATCCCTGTTACACATGCAGGACTAATGACTAAACAGAAACAGAGGAATAAGTTCATAAGTGATAGGGAAGAAAAAGAGAATCAGAGGGGGAGAATTTATGAAAAAAAGGTAAATCATTAAAAAAGAAAGAAAGAAGCAAAAAGGAAACATAAAAATAGAAGGAGAAGAAATCTAAAAAATAAGATTATAGCATGTCCAAATGTATCAATAAAATACATGAAAATGTGCTTAACTTGCCAAATAGTAAAAGAGATTGTCAGTTTGAATAAAAATTAAAAAGCTATATGCTATTTTCAACAGATATGGCTAAAACAAAGTGACATTGAAGATTGGAAGTAAAAGGATGGAAAATATATCAATATCAAGCATATACCAACCAAGAGCACACTAATATCTCTATGAATATCAGATGAAATAGACTTAAATAGTGTGTTGTAAAGGTTAATGAGGAGCAAGCAGACATAAAATCAGTAAAGGCATGGAAAATTTAAATAATACGATTGACAAGCTTCATCTAATGATGTGAGCAGAATTTCTATCCAACAATTAAAGCCCCCATTTTCTGCTCAAGCACATGTAGAATATTTACAAAAGTTGATGACATATTAAGCTATTAAACTAGCTCCCAACTAATTTTATACAATCAGCACCAATATACACCATGTTTTCTGGCTACAAATAACTGAAATAGAAATTTTTAATAAAAAGATAAAGATAAAATCCCCATATATTTGGAAATTACAAAGCACACTGTTAAATTGCTAAAAGTTCAAAGAAGAACTCACAGGGGAATCCAAAAATATTTAGAAGCAAACAACATTAAAACACTACCCTGACACCAAGAAGCACAAAGACTTTTGTGGGTCAAAAGTCACAGTGAATAGAGTGCAAAGGGAATCCATGGAATGCAAGGAAATAGCCAGACTGTAAAGAGAACTCAGTGACAACAAGAGCAAACAATCCAGGATAAAAATGGGCAAGCTTTGTGTCCGCACACAAGTTGACGGCTCTGGGAGCCCTGATGCAGCAGGAATTCCTCCCTGGGGAAGGCCTGAGGGACATGAGAGCTGCCTTCAAGCCTTTGAAGGGCTGTTGCATGGAAGAGGGATGAACTTGCCCACTGAGGCTCCAGAGGACAGAAAAGAACCAATGACTTGTTGTGGATTTGCGTAGTGAGACAGGAGTGTCCCCTGGCTTAGACGGTAAAGAATCCGCCTGCAATGCAGGAGGCTCGAGTTTGATCCCTGGGTTGGGAAGATCCCCTGGAGAAGGGAATGACAGCCCACTCCAGTATTCTTGCCTGGAGAATCCCATGGACAGAGGAGTCTGGCAGGCTACGGTCCAGGGATTGCAAAGAATTGGACATGACTGAGCAACTAACAATTTCACGCACGTTTTTCACAGGAGGGTCCACCCTGGGGAACCTGTGAGCTCTGAGGTTGTTTTGTACTCCTCCTAAGAGAAACCCTGGGGGACATGGAACCATCCTTAGGACCCCCAGGACAAGCTGGGGCTGGGGACCTGGACCCTTGGCTGCAGTGCTTACACCCGGACAAACATCTCCTTGAGCAATAAAATACAAAGAAACTATAGACTAAAAATAACTGCACGTGTGTGCAGTTGAGGCAAATTATGGACAATAGATATAAAAACACCAAAAACACAATTGCCACTTCTGAAGAACTGGGAGCAAAAGCAGGGCACTGCGCATGTCCCCTGCACTCAACACCACCAAGGTGTGGGCAGACCACATAGGCACCCCTCCAGCCCAACCCTGGGCCACACCCCTGCCCTCACCCTGATAAAAGGACCCAGCTCATCCCCCACGGGAGCCAGCAAGGGAAACTGGGTTTTGTCCTTGTTCCTCACTGCTGCAGCAGGGGCCCCAACTTTACAGCCTTGCCTGAATTTCTTGTCTGTCTTCTAGTCAATTACTGTTGATTAAGGGGGTAACACTTGTCTCAGAAAAGAGGGCCATCCATGATAAGGCTTTCTGGAGAGGGGGCTAAAGTAAGAGTGGATGTGAGCTGTGGAGGTGAATCCTTTTATATGAGAAGTAAAAGAAGGCAGAGCTCTTGGAGACCTTGTAGATGGGCTTCTGTTTTCTGTTTGGTCAGTAGACCAGGGAGAGTCCCCTGCTGTCTGCTGGGCTGGCCACTAGACAGTTCAACCTCATTCCTGCTGTTGAACATGGACTTTGCCCCATTTCTCCAGCGAGGATGCAGCCTTCTGAAGGTCAGAACTCTTTGGCCCTCCTTTCCACTTCCCACATGCTTCTTGCAGGACCAGAGTCCGGGTGGGCATTGATTGGCTATTTACCGAGGGGTCCAACAGCATCGTTGGTTCATTCCTCCATCAGTTATCATTTGAAAGTGTGCTTATTGGGTTGCAATGTTGCCTTGTTCCCAGAGACAGAGCATGGAGGACTGTGGAGATGCCTCCCCGAGTCCTCACCTGGGTAGATGCGGAAGAACCCCGTGGAGCTGCCGAAGTACTGCCAGGTCAGCGTCGGGTCTCTCTGGAAGTTCTCCACGAAGACAGCGTTCAGAGCTTCGGACATGTAGATTCCATTCAAGATATCTGGGTCTAAAGGGTGAGGTTGTGGGGGGATTGCGGGGGGGTTGGGTTCGTTTTTCTCTTGTTGATTTTTTTTGCCCCCCCCCCGGCCCCCCTTTGAAGGCCCTTTGCTTGCGTTGGGGCCTTCCCCCCCGGCGTTCCTTTTCCCTTGCCCGGGGGGCCCCTTTTGTTCCCGGGGGGGGAATGTCTGGCGGGCACCTTTGTTGTAGACGTTGGTGGGCAGCTGCACGCTGCTCAGGGTCGTGTTCACCAGCAGGTCGCTGAAGTGCGCGTTGGCCTCTAGGAGGAACTCGGCCCCCAGCTCCACGTATGCCCCGCTCGAGTCCTTCTCGTTGAGGAGGACGGAGTTGTAATAGTTGAACTAGGGTGACCGAGAGGGACAGGGGGAGAGAGAGGGCCAGGCGTGGTGGGCGTCAGCATGAGCCGAGGATTCCAGCCATCACTGATTTGGGGCAAGTTCCAAACAGTTGGGCCCAATGGTTGATTCTTCGGGTTTTGAAGTAAACTGTCTGGATTATGGCTTCAGTCCCCACTTTGTTTGGTGTGTGGACACAGCCAGCATTGGGACAGACAGGCAGACACAAATTCAGGGGAGGTGGGCAAATGGAGGCACCCTCACCAGCACCCTGAGCTGACGGGAGTGGGAAGGCTCCTGGGACCCAGAACGGGGTCCCTGCACTGGGGCTTCCCTCTGAAGAGACAGCCTGCAGCCTGGCCCTGGACTGGGCCGCAATTGGCTCCTCAAGGACTCAGAGCAGTTTAGAACCAGCCCTCAGGTTCATTCACACCAGTGCGGTTCAGAACCAACTCTCAGGTTCACACATACCTGTGCGGTTCAGAACGAACCCTCACATTCATTCATACCTGTGCGGTTCAGAACCAACCCCTCAGGTTCACACACACCTGCATGCATTGAAAGACGATGCTGGGCCTCTTCCCCCCTACCCCCGCCTTATGTCCCGTCCTCAGGGGACCCGGGTCAAAGGGCTTCGGAATATTAGTGGTCGTACCTCCCAGGGCTGTGGGGGCAGGAGGACTCACCACCAGGGACTCGTTGAATTCGTGGTTCAGGTCGGCCTCCTCGGCAGCCTCCACCAGATTCTGCGGCGGGGACACGAAGGGGAGAGTGAGCGGGGAAAGGAGGCCAGTGGCTGTGTAAGGTCCACTCCCAGGGGTCCACCCATGAGAACCCAGGACAGACACTCAGACCAGCGCCTGCACATGAACGTGCACAACAGCGCTAGTCACAGTGGCCAAAAGGCAGACAGGTCACAGGACAGGAAACCAGTCTGCAAGGCGACACACAGGGTCCTTTCAACTACACAGTGTTCAGGGGAGGGTCCGACACGGGGAATGTTCCAGGGAAGGTCGGACACAGAAGCCTGGGGAAACAGTGCAAAGGTCAGCCGTGGCCAGGGGCAAGCAGGACTTTTCAAGGCAGTGAAACTACCCTGTAATCTATGGCAGTGGGTACGTGTCATTACACATTCATCCAAACCCTTGTGATGCACACCAAGAGTGAACCCTCAAGCAGACTATGGCCTTCAGGTGACAATGGCGTGTCAGTGTTAGTTCGTTGGGTGTACAAATGTACATCTGGTGGGAGTGTTGGTAGCTGGGAAGGCTGTGTTTGTGAGAGCAGGGGGAGTAAATAGGAACTCTGAGCTTTCTTTACAATTTTGCTGTCAACCTAAAACGGCTTTAAAAATTCAAGTCACTGGGACTTCCCTGGGGGTTGCCGTTAAGACTGTGCTTCTACTGCAAGGGATTTGGGGTTGATCTCTGGTTGGGGAACTAAGATCCCACATGCTTCATGGAGCAGCCAAAAAATAAATAAATAAATAAAATATATATATATAAGAAAGAGGAGTTCCCTGGTGATCCAGTGGTAAAGACTCCAAGCTTCCAGTGGAGGGGCCGTGGGTTTGATCCCTGGTAGGGAACTAGATCTCACATGCTGCAACTAAGACCCAGTGCAGCCAAATAAATAAGCAAATAACTTAAAAAAAAAAGATAAAGGAAAGAAAAGGCTCAGTAAATAGAAGTAGAGACACAGCAGGGCATTTATTACCAGGAAGATGGGATTTTACATCATCTGCGACCCTCTGGGTCTCTGTTTATCCTGTGAACTAGGCAGAGCAATCCTTGCTGCCCTGCACCCAATCCCTGTGGCTGAGGGCAAGATGAAGTGGAAGACGGGAGGAGAGGGAGGGGGTTCACTTCACCAGCAGTCACCCCGCAGCCCTCCCACCCACCATTCACTCAGTGGTGACTCCTGGGTCCTCACTCTGCACCCCATCCCACCACTGAACCTGAGATCATGATGCAGGTCCTTCTTGACACCACGGGCTGACCCTCCAGCCCCGGACGCTGTTCCCTAAGGCAGGGCACCCACTCCAGCCAGCCCCTCTCTCCCCTTGCCCCCAACCCCACCTTCTCTTTACAAGGGTCTGGTGGCTCACAGAGCTACGGGGCAGAAGGTGATGTGGGTGGGAGGGCCCAGGGCGGGTGTTCAGTGTCTGGGGTGGGCGGACCCCCAGCCCCCAGGCTGAGCACCTGGACGGCCTCCACTTTTCTGCGGAGCATGGTCTCCATGTCCTCTGAGAACTTCCTCACTAGCTCCAAGCCGTCCACCTCCTTGATCTTCAGACTGGACTCCACGTCCTTGTATTTCTGTTCAGGAGATACATGGAGATGTACACCTGTTTTCTGGGACTCAGAAGTCCACCTGGATGGCTAGCAGCCTCTGCCCTCCCACTGAATATTCACACTGGGGCCAGGATGGCCCTGTCTCCTCCAAAACCTCCCCTGCAGATGACAAGTGACTTCTCTTATCAGACGTCCTTTGGTTCACATCCATCAGAGGGAGAGGCTGAGGCCCAGAGAGGTTGTGAAACTCAGCCGAGGTCACACAGCTGCTCAGGGGCTGGACCTCCACATGCTGCCTCCAGGGATGGCTCTCAGGGGCTGCAAGGCCTGAGATCTTCGGTGCCCCCTCACATCCTGTGAGCTGCAGGGCTGGGCACGGCCTGACCCTCGGCCAGTGAGCCTGGGCACAAAGAGGGCCGCTGAGTCGCTGTCTAGGCCCTGGGAAGCCACCTGGGCACGAGTTACTTAACTCCCCAAACTGCAAGTACGCGGCTTTCACCCCAGACAGCCACGGCTCCAGCTCCTTCATGCGTCAGAGGAAGGAGAAAATCGGAGGAAACTTGCTTGGCTGAGGGGCTGGTGTGGTGGTCAGGAGAGTAAGGGGAGTCGGGGGGAGCTGGCATTGCTACCTGCCCGGGGTCAGAACAGCTGGAGGGGACAGGCATGGCCTTAAAAGCCACAGACTCCTTTCAGCAGCACTTAGGAAACAATCTGAAGCTGCAGAGGGGATAAGATGGGGAACATGGACACTCGGCCATGGGCAGTGGGACAGCAGCAGCCTCCTTTGTGATGGTCTGGAAGTCGCGTTGCCAGGGGGACTGGAGCTTGAGGGGTCTAGTGAGAAGCCGGTGGGTCGTCTTTAATAGACAGAGCAGTGAACTACTCATGGGGGTGGTGGCCAGCTCCTACCCAGGGGCCCTGCAGCCAGGACACTGTGGCAAGCAGGTTGGAGCACCGAGTGGGCGGCTCTCCACTGGCCCCTCCCCGCTCCCCAGTGTGGGGCCTGCATCTGGCCCACCCACTCGCTTTCCCGTTGGTCCTTCACCCCCACAACCTCTTGCTCCCTGATCCCATCTCAGCGTTGGCTTCCCGGCCCCTGAGCTGACATCCCACCAACTTGCTCTGTGTCTCGGGCAAATCATTCCCCTCTCTGGGCCTCAGTTTCACCATCTGAAATGGGGATTAGACTTGACAGTCCCCAGGGCCCCTCATAAGCATGGACATCCTGCTTGCCCACCAGGACAGAGTTCCTGGCTGACTGCCTGGCTGACTGCCTGGCTGCCCTGGGTGGCACTGACCTTCTGTAGCAGGAGGGAGCCCGAGTACTTGGTGACTGTGTCATACAGGTCCCGGCCAAAGGTGTCTGCCCACAGCTTCACTCTGCCGGACAGAAGGAGTACATGTGTGCATGCACGCATGCACATACACATGCACGCACACATGCATGCACACCCGTGCATGTACACAGGAAGACACAAGGATACACACATGTGCACACACATGTACATGCATGCACACAGATGCACACATGCGCGTGTACACATGCACACACACTCATTCACACACCCTTGCGCACATGTGCACATATGCACACACACGCATGCATACCCGCACACACATGTACACACAGGGAGACACAAAGATTCACTCATGCACACACGTACACACATACACACGGAGACACAAAGATGCACACACATGTGCACACATGTACACACACATGCACACAGAGAGACAGATGCACACAGATGCATGTACACAGGAAGCCTGTGTCTACACGCAGAGACACCTACTGCTGCACATACACAAACCTGCACAATCATGCAGGGACACACATAACATAGACATACACGTAGACATGGACACACACAGGCACACACACAGTTACACACTGACATACACCCAGGATAACACACCAACAGATACAGTCCACCCCCTGTAGGGCAGGGACCTAGAGGACCCATCAGGACTCAACAGTTAAACTATGATCAGAACACCTTGGCTAGGACCTCGCTGAGGGGCAGAGCTGACCATCCGGAGCCAAGCCCTAACCCTACACCCTGAGGGCTAGAGAGAAGGGAACAAGGCTGGGGGGTGGGCAGGCTGGCCGGGAGACCCTGAGGACATGCACAGATGCAGCTCTTCAGCCAGCTGTCCGCCAGCTGCCACTTGCAGGGTCACTCTGGGGCCACGACTCCTCTTCTAAATGCTTGGTGTGGGGGGTGTGAGGCAGAGAGGCTGAGCCTCTGAGCTGTGTCTGGGAGGTTGGGGCCACAAGCAGGTGACAAAGTAGAGATGGGACCCCCTCCGTGGGGACAGTGAACCTCAAATCTCATACTTGGCTCAGCCCCACACAAACCCCGGGCATCTGTGGGCTGCAGGGCCCCCATCTGTAAGACCAAGGCTGACAGTAGTCTGACTCGTGCTGGGCTCAGGTGTGATGAACAGGTAGCCTCTTCAGTCCAGGGTGCTCTGCACCCATCCTAATCGGAACTATCTTTAAGGGAACCACCAGAACTAATCACTAAAGACCAGACACCCCCAGGGAGTCACACAGTAGTTTATACCTAGTTGTGAATGACTGGAAGCTTCCCTGGAGCTGGTCTTAGTGACAGAATGTAGGACTGGGGCCAGGAGGGAGGCAGACAGTCATAAAAAGGGAATGGAGAACCCTCTTTCGCTCCCCCCTGACTCCTGGCTGCATAAGCTGGTGGTCAGTTTAGGCCTGTTTACCCTCATAATGTCAAGATATGGGTTTCCTAGCAAATCCTTAGGGGGCCCTGATGGTCATTTCCAGCAACTAGGCTCCCACTCCAACTGCTCATCCTGCAATCACCCTGGAAGGAGGCCTTCCCCGCAGGTGCTGGGGGTGCCAGGAGTTGTGGGGGCCTCCATGATCAGGTCTGGGGAAAGGATGAGAGTGGGGCTCCAAATGGCAGAGGTTTGGGGAAGAGAAGAGGTTTATAGAGGCAGTGGACAGGGGGACTGGGTGGCCGAGCCCCAGGGGAGCTGGGGGAGGGGGGCAAGGACTGAGATGGGCCAGGGAGGGGAGGGAGGAAAGGGTCTGTGGTGGCGGGGGGCTGGCCTCGAGGCTTACGTTTCCACAGGGATCCTGACCTGCCCCCGTGTGGGGGACAGGGATGTGCTGGACAGCAGGCACAGGAGGATCGCCGTCTTCCGCAGGGAGGCCCAGGCCGCAGGGGTGGGGCTGGGGTCTGCGTGGATGCTGGGGGGCCCGGGCAGGGTCCCCATGTGGGATGAGGCTGGGGAGCAGCCTCAGACCCTGAGCTCTGTCTGCCCAGACCCCTCGCACGGCCCCACACCTTCTGCTTCCAGGTCTGGACAAGCCTGGGGTTCCCCAGCTTCCAGTGGGGTCCTGGCTGCAGTGTCTATGCGTGAGGAGGGGGCTCCCCTGTCTGTCTTGCAGAGGGGCGGCCCCACCTGAGCAGCAGGCTCCCAGGAGAGGGGCTGACTGGAGAGGCTGGGACAGAATGAGCTGGTTAATCTGCCGGCCTCTTCTCTAATCCCCGCCTGGCAGCAGGAGGGTGGTGACAGGGACCTCAGTGAGATTATCCTGGTTTCAGAAGTGGGGGCCAGCTCACCGCGTGTGAGTCTCAGCCTCCCGCGTCACAGAGGCAGACCAGTCAGTCCCTGGACACAGGAGACGACCCAGCGACCTTGACCCCATGACGAACCTGCTCCTGAAACCTCAGAGTCATCCTGGGGTCCCTGTGAGCACTCCCGTTTGCTGAGGGAGGCGAGGGGACAGGGTGCTTCTGCCTGGGCTCCCATGTCCAGCCTGCTGCCTTCGGACAGGTCACAGGTAATGTCCACAGTCAGTGGCCCCATGTCCCCCACGTCTCACCTGGTTCTAGGCTGGGGACCCATTTTCTGGGAAGCTCCAGCTCCCCCTGCCCACCCCACCCTTTGCACAGATCCAGCCCCTAATGCATGTCCAGCCACTGCTGGTCAAGGCCTACGTCCATCTGCATCTCAGGCCCTCTTTTCTGATTTTCCCCATCCTAGGTGGAACTGGAGGAACTGTGGGCCACAGGGGTGCAGCCGAGAGGAAACCGAGTGGGGAGACAATGAGTCTGGCTTGTGTAGCCACCTAGACTGTTGTCTCCAGCCATCTCCAGAGACACTCCCCGCCTGCCCTCAGGGAGGCTGCCCCACAGCAGGACCAGCCCCCAGCAGCAGCATCACCACCCCACAGCGCCCCCGGCTGGCAGCATGTGGGAGGGGAGGGAAACAAGACCACAAGCTTGTCTGCAGAAGATTCTACTCACGATGGAACAAAGTGGTCAGTGGAGAACCTGGTTCTCACTAGTCCTGGCGCTCCTGTTAGGAAGCGGTTGACACTGATTGCCCGTAATTATAAACATGACATACGCTGTCTTCTCTTCCGACGGGAATCACACACAGCAGGATTTGATTAAAATTCTGGTGTCTGTGGGTCCAACCTGGCAATGATGCCACGTGAGGCCACATCCACTCCTGCCACCGGTCAGAGTGCTTCTTGGTGCATCTTGTCCTGATCAAACTCACTGGTTCCTGCAAAACGGGGTGTGGGGCTGCCGCAAAAGCAGAGAAATGCCTGGAGAAACACGAGATCCCAAGACAAATTCCGGTGCATCCTTGGTGGGGGGTCAGTGCTGTGTGCCTGGAGCGGCAGTGATTGCTACAGATGCTGGAATTCAGTTCCTGGGAATGCTGGGTTTCAGGTCAATTCTGCATACTTTTCATCACAAATTATAACAAATCTAGAAAAAGTACCACAGAGGGGTATTGGTCAATTAGCAAATAAAAAGACTGTGTGACTTTTCTAGGTTTTGTGGTATTCATCTACTTCTTAAAGTTTGTTATTTGGAGTGACTCTTTCATTTTATTTTTTAATTTAATTTTTTTCAATTAAAAATTATAGTTGATTTATAATGTCTCAGGTGTATAGCAAAGTGATTCAGTTATGCATACACATAGACCACTTTTTTGGATTCTTTTCCATTAATATTATAAGATATTGAATATATTTCTCCGTGTTACACAGGGAAATGGTTTATCTATTTATCTAGGGCCTGGTTTATTTTATATGTAGTAGTGTTTGTTAATCCCAAACTCCTAATTACTCCCTCCCCCAGACTCTGTTATTTTAAATAAATGCTCCCTTTTATGTCTCCCTCTGCACCCGTGTTCTGGGTCTGCTGTGGGTGACCCCCCCACGTGATGGGAGCCATGATCCCCTGGCCCGCCCTGCCTCGTTCTAGCACCTGCTCACTTCGGCCACTGCCTGACTCTGACACTCTAAGCCCTGGAGCCGCTAGGAAGTTCTGTCCATGTCACAGATACAGGGGTGACTTGGTTCCCCAGCCCCTCAGATCTGCTGGGAAGCCCGCAGACTTCTTGCAAAGAAACAGGCTGATGGTAGTGTGGTGGGAAAAGCACTGGGGGCTGCCCCCACAGGCTGTGCAAAGAAACATGCCTTTCCAGCATCTCTAAGACCCAACTCGCTGTGCACACATTGTCCACTATGGCCCGCTCCAGCTATGGGTCCCCTTACTGCACCACTTGTGACTCCCCAGGGCTGCAGGGCTCGGTGGGGAGGGCAGAGGACTTCAGAGTTGAGTCTTTCAGAGGGACCATTTCTTAGCAGGAATAAAATGACCAGAGCAATAGCTAAGGGCATCACCAAACTCAGAGAGACCTCTGACCTTCAGACCTCAGGGCTCAGCCCTCAGCTGTCAGCCAGGAAGGAAGGAACTTACATCTGGCTTTATTCTTACATCCAGCTTTTATTCCCATAAGGGGAAGAGTATTCCAGTCTTTCATCTCAACTTCCCTAAGTTTAACCCTCTTTTCTAGGGGATCTTCCTGGTGTCAGCCCCTCACCATGCCCCGGAGATGTGAGGCACAGATTGGAAGGAAGGGTGGACATGATGCTTGAGATAAATACTTAGAGTCTAACCCGGGACCTTGGTCTCAAAGCCACCGCTCGGCTGAGTGCCGTCATGTCTAAGTGAAGTATTTAGCAGCATAGTATGGATAGAAGAGACATTTATTCTCTCCTTGTGGTGGGAAGAAGGTGGGGAGCAATTTTAGGGAAGGCCTCCATAGTGAAAGGGACGTTTGAATTGGGCTTTAAAGGATGAACAGGAGTTCACCAGTTGGAGACTCTTGAAGGGGTTGTTATACAGAACAGATAGGATAGGAGAAACAGAAGTAGCAAAAGCAGGGAACCATGGGTATATAATGCTGTAAACACTTTTTGGTAAGTAGTGAGACTCTCATTGTTTATTACTGCAAAGTTATACTCAGTGGCTTAAAAAGAAAAGCAATTATCTGTTTTGCTCCTGGGTGTGTATTTTGGGCAAGGCTCCACAGAAAAGGCTCACTGGTATCCCACGTGTTGTCAGCTGGGGCAGCTCGGTGGGGGCTGGAGGGTCCACCTACGGGAGGGTTTGCTCACGTCCCGCAGGATGGTGCTGGCTGTCGGCTGGGACCTCAGCAAGGGCTGAGGCTGGGAGACCTGCTTCCCTCCTCACGGGCTGCTTGGTTTTCCTACAGCACAGTGGCTGGACTCCGGGTTTCTTTGGAAAAGAAACTTTCCTCCAATTACCCCATTGTGTGTGCAGGGCCTCTGACAGTGAAACTCTGCCTTCAGCCCCATTGAGTCCATTTCTAACCCAGAAACTGAGTCCTTTTACTTTTTTATTTTTAAACTTTTATTTATTTTTTTGGCCATGTCTTCTGGCGTGCAGGATCTTAGTTCCACAACCAGGGATTGAACCCGTGTCCCCTGCAGTGGAAACGCAGACTCTTAACCACTGGACTGCCAGGGAAAACCCTGGAGCCCTCAGTCTGCTCAGAGGCCCCAGCAGCTGCCCACCTCGATGAGAATAAAAGCCAACGCTTATGCCACAGTCCCAGGCCCATCACCAGCTGACCCAGCTCCCTCCCAAGCCTGTGTCTTGCCGGCTGCTGCAGCACAGGCCCACAGCGGCTCCACGAGGGGCCTGAATCCCCTCCATGGCCCTGCCTGGCCTCTGCCCCTGTTTCTATCGGACAGGCCCTAGAAGGGACGGATGACAATTGAATTGACTTGGGAAGCGTTTATTAAAGGGACTATTTACAATTGAAAGACGCTTGCTCCTTGGAAGAAAAGCTATGACAAACCTAGAGAGCCTATTAAAAAGCAGAGACATCACTTTGGCAACAAAGTCCAAATAGTCAAAGCTATGGTTTTTCCAGTAGTCATGTATAGATGTGAGAGCTGAACCATAAAGAAGGCTGAGCACCGAAGAACTGATGCTTTCGAATTGTGGTTCTGAGGAGGACTCTTGAGAGTCCCTTGGACAGCAAGGAGATCATATCAGTCCATCCTAAAGAAAATCAACTCTGAATATTCATTGGAAGGACTGGTGCTGAAGCTGAAGTTCCAGTACTTTGGTCACTTGATGTAAACAGCTGACTCTTTGGAAAAGCCCCTGATGCTGGGAAAGACTGAAGGCAGGAGGAGAAGAGGGCGACAGAGGATGAGATGGTTGGATGGCATCACTGACTCGATCGATGGACGTGAGTTTGAGCAAGCTCTGGGAGTTGGTGATGGACAGGGAGGCCTGGCGTGCTGCAGTCCATGGGGTCCCAGAGTCAGACACAACTAAGCAACTGAACAACAACATCTACAAAGGGGTGAATAGGGTACTGGGGACACCTCAGGCACTGCAGTTTCACCAGCAGGACACAGCGGGTGCTGACCCCCAGGCCTAAGAACCTGGATGGACTGAGCTGTCCTACAGGAAGGGCTGTCACTCAGAGCAGCTTCAGTCACAATCACCACGAGCTGGGGGCCCAGGTGCCCACCAACAGCTGAAGGGTAAACAGCAGTCTGTGCACACAGTGGGATGTGCTTCAGCCTTAAGGAAGGAGGCTCTGACACCTGTTACACCATAGAGGGGACTTGAGGACACTGTGCTCAGTGAAATAAGCCAGACACAGAAGGATGTGTATCGTGTGACTCTGCATGTAAGAGGTCCCTGGAGGAGTCAGAGTCATAGAGACAGGAAGTAGAAGGGTGATATCAGGGGCTGGGGGGGTTCGTGTTGGTGAGGGCGGTGTTTCAGTCTTGTAAGACACAGAGTTCTGGAGATGCTCACGTGGTGGTATGAATGTGTATGTGTGTGTGTGATAGTCACTCAGTCATGTCTGACTCCTGCAACCCCACAGACTGCAGCCCACTAGGATCCTCTGTCCATGGA